ATTACTAACAACCCCTTCTCCCCCATAGGTACCTATTAGTAGAAGGTATCCATAAGCATCAGTGACTAGTGGACATATAAAACAAATTGACATTTTACAGTTAGATATAAAATATATAAATAGGTATAAAAATTTACTATTCATCTCACTCAATATTTTGAATGAAATGAAAAGACAGTAGTCTCTAGTAAAAAAGTTGCTAGGTATTCCTAAGCAATTCAAGATTTTGTAAAACTATAACTGTACCTAATGAACGTCACTAGCTTTATAAAATATTTAAATTAAATGTAATAAAGAAAAACTCATTTCCAGAAAAAGTGCCAAAACTAGTTACGCTTCAGCAAAGCTATTACGTCGTCACATTTCTCTTCAAATTGTCAAAACGTGACTAAAATAAACATGACAAGACAATAAGAATAGATTAGTAGGTCCACTTGGTAAACATTGAGCGAGGAATAGAGATTTTCTTTGACTCATTTATGGTTATAGACCGATTCGAAATCAGATAACACTTGCTATTAAGCTTGTTATCATATATTTCTTTTACGTATGGAAAAATCTTCAGAATGACATCCTATACACTAAAGCGAAGGCTGGATAGAGTACATACGGTCACTAAAAAGTATACGATGTACCGCACATATGCCATTGTAAGCTATATTGAATTAGGGAGGGGGGAGGGATTGTTAGTAATGCGGACTATCAGTCCCATTGCTAGCAATATACTCTATCAAGTCGACCTCCACATGGTACCCTCTGGAAACCATCGTGCTTAATTCCAGATGTATTCAGCACGATGGGCTAACTAACCTGCTTTTTCATTCTCATCTGTCATCCCTCACTGGTGCCCCACCAGCGCATACCGACAGCGCAGGCGGGAATACCATTCCATTATCATCCATTAAAAAAAGCTATATTGAATTTAACTACTTTTGACCTAACAGTGTTCATCCAATTCTGTGCTACTTATGTAGATACAGAATGACGGGTTTTGAAAATCTGTAGACGTTCATCGACTTTTGATGCTGACTGTGCCTCAAGGCGAATTTATCGGGGTCGTCGGGTCACACAGCTCCGATAAGACGGCCTGCCCAGTTTGTTTTTAATGTACTACTACTGCCCTTACTTCTGATTTTTTTTTCAAATTTATTTAAGATCGTTTTCGATGGTGTAATTTGTAATATTTATATAAATAATAATATAACAATGTTTCCTAATTAGAAATGTTCTATTTTTTTAGCTCTGCCTGTTTGAGATATTACCAAAATATTTGCACAAACATAATTATGCGTTCCGGTTTTTAATCGAGGTTATGGCCTAAAATAAGGAATTCCTATTTGCTCATATTTACATATTGGGGTCGATTCTGGGCCACCATTTCTATAAATCTATAAATTAAACTGTTCCGGGTATTTAGTTAGGATATAACCTACCCATGTGACAAATTCATTCAAATCCGTTCAGCCGTTAAAGTATAATTTAAGTAAGTAACATACATCCATACAAATATTCGAATTTTTATAATTCGTAGGATGAAGTAGAACGTAGAATAGAATACCATTTATAAAACTTTAAACATCTAATAAATCTGTTCTAGCTATTGCAGCGCTAAATTTTATTTTTTTATATACAAGGTTAAATTGAAGTCATTAGCATCATATGAAGATAGTGTTCTACTAGCGAAACTGAACATCTTCACCAAAGAAACGTGGATTGTAAAACGACATCATCCCCTTATTTAATACAATTAAGGTCCATACCCTAATCGTATATATCGTAATCGTATTGCTGTAATTAGATTTCATTAGATATTTTTAAACTAGAGTCATCATCATCATTTCAGCCATTATCCGTCCACTGCTTGACATAAGCCTCCTCCATAGTCTGCCATAAAGAACGGTCCTGAGCCACCTGTATCCACTGACTCCCTACAACGCATTTCAGATCGTCACTCCATTTAGTGGGGGTCGTCCTACACTGCGTTTACCCATACGTGGTCGCTACTCAAGAACCTTTCGTCGGTTGTCGGTTCTTCAAGCTATGTGACCAGTCCATTGCCACATCAATTAAGAGTATTTATGATACATTTCAAGTATCAATTGGACAAAAAAGACTATTTCATTTAAACCTCCACCCCTATATTTACATATTTATGGACCGAATTTCGAAAAATCCTTTCTTATTAAAATTTTGTAGTTATAACTTTAATAGTGTCGGCTGTGCATTGATGAAGTCAGGATTTTTCTCTTTATAAATTGATTAAACAGATCCCCTGTCAATAATGGAGACTAATAGCTCCATTGTTAACGACATACATAGAAATGCTAACATCGCCTGCGCTATCGGTATACGCTGGTGGGGCCACCAGTGAATGATAGCAGGTGAGGACGAAAGCAGATATTTTTTTATGTTTGATAATGGAATGGTAAACTCGCCTACGGCATACGCTAGTGGGGCACTAGTGAATTAACCACGATTGTTTCCAGGGGAAACCGCGCGGAAATCGACCAGATAGGGTATATTGCTAGCAATGGGACTGTTAGAGCATATTAATAACAAAGTCTTTCCCCCAACATACCCTATTAGGTCGACCAGTCAGTTAATATTATACCTTACCTAAATGCACCTATCATCACTCACTGGCATCTCGCCAGCTTATACCGACAATTTAAGTGAGGTTATTATTTCTTTTTACCTCATTAAAAAATCTAGTCATGCTATCAATAAATTAACACTTAAACTTTTAAAGACTTAAATCATTTTAATTTCAATTTTCGCAAGTTTTGATAGTTAATCTATTTATATCAAAATTTAGACTAACCAATATTTAAACTAACATTTTTTTTTAGTTCAACTCTATACCCTACGTGGTCAATGTCTAGAAATTGAACTAAGAAAGTTTTGAAAAATAAAAATATTTCAGCCTTTCATATCACGTGATTCTATCGTGCCGCAACAATGCTTGTAAGCGGTAAAATATGACAGTAAAAATACAAGCAACCCGGGTGTATTATATATTTACTTATCATTCATTTGAACCAAATTTCATTAAATGCCAACGACGGGATAATAATAGCATAATAATATGTAGTACGCACGTAGGTAATTATTATAAGCACTACGTGCACAACTATAGACCACTTCCGTTTATGATGCGATGTCATGATCGATTGACGTATCAGCTGACTCACAGTTTAACATAAATTTTTCTCCGATACCTCATTAGGAACTCGTTTGCTCTATACAGCCTTCTCTGTATTGTAAATAAGTTATTTACAATAAGTTTGTCAAATGTAATGGCAGATTTGGCGTGTTATAAATAAAGAAAATGGGCCAGAGGATTTGTATTCATTAGATAGCATTGAGCCCCTAATATGGTGGAAAGGTATTTGTGGTTCCACTGAGTTAAGCAAAGTAGCGATTCGTATTCTATCAGCTCCCTGTACTTCGGCAGCCACTGAGCGTTCCTTTAGTATCCAAGGCTACATACATAATAACAAAAGAAATCGACTTACAACTGAAAGAACTGAAAAAATTTCATTCATTTGTTATAACTGGAATCTTAAACATAAAGCTGAATGCGAGGACATTCAGTTTAATGAAGAAAATACCTTAGAAGCTTTCATTGAGCAAGTAAATGAACATAACAGTTTAGACGAAATAGAGCCTATCGAACCTATACAATTCATCGCTTGTAATAACTCTGAATCTGACAGTGATTGACTGTAGTTTTACATTTTACTTTCATCTCTTTCTTAATAAACTCAAAATCAAATTAAAAGTTTTTTATTCTGTAGGCTGCATAATAATATTGTCTATGTCCAGTATAGTGGACGTCTTGCGGCTGAGATGACGATGATGAAGTACAAAATCATAAACACCCAAAAATTTGGGTGTTTATGGGGTTTAAACCCAATAAACCCAAAACACCCGGTTTTTACCCACCAGACTTTAAACCCACCCAGGTGGATTGCCCATCTCTATAAATAACAAATTTTTGGCGCAATATAATTATGAGCAATTCGAAACCACATCGACCAGACATCAAATGAACTTTACCAGCATTATACAGTTTACTGTTATAATGGTAACAGGAAGTAGTATATTCATACAAACTGTTGTATTTATAAATGTATAAAATAAATATTGTAACGTACATGCATTGGTAAACATTTGTATTTGAGTGTCTTGTGATCGCATATCCGCATTGTACTTTTCCTTTTTTGCGCAAGCCCAATTTTGTACTTTTAGAATAATAATAAACCTGTTATTAGCTTTAATATTTTAAATATTAGTCTGTAAATATTAACTATAATGCCGTTGGTATCTAATAATAAATAAATACAATTGGACAAGAATCAAATTTACACCGAATTATAGCAATGTATAAACAAAATACTGTAAATATTAATTATAAACGCTTACTATTATAAAACTGATTGTGAATGTAATTTCTAATACAAAAACTAAGTATGTACCTACTTTGGTAGGTGTGATAAGGCCAAAACCCAAGGTTGGTTGTTCGTGTTTTGTTATGGTCACGTTTACAATTCGAAGGCGTGACTGTTACATCTTTTCAACTGTTTATAAATTAATTATGAACCTATTATTATTTTTTTATTGATAAATGGTAACTTTCTATAAATAACAGACTTCAATTTTAATCAAAATTTTCAGTTTAATTAAAAATATTATAGATGATTTTCTAATTGTACTTGTTAGAAGTTAGAACAATGTTAAACTAGTGGGTATCCTTATGAACTGTACGGGTACAAAAGAAATTATACGAAATTACCTGCGATTGGGTATAATCAAAATAGAGACGTATAAAAATTACTAAAAAACTTGGAATTAATGTACTTACTATGACGCGTAAATTAATAATTTAAAACTTTGCTACCTAGTTGAAACAAAGTTTAATGTTTGTATTAAGAACCAACAAAATATAATAAGGTTTCCTAAAAATATTCAATATAATAGGTAATGAAATAATAAACCCGTTTAGGTTGCACATAATATTTGTATATTTGGAAGACATAATCGAGGTTTACAATTTTATAACACTAATTGACGAATTACTTACTAGGTATATTCAGTATTAATTAATCCACAAGTAATGTATATTTGTGAGAGAAACTATAATATGCCACAGTACTTATATAAAACTGTGCTTAAAAATAATAATACCCAAAGGTTTACACAATTATGGCACCTCCGTATTTAAACAATTTAAAACTCATATAACAACAAATTATGAGCTAAATAAAAAAATCAGTACAGAAAGATATGTAACAATAACAATAAATGCTATAAAATAATAGATGAGATTAAAATTTTAGAGTTTACATCTCTTTTAATGTTTTTCTCAACATATCCAAATAAATTTCTGCGTGCTTTGGTTGAAACACTAGAGCAGGTCTCAAGCGTATCGCAGTCTCTCCACACACACCTCCTATTACTCCTGTAAATATCAGAAATACTACTTAAAACTAGTGAATAATCATCAGAGTGATCAATTTATTGTATAGATATTTGTTAGCACTATTTAAATCCTCCACACCCTTGGTGCTATGCGGTGAGCTTTTAGACAACCCGTCCCCTACCGAAAAACACGTGTATTTTATGGTACCAAGTAATCTTAAAAAATTTCAGAATATTATCTTTAAATACAAATATAATCGAATTATTAAGTTGTAATCTTAATTTGTCATAAGCTGGCTAGCATACTTATTTCTTTAGATATTTAAAAAATTTATAACTTTGTCTTTTACGTATACATGTGAGCAGTATTTATACATTTTTATGTATTTGTGTAGATGTTTATATGTATATGTGAGTATTTATGTATGTGTTGTATATATCTAATAATGAGTAGTGATATATATTAACATTATTACATGTATCACATCTCCATATTTAGAAATAATAGAATTCTCATCGTGCCTCCGATCAAACTGTTTATAATTATTCCTCTCCATCCAAAGGTTGCCTGGAAGAGATTGCTTTAAGCAATAAGGTCGCCCATTGTTTTCTGACTGTGATTATTTCTTATAATTGTTTGTATCTATAATAAGTTTACTATTGTAATCTTTTGGAGGAAACAATAAAGAGTAGCTATCTATCTATCTATAGAAAATTAAGTACCGTAATAAAAATGTCCAAACAGACATTAAGGTTGCAACAACAACAGTAAGCCAAGGTCACGCGCCGCTTTTTGATTTAGAAATCGCAAGTTTAACGAAAAAATAAATGCACGTGATATCTCACTGCAACTCCCCTCGAACTTTGCGATATTTCGTTTTTTTCCGTCGATTTTTTCGAATTTCTCCACCCCCTTTTGAACCTTATGTGACTAATGGGCGACCCTCAACACGTAAGAAGCATTACAGTGTAGACAACATTATAGGTTAGCATGTTAATCTGTATAGATATATGTAGCTAATTTATATACATTGGCTACTTGGCCTATAAAGTTGAAATTTTATTTTGCAGCAATAAATATTTATGAGATATTGGAATAGAGAACATAACTGATATGTGTCACATATAGAGCTATATATTGCAATGATCTTTAATGTTTAAAACAAACGAATAATGAGTTCTCATGAATAATTGTTTCGTACAAAAAAGTGATAGGCGATATTTCAGACTTACCATTTTTCTTCAAGTTATTATTAATCTTATCTCTTGTTTCAGTGTTGCAAGAATTGAATGAAAGGAATGTTCCGCGACCCCGTACGCTGTTCACTAAATTTGGAAATTCCTTTTCAATCTGGTGAAGACCATCTTTCAATACTTTCCCAGACTTGTTCACAAGAGATATAAGATTATCTTCTTTTATTACTTTTAAAACGCGTTCTAGAAGTATCAATTTTCCAGGATCACCCATCCAAGTATTAAAAATGCGGTATGCTTGAGCCGGTCTGTAAATATAATTCATATGAGTAGTCTTTACAAAATCTAATATTTTATTCCAAAAACAATTAGAATAGGACTAATACAGGAGTAAAATTTATTGATTAAACAATCATCAAAATTGGTTACGAGCAATCGAATAGGTACAAGTATAATTTAATTGCAGACTTGTAATGTTATCATCGTATTCTGTTAATAAATATTTTAAAATAAAATAATAATAAAGATGGCACTAATATTTCTCATGTTTAACTATGATTACTAATTGGTATACATACTTGAAATCATTGCTGAAATAAAATCCGCCGGTCAGCATTTTCTTACTAAAAGTGAGGACGTCTGGGGGCGATGGTAAGTTAAAATGTTGATAACACCACATTTTCCCTGTGGGTCCACATCCAGTTTGTACCTCGTCAATAATGAGAGCCACCCCTTTCTGTATTATATTTCAGTATTATAAATGATATAAATTTTAATAATCTAGATATAAGATGAAAATTATTGAACAAACAGGTAGGTTTAATACACTTCCTCTCTCATCTTCCAGTAATCATGATGGAAAAAAATTCAATCTCCGCACATTACGAATATTTGTATTTACGAATAACTAGTGATCCGGCATTAACATAATCAATACAATTATTGTTGCATATATATAGTATTTTTTTATGCATGATAATGGAATGTTAACCCCGCCTGCGCTATCGATATACACTGGCGGAGCACCAGTGAGGGATGATAGGTGAAGATGAAAGCAGGCCAGTTAGCCCATCGTGACGAATTTCACACGAACCGAACGACGGACGAACCGCTTGGAGGTCGACCTGATATATTGCTAGCACTAGAGCTGTTAGACCCCATTACTAATAATCCCTTTTCCCATCTATATATAATATTGAAATTATTATAACCTCAACTTTAGGATTCCATTACGTGCTGAAAGGGCAGATTTCTGATATGATATCCAAAAATTACAGCATAAGAATATTTATTTGCGTATTTAATTGTGTTGTATTCAAAATGAAATTTAGATATAATATTACGTATACATATTCTAATACTATAGTCAAATGTATGTGAAAGTATTAAATACTACGGATAAGTAGATATCTATTTATATCTTAATTTCTAGGTTCCTTATAAGATATAAATCAAGTGCTAACAACCTCTTACATTGATCTCTTGCTTCATTACCATTTATAAATACTATTATACACTAACCGTTTCCCGCGGCTTCACTCGTGTATATACAGAATAATATGTGTTAAATTAGAATATAATAATCTTCCCATGTACCAAATTTTTGTACGATTGAGAAACAAACTTAGAAACATTTTTCAAACTTTTACATTTTTTTTATGAAACTTAGAGTGGCAAACAAGCTAACGGCCCACCTGATGGAAAGTAATAACCGTTGCTGTAAACATGAACAATACTATGGACATGACAGAGTAAATTGTGTCACCCATGATGCCCTTCATGCTTTGCCATTCCTGGGGACTATAATGCTGTATACGATGAATTATGTGTTTTGTAGCATGTGATTTCATAACATTAGTAGGATATAAAAATATTTTAAATAGTATTAAACTATTATGTAATTAATGTTATTAAAATATTTCTTCTAATCTGTAGCTATGTTACTGTTCAAAATTACCTTTTTGCATATTTTCTGAAGATTTTGAAAGAATTCTGGAGATGCCTCGTAATCTCCTCCTTCAGATTGAATTGGTTCTACAATTATTCCGGCCACTGGATTGGTCTTTTTCTTATACTTTTCAATAATGTCAGCCACTTGTTCCAGACATCTAAAAACAAATTAATGTTAATATAGGTTATATAATTTTATTATATGGAATATATATTGTAGTGTTCATTTATTGCTCAATACTATCGAACAATCGCACAGTATATTTTAATACATGCAATGCATACAAGCAGTTGATAGGTTTTAAATCTAAATCCCAATAAATTCACATTTGCAATCTGATGATTCTATATACTGTGCAGTCATATCTGTTAATATAAAAAATAAATACTTGTACATTTTCCCATGTACATTAAGCTTAGTTATATACATTAAAATTTATTATATATAGGTTAATTAATATTTTTATGACAACTACCCAAAGCAGCAAGTCTGTTGGATAATTGCAAAAAAAATATTGATATAAAATTTTACACCCATCGTAACTTTTCAACGAAAGGTTACATAATCAACCATGATTATAAAAAAATATAATTGGATAAGGATTAACATCATGATACGAATGTCATCATCTTTCAATTATAACCATATTTAGATCGATTAATATGAACAAAAAACTGTGACTTAATTATAATAGTTAAATATATAACCCCACTGACATTATGTATCATTAATAATTTTCACAACGAACGCCAAATAATGACTTTTATAAGCAAATTTTTAATTCCTTGGATTATATTACTGTAATTCTCGTAGAGATCTCTATTTTTTTAAATGATACTTATATTGTCTATATTATTCGCTGATAATATAGTTTTATACGGGTAAAAGAATTTTTAAAATCAGTCGAGTAATTTTAGAGTTTGTCCATCACAAACAAATAAATAAACAAATCGTTTCTCTATGTAATATTAGTGTAAACAGTAGGCATATTTATAATGTCCATGTATGGTATTCATAAAAATAAACGACAGTTAACACGTCCCATTGAATGAGTCGTTAGCTAATTTCCATTTCAAGTTGTATAAAAAAACCATGCCAGATCCTACGAGTTGCACCTATTCATGACTATACCTAGTCATTATTGCATTTAACCGTATTCTCGAGTCAACCTAGTTATCAATTTAGATATAGTGAATATAAACTGCCGACTCGGGAGACTAAATCAATGTAATATGGTGTCATGGTCAGAAACCCTAACTACATTACTTATATGGACTATGTAATATTTATAGTACATGTATATTACGCCAACTGAATTGCAGAGATAAATAACTTCAGGTTTATAATATTATTAATGGGGTACCAAGTTTTTGTCTCACACAATCTCATGTCACCTATTTATTTAATACTTATTACGTTGTCCATGTATCATTATTATATAGAAATTTAAAAAGTGAAGTTACTACCTATAATAGTATACTTGTAGCCTATATAGCATAGCAATATGTTAATTTATATAATGTTGTTTAGCAATTAATAAAATTTACTTCACAACAGAAATAAATGCCAGATTTGTGGTATAGAACTAGAGCACTAAACTACTAAAACAGATATTAGCTAAATACATATTATTATGTCAGTATCAAATAGATTATCAATTTAATATTTATTTTAATAGACAATAAAACATGTTTTTAATTTAAATATGCGCTCCCACACTTATAAGCTGTTAAACATAAAAAATAATCGTATTAGTAAGTAAACTGTATACTCCTATTACGTTATTAACAAAACTGTACAGTGCATGTTATGTAAAGAAAGAAAATATTACTGCACCCAGTTACTGCAATCGTGCTTCAAGTGTAGATAAACAATACTGAATACAAACTTTCAAGCGACTGATGTCAAAGAATACTAATTAAATATGTCTGAAAAAAAACAATATAAAATGTTAAAAGAATGCGCTAAAGAAAAAAAAGGGGCCACAATATTTAGATACTAAATTATAAATACTTCTGATCTTCTTGCTGATTTTCGCGTTGATATTCTTCTAGGGGATATCTATATCTTGGAAACGGAGCAACCGGCCAATCAAAAGCGGGGCAGTCTAACTTATGTATCGGTTTTGATCTTGTAGTGGAAAGAGCGCCAAATGTGCGACCATGGAAGCTGCCCTAAAAGTTATAAATTTTTAATTAATTATACAACTTTAAAATAATCCTTGTGAAAAAAATTGTATAATATTGTGTGAAATAAATACTTTATATACAATTTGAACCTTTGCAACTGTAACTGAATAATATTAAGAGATTGAACAAAATAAATAATCACCTGAAAAGACATTATAGATAAATTTGGAGAACCCGGCGATTGATTCAACATACAGGAATTCATTTCCTCAGGTGTAAAGTCTGTTTTGCCACCCCGCTCTTTTGTGCGATACCACATGAAGACGGCTTTATATGCATTCTCGTTTGAGCATGAGCCACACATCATTGTAGCGATATGATCAAGCCCTTGCGGTGCCACAGATAACAAAACATTTCTTAGTCTTTCAGGCCAGTCCGCTGAAGGAAACACGCCTAATGCAGGACGATTCACCAATGCTCTCTGAAATATATTAAAAATAAAATAGATTTAGCCATGAATTGCATCCGTTGCAGAGATTTTTGGTTCTCGAATACTGAACTAATATTAATACAGATAAAAGTATAGTATGTATTTTTTATTAGTGGATGATAATGGAATGGTTACTGTGCTATCGATATACGCTGGCGGGGCACCAGTGAGAGATGATATGTGAGGATGAAGCAGGTCAGTCCGCCCATCGTGACGAATTCCACTAGAATTAACCACGATGGTTTCCAGAGGGAACCGCGTGGAGGTTGACCTGATAGAGTATATTGCTAGTAATAGGGAAATTAGACTCCATTACTAACAATCCCTTTCCCCCGGGTAGTATGTTTTTAAAGTGAGGATTTTAAACATTTTAGTATGTATTTGATTTTCAATCTACTTCAAAAAGAAGGAGGTTCTCAATATAGTTGTATTATATTTTTTTATGTTTGTTACGTTATACCTCCGTCAGTTCTAAATCAATTTGGAAATTTTTTTTTTTTTTATGAGTCCAGGATATACTTACAGACTGGTCCCACAGAAATTGTATCAAAATCGGTTCAGTAGTTTAATTTTTGAACCCAAATAACTCGTTTTGTCACAATTGAAGTCGGTTTGATCTTAATCAACCTACCTGTTATTTTTTTTTATTACACTCAGGATGGCAAACAAATTGATGGTCTACCTGATGGAAAGTGGAATATTCAATAAGTACCTACCTGTATAATGAAATTGCATTTGAGTATAAATCTAATTTTTTGGCAATTCTTAACGATAAATACCTAATTTGTAATCAACAACATGACATCCGTTCGAATTTAAGTCTTACTAGATTGTGCTGGTCTTCAAAAGCAGTCAACAACTTCGGGTGATTATATCCAATTGGTACTGACGATATTTGTGTGAAAGCATCCAAATACTCATTCCCATCTGCATCCACAAAATAATTACCAATACTTTTATCATAATCAGCAAACAACTGGACAGAACTGGCTTGCTGAAATTACATTAAACGATATTATAAGTACAGATGACATTAATAACTTCTATTTTAAACTTAGGCAAAATATAGATTTCCATTATATCGACGACTCACGATTATAGATATGAAATAACCAAACTAGTTCCAGATACGGTAGTGGGAAGAGTTTATTCCAGAACATATCTCACGCTTGTGTAGCAAAACCACACCCCTGTGCGACTAGCGAGTAGCGAGCTGTTTTTAGCTGCACATGTGCAATCGGCTACATTATATGGAGGGAAAAGATATATTTGCTAGCAATATCCTATTATATATATTATGTCGACTTCCACGCGGTCCCCTTAGGAACTAGCATGGATAATTCTTATGGAATTCGTCACGGTGAATAACTAACCTGCTTCCATCCTCACCTATTTTAGCGCACGCAGGGTTACCATTCAATTTTTTTTCTTTCAAAAAATTCACTCCACCCCATACTACTCTAGATTGCACAAGATCGCCACTCAAAAACCTTTCTTCCCCATTGAGGACTCCATTCTTAGCTTACTCCACTTAGCTTTTCATTTGAGCCACCTTGTACGAAAATTATGGCTAACAAAATCTACAGTAAACAAATAATTGACTGTGGTAGCACCCTTTACGTAATCCACTAAGAGACATGGTCTCACACCACCTAAAAAAGAAGCTAGGGCCAACAATGCACCTACAATGCAAGATTTATTGTTTACACTACTATATACTAAACCAGGGATGCTAATCCTTGCTATATGATGATGACTGATGAGATGCTATACCTTAACTAAAAAATTGCATATTGCATAGAAAGCTAATATCTATACCATGTTACACCCCTCAGAGTTGATTGATTACAGTCTAACAATATTGAGGTAGATTAACAGTAGTTCAAGTTTGAACACCCCTGTGCTAGGCTAATTGGAAATGAACATATCAAACTCTACATCAGTCACACCTCCCTTTTCTTACACCAGTTAGATATATGATTTCATTTCTGTTATATACAATAAAAAAATTATAAAATAATTCCTTAAAATATAGATAAAAATGCATATATATACCTGTAGAGAATTGAGATCCTTTAATAACTGTAATGTTTTTGGACCAGGAACTGAAGTTCTTAATGATGGTTTGCTTGGCTCATTTTGTACAGATGTTGATAATCCTCTACAATCTACAATAAAGAAAATAAATTGGAGAATTCTGTAAGTTGCAGGTGCCATACTATGTTACAGCAAAGCTTGTAAAATTTTATGACAAAATTTAAGTCCTGTTTTAAAATGTGGATAATAAATATGATTGATTCAATAGATTGCTTTTTGATTTTTTTTAAGTTACAAGTTAAAGTCCCAGGGATTTATCTCCTAAAAACTAATAAGGTTTTTACACAAGGAAGGCTTAATTTTGTGTATTTTTTTCGTTTTTAACAGAGCAGTTAGTGGTTCCATGTATTCTTAAGTCAACAATAGCCCTTGAACATGCAGGATGAGAGGTCAGCATCAGTCTCAGTATACATTCATAACCTGGTGTTTTTTCAGATGTGCAGGCATAGTGGACTACTGACTTACAGCATAAATAATAAACTTTTGTTTTATTTTTATTTTGTGTGTAATATATGCTATTTTTATATATTATTATGTATTATGTTTATTATTTTCTATTTATTTAATTAACTTTATGTACATAGCAAAGGCACACATGGCAGACACTAAGACATTCTCTACTAATCAACCATAGGGCAAACATTTGGGGAATACAACAAATATTTGGTGAAGGTAAAACAAAAGGGAAAGTGAATTAAAAACATGCATTAATATGAAATATTGAATATATAACATATTGAATAATGTAATATGTGTAGATAAATAAATAAATATAAATAGATATACTTAATAGAAAACAACTTTACATAAATAATATGTGTATTATTTATGTGTATTAAACATGAATAAGTTTAGAAGTGTTTGTTAATTTTAATTATTGTAGTCTATAATTACTAAAAATCTGTTGATTTTATATTTATCTTATAAGCATCTTTGAAAAAGATTGCTATTATCTCATTTTCATTTAAAATATTCATGTGTTTTTTAAATACAAGGATAAATTGGATGCCAAACTAAAGTCTTATCTGTGATTATTAAAAAATATAGACTGATTAAAAGAAGATTTTTTTAGAAGTTTTTCATTATCCTTTAAAAATTACCATGATTTTGTGAAACTCTTCTTCACTCATAAATATTTTTAAAAATTAAACCTTTGTATCGAAAGATCAAATAATACTAGCCATAAATGAATTTATGTAGTAAATTCGAAATTAATGTAATCAACATATAATAAAAAATAGTAAAATATTTTTAATTATATTATATATTATTAGTTTTACACCTATAAGACTTAGCTGTATACAAATTGTAGTTTTAAAGGAAGTATTAAGGGATAAAATACATAAGCAAATATGTTAGTGTTCAAGGTTTTCCCTAACTAATCATTAATTACTTTTAAAACTCCTCGTTTTACTACAAGCCCGTCTTGCCAAATTTTTATAAAATATCCACCATAAGCATGGCTTCATTATAAACTGTAGTAAAAAAAGTATGTACTTACTTTTGAAAATTAAGGGAAAAACACCCTTTTTAATTACATAGTTTTTCAACTGTAGCATTTTTCACTATTTACCACCCAAAGCTTACTAAAAATAATACTGAATTCGCTAATATAGTTATTTTAGAATTTTCATTGATTTCGTAGAGCAATTCAAAAAGAATACGGCCAATTCAAGTCAATTGACAATAATTTAATTCAATTCACTCCTTGAAATAATTTTCCTTTATTGATATGGAGATTAGGACACTCAGATATTCTTTTTTCATCCCTTTCTCTCTTCAATAAAGTACAAAATCATATAACAAGAGATTTGTTGTTGTATAAAATGTACCGCCCTCCTGCGCCCAAATCTAAACACAATGTTGACATATAAAAAAATATAAGGTCATCTTATTTATTTTTTTATTTGAATAAAGTTTAGTATTCGTGTTACTTTCCTTTATTACGAACGTTCTTGTTTGCATGCCAGGCGATATGCATCTTAGCAGAGCTTGTCAATGTGAATGAAAAAATAATACGCGAAAACATAAATAACTAATTAACCCTTTGCTTTTGTCTTGGATATTATGAATATTGCCTGAACTTTCTAGCTGATAAATATTTTGTACTTAAAGAAACTAAAACATATCTACTATAACAACTTTATAACTTGTCTGCTACAGAAACTTTCTGATAATTACGTCTCAGAATTGGTTCCAGAACCTATCTGTGTCCTTAAAATAAAGTTAAGATAGTCTGAAGGCCTATTTCAAAATCTTTGCTGTGACTGCTTTTATGACATTTGAAAATGGTTTTGTCAATGTCAAGTTTTATTTCATAAAATTGTTAGTATTTGTCAAAGACTTTTGTTATTCCTTATTATTAGTGATTTTTCTATCTAATTGGGAATAATCTTAAAACATTTATTGGTATTTCAGCTGGAAAATATATACGTACTTATCTATATCTAATTCATAAACTTAATATTTATTAAACAGAAATTTATAACATTTAAAACTATATAATATAGGAATTGATTTGACACAGTATATAAACATTATACTGATAAACATATTACAGCCAAAACGGTTTCAGTTGTTTTTGTTTACCGTCAATCTGTGGCTGAAAAATTAGAATTTTTACGAAATAGTAACTATGACTCTAAGCAAAGTATTACTTTCCACTGATGTTGCATTGGTATGTGTACAACATGCATTATCTACTGAGAAGGAAGAAATAATGGGACTACTCATTGGGGAAGTATGTGAATACCAATTCATTACAAGGAATATAAACCTATAAAATATAATAACTACCTCTATCTATTAAAACTATTTCAATAATTAAAATTATTGTCATACTAGGAGTTACAATCTAATTTTCAATTTATCTGGATCCAGCATGATTTCCATGTAATAAAATATGAAAGAGTATAATAATATGAATGGAATAAATATATAGAAGAACCAATGCAATTAACCCCATGAGATCAGTGAGCTGAAGTGAAGTGAATGATATAAAACTCAAGAACTGATAGCAAAGAATAGTTTAGAATAGTAATAGTCCCCCACTGAATGGAGCAACAACACTGAATATGTTGCAGGGAGTCTGTAGATGCAGGTGTATTATGCTTTCAATTGAGGGTGGAGACCTATCTTCAAAACTAGAATATTCATGGCTAGAATTATATATATTACTTGTAAATTATAATAAGAAAACTGATTGTCTATTGCAAATAATTATGCTTATATCATACTTTTTATACTTACCATTATCAGGCTAAGAATATATTATTATATTTGTAGGTAAACAACAATGGTAATGTGGTTTCCATAGTGTCTTCTGTAATTTTAAGACGATTAGATAAAAAACCAGACCGAGTGGAAATATCAGAGGAACAGTTAGTACAAGCAACATTTAGAGCAGAGGCATTAGCAGCTCAAGTGGGGCGACCATTGCGAGTTGTGGGCTGGTATCATTCACATCCACACATAACAGTTTGGCCATCACATGTTGGTAAGAAAAATGTAAATTAGTCTTACAACTTCTTTCCACTTTTAGCCTCTCATTTAGATCATTGTATATGTTAATCCACAGCTGTCATAAAAACTAAGTTTGTAAACATTTGTAACATTAAAATAAAAAAGTTTCAGTGCTTGTACCCTTTTTAAATATGCAATATCTTGTCAATGGTTGGAAATGAACATTGGAAGTGGCCTACCCTAAAAGGCACACTACAATTAGAGATATACTGTAATAAAAGATAGATTATTGGTTTAATTGCCATTGTACATGTAAATTTATTTATTTAACTATTATTAATATAAATGGAATAGTAAACCTGACTGTGATATTTGCTGACAGGCACCAGCGAGATATGATAAGTGAGGATGAAAGTAGTGACTTGATTCATCAAAACTAATATATGAAATAATGGGGGGAAAAGGAATCATTAGTAATGGGGATTAGTAGCCCCATTGTTAGCAGTATATTGCTATCAGGTCGACCTCCCCGTGGTTCTCCCTGGAAACCATTGTGATTGATTTATTGTTAGATTTGTCACAGTGGGCTAACTGACCTGCTTTCATCCTCACCTACCATCTCACACTTGTGCCCCGCCAGTGTATACCGATAGCGCGTGGGGTTACCATTCCATTATCATCCATTAAACAAAATATATAAAATAAACTACAATGGTTTTTAAGTGTGAATATTGGCTTGATAGGGTATATTGTTAGCAATGAGGCCGCTAGTTCTAATTACTAACAATCCTTTCTGCACTAAGTACTCTGATAGTTGTACCTAATTCAGAAAAAAAAAATATAGTGTTGATGGATTATTTGTAGTAGCTGTCACTCAAAATTACAATTATAATAACCCTTAATGCTAAATACCTGTTTTTTTTTATACAACTTAGAATGGCAAACAAGCTGATGGTCCATCTGATGGAAAGTGGTAACCATCACCTATAGACATGAGCAGTACCATGGACATAACAGAGTATACTATTTCGCCCATGATACCCCCCATGCATTGCCATTCCTGAGGACTCAGGTGTTATTCCTCTGTACCCAGTAAATTCACGCCATATCCCATCCTTCAAACCGAAACACAGCCATGCAAACACGCTTCACGGTTGAAACACAAATAGGACAGAGTATCCAAGCAATCAACTTTTGTACAAAGTCTCCCTCTGGTTATTTTAGACATATAACTGATTTATATATCTAAAATATTCCATGTTTATTTTTACAGATCTTGCTACTCAATCAATGTACCAAAGAATGGATCCTAGTTTTGTTGGTATAATATTTGCAGTATTTCTCACAGAACAGTCGTCTAAGGCACCATCGGTAACAAATTTCATAATTTACAATTTTACTTCACTAAATCTTTTAGACTGTAAAAATAATTATTAAAGTTGATTCAGGATTTACAGAAATATCTTGTAAAGCCCCATCAATGTACCATTGCTAAAAGTCCAAAATACATAGCTATAACTGAACAATGAATATAAACTGATATAAAGTCTTGTTCTAAAATAATAAACCAAATTTTTTTAATGAAAAAATAGTATTAGATTAGTACCTTTAAATCTGCAAGTTATACAAAGCAAATCTTATTGTGATTTGTGTACAGTAGAGGATTTTAACACTCATTGTTATATATATTCGAGAGTTTTTTTTTAAATATTATGTATAATATAGCTGACACGACAAACGGTGTTATATGTTTACGGTGGTACGGTATGCTAGGTCCATTTTTTCTTATTAGAATAAAAATTATATTATCTCGCAAATTGAAGGCAACAAGATACATTTATAAGATGATTTATATCTACACGAATATTATAAAGAGAAAATATTTGTATATTTATAATGGATAAACTCAAAACTACGCAATCATTTTTGGATATTATTTCACCTATAGAAAGCTACATTATTAGCAAGTAACAAGTATGCTACATAATATTTTCAAAAATTTTATTTGTTCATACAAAGCTAGTTCGCATAGCGAGTACTATATGTATACAATATATTATGTTTTTAGGTACAAATTACATGCTTTCAGTCTCATAACGAAGGTTCAACTCAAAGTAGAAGAGAAATTGAAATGAAAATAGTAAATGACAATGATTCTTTATTAATGAATAACTTTGAGGTAAGTACACAAAAATTATACAATTTTCTATGTTATTGAATTATACATTGATACATAAATAATTACATAGGCCTACGAGTAATAAAAAATCATGTGTACCTAATTAATTTAATATTATTTGTTTTTTAAGACACTAACTCAGCTGCCTGCAATATTGAAGGAAGAGGAAGATGAAGCATACAATAATGAAGTGGGCCAAAGTGAAACAGATGATATTATTAATAAACAACATAATGCTGCTGTCAGAACTATTGCAATAGGACATATAGTTGAAAAGGTATCATGTTATTACTGGTATCTATTGCCCAAATTTATTGTCAATGTAAATATACTACTACTACAACTAAGATGATTGTTCCTATTTCTACAATATAATTGAATTAAAGCTGATCTAGTTCTGAATAAACTTTACTATACCCTTGGTAATAAGGTTTGTAATAAAGCTTGAGATTCAATAAAATCAATAGTATACATATACATAAAATGTTACTGAAAAAGACTAAGTTATACTCATTGAATGACACTGTATACTATACATACCTTAGGTATAATGATAAGAAATTCAGCACTGATTTTATTAATGACAATGAATAACTTTTTGCAAGCAACAAATTGGGAATAAACTAGTAATCTCGAAAATAAATAATAGATAATGTTCAGTTTTATAAATATGCTGGATTTTGGATTGTATATAGCTTTACCTTTTTTAATTTATATTTAAATTAATTAGATATAGCAAAATCAAAATAATGCGCAACGAAATTAATTTCATGTGGCCCTGATTCGACCGGTCCGCGCGGGATACCCGTGACCCCCGCGCCTCGCGTCCTAAAGTATAGATATTGTATCAATGTTAATTAATATTATGTATAACAAGGAAACATGATTGATTATTTATTATTACCATTTAACTCATAAACTACTCAACCAATTTTACCGAAAGCTACATCTTCTCGAAGTTACATAGGCTATTTTATATTTTGTGTAAAGAACTCGTGCGAAGCCAGGGCCAAACTAGCAACCCATGCTAGTTTCTGTTATAACTTCAACAAAAATTGGTTACCTTTTTAGTAAATCCTGTTGAGATAGTGTAAAATAAGAATTACATGAGATGCGAACGACACGGCAGTGCAACATGAATTTCGATCGTTAATCGCTTTTAGATAATACAAAACAAAAATGTAGATTTACTGTCAAAAGCGTGTAATTTTTGTGTTCACAGTTATAGGGAATCAGTATTTTAATTTATTGTAATTTCAATAAAATCAAGTTATCATGTAAAAATTGACATTTATTTTAAATGAAAAAAATAAGATGTAATAGAATGTCTTCTAATGAATTCTATTGTATGATGAACTGCGACTAAGACAAACTGTCTTCTTATCAGTGAATTGAGCTATGCATATATGATGAAATATGTGTATAATTCCTTGGAATTTATATAAACAATGTTATACATAAGTATAATTTTTATAATTATTTCAGATGTCACGACCTATGTTAGAAGGTCTTGTTGCCCGAAATGCACTTAACAACGTACGGCTACAAGCATTAAAAAAACAGCACCAAGAACTAATGTCAAGATTAGAAAATATGTCCTGTAACAGTTAGTGTATAACAAATCAAAGACGCTGAGAACGTTAATTCCTAATGAGGACTTTTTTTTACTAATAAAGTTCATTAAAATAAAAGAAGTTTTTTCTTTATATCAAAGTCTCTTTTGATATGTTTTACATTAAATCTGTTTTATCAATCATTTCAAAACCATCTGAAGAATCCATACTTGATACACGTTTTCTTTTATTGTCTTCGGTCCTTGAATAAACCATATTACTCACAGCTCCAGTAAAATTCCAGAGTGCATTATAAGCCGTACTACTCCATGTATCGGAAGGCTGAATAACTTCCAATGTCGACTGTAATTGTCCTTTTTGTTGATCTGAAACCAGTTTGAATTTGTAACTTGTAATTCTGCCGGATACTTAAAGTTCTTCTTAATTGCTAGATGGGTTAAATACACTTTTCATATTTCTACTGTGAAGCAGCTGTGCTTGCATAATTATATTTCGATTTGAAGAGTGGATTATAACAGTGCAACTACAGACTACAAAGAGATATTACTATAGTCATTATTCTCACTACATTTTAATGTATTCTGTGGTATCCATCGTCCTGTTTATGCCTATAAGTGATGGTTACCATTGTCCATTAGGCGCGCCGTTAGCGCGATTGCCATTCTAAGTATCATACAAAAAATTAACCCTATGAAATTACGAATTGTTCCTGTAAGACTTCACAGTTCCGTATTCTTAAACTTATTACAAAGTTAGTTTACAATTGTGGTTTACAAATTAAAACAGGAATTAATTTAGATAAACTAAGATAATATAACTATAAACTACGCAACGCGAAAGTGTTAAAATTAGAATATTATTATAATTAAAATCTGCAAGTCTATTCTCGAATGTAATATCGAATACAATTTTGTATTGCACTATGAAATAAATAGAAATTAGGTTAGAATTGGGATTGGTTTGCAACAGTTTGCATACTGGTTTGGAACCATTATGTCGTTAGTATTGCAATTCGAAAATGCGAAGCAGCTCCATTCCAATATCTATCTGTAGAATTTATTTCAAGAGTTTTTCATTGGTTCCTTATTCGTGATTGAGCAATATTTAACGTATTTGAATAGAAATTTTAAATCTTTAAAAGTTGATATTCTATTTAAACCAATATATTGTTATAAATCAAAGTAAATATATATTTTTTTTTTCACAAAACAGATCCAGAAGTTTATAAACGACATGAGAATCGAGAGCAGACAAACAAAAATATTTGAGCAATTACCACAGAGCAGTAAGTGTTGTGATAATTATGTTCCACAAAAATCTAACTTCAATTGTGGCAAAATTAGATATTTTGATTTAAAAACTGCATAATATCCTTTAAAAAAAAATATAATTATCCGAATTAGTTAACAGCTGGTGGAAATATGGGATAAAAAAAAATAAAAAAAAAACAAATTGAGAGCTTCGTCCTTTCTTGAAGTTGAAAATCCATATTCATAGTTTTATTATAAGTTTCATGTATACATACCAATGGGTATATATTCATCTTCACTGGAATCAGATGTATCAACATCTTTATCAAAAGGCTGCATCCTTTCTATTGACAGATTGGTGACTAGAGAACTACTGTTTTCAGAACTGTCACTTGCTTCATCGTTAGGCAAATCTTCAGGTTTCCAACAATCTGTAAAAAAAAATTATTTACTTGAGCTATTGGAGCAAAAATTATAATATAAAAATTTTATTTTAAGAATAATGTAAAAGATACTTCACAAATGCAGATTTAGAGTCTAGATCAAGTCAATGTATACTATATAGAAATTAATCTCTTTGTTCGATTCAGATGGGCTGTGAGAATTGTCGACGGTCTCAAACTCAGAGGCAGTATTAAGTCTAAGGCGAGGCTTTGTCTCCCTGTATGTTTTACCGCTTGTAAAGAGGATTGTGTTCTGAGGAATAATTGTCTAAACAATAACCTTAGTCATCTTTTATCATCACATCGCTCGCCATCGGTAAGGAATTCTTTCTGACACGCTTGATCCTAAATAGTCACTTACAGTGCGGTTTTTTTCTCCCGTGAACGCTCAGGCTCAGTATGAGCTTCGAGGTGTTTTCTAGAGGCTACAGTATACTTAATACTTTTTAAAGGGTGTATTAAGGTTTTTTCAGAGTCGACAACGTGCACGGGACACCCCTAGTGTAGCAAGTGTTCATTTACATCACTAGACTGGCTGTTAGCCATCTTCGTGGTATAAAAAAGCTCATTCAAAATATACGAGTTTACATTTAACACAACTTTTCTTACAAATTTTTGTTTCTGGACATCTTGCATGTAGTTTGTAGTGTTGTTTACGGTTAGAAATTTATATTTACCTTATACATAGGCGTATTTTATTCTTTACCCTGTGTGTATAAATATGATTTGGTTCTGAATGATTTTTGATTTCTCGAGAGTTGCTAAATTTAAATATCATTTTCGTATGACATGAGACAAGAATATGTAAAACTATTCCAAACTTCAGATCGGTACAAAAAAGAAATCCTACTATAACCGTTCATTTTTATCTTTTTGATCATCATCATCATATCGGCCCTTAACCGTCCACTGCTGAATATAAGCCTCCTCCTTGGGGGGTTTTGTCAGTAGTTGCTACGCTTGGCAGGCAGATTGGCAACCACAGTTAGGGTTAAGAGATGTTTTAAGAGGGACGCTGCTAGCCATCCCTTGCCCTTCCTTAGTCGCCTCTTACGACACGCACAAAAAAGAAAGGAAGGCCACTACTTCCTATTCTACACCGCTATCTTTTTGATACAGAACCCTAATTAATTATAAATTTGTTAAATATTTCTAATAAATTAATCTGATGTGTCTAATCAATATTTAGTAAATATTTATTCTGACATTCGTTAGATCCAGAAAAGCCACTATAAAATGAGCCAGCCAGACCTGCGTAGTGGTGTGCACATTACGGTATGTCCATATTAGCACTAATATATATATATATACTAGCTGACTCGGTAAACGTTGTTTTGTTGTTTTACCATATACATTATTTCTAGAACTATACATGAAAATTTATCATAAACAATAAACAAATCTATTGCAAAATATAAAAATCACGATTATAAAATATAGGGGTTGATCGTAAAAGGGTGAAAATTTGGAGTTTTATGTATTTTTCTATGCTAAATCATAATGAAATAAAAGTAATAAATTTTGTTAAAAAAATAAAAAAAATATTTAGAGGTGGGTCACCCTTATTATTGAGGGGTATGAAAAATACCGATGTTGGCCGATTCTCAGACCTACCGGATATGCACACAAAATTTCATAAAAATCTGTAAAGCCGTTTCGGAGGAGTTTGGTACCAAACACCGCGACACGAGAATTTTATATAATCTATAGATTAGATTATAGCGTTATCGTCCACGCTAATATTTATAACCACTCAAAGCATTTTATTGAAATTTTCTAAATGTTTATTCTTTACACCAACTTCAGAAATAAGCAATGATAATATCACTTACTTCTAATAATAATCTAATAAACGAAAAACAATGTTTGCCGGGTCCCCTAGTGTTCGAGTATTTTATGTCTATGAACATACCTAAACTTTGACGTTCATCAGTAACTATAACAGGCTCAGGTTCAATTGACAATAGATTTATATCAACTTCAGAGATTTCTGGAATTAAACCTTCAAAATCTACATCGGACTCTGAAAAAAAAGAAATATTTAAAAAACTTCATAAACAAATAAAGAATAAAATACATAGAACAGAGGTTTTTAGTGAGACGTGAGTGGGGGCGGGGACATCCATACGTTGAATATACTAGATGTTTTTTTGAATCGAGTAAAAAATATATAAAGGTCCTACCATCAATGTATTCAATATTTTGATATATTTTTTCGAGTGTACATCAACTTTAATAGATTGCCAGATATCACTGCTTATACCTAACTTAATGAAACACAATTATTTATATGATTGAACTACCTACGGTACCTTTAAACTAGAGTTGGAAGAATCTTAAGTCAATTGCTTGGGTACCTCTGTCCATGGCTGTGTTTCGGTTTGAAAAGTGGGATATGGCGTGAATTTACAGGGTACAGAGGAATAACATCTGAATCCTCAGGAATGGCAACGCATGGGGGGTATCATGGGCGAAACAGTATACTCTGTTATGTCTATGGTACTGCTCATATCTATAGGTGACGGTTACTACTTTCCATCAGGTGGGCCGTCAGCTTGTTTGCTATTCTAAGTTGTATAAAAAAAAAATCTAAATACCACATTTTTATGTATAATGTATAATGTGAATCATGTTATAGACAGGGACCAAAACATGAGCACATGTTTTGGTTTAAAGTGATAATTTTAATTCTGTAAAATCGCGTAGATACATGTCTTTTACGGTTGCTAAAAGTACAAAGTAGTAAGTGAAATGAAAATTACGATTAAACATGCTCTGAGTGAGATACACTCTCATTGATTAAAAGAATTTAATTCTTGTGGGTGGATGTCGCTTCTATCTAGTCTCTATTCTCATATCATGAGATAGTCATGTATCATGAGTCTCTAAAACTTTTTAAATTCATTCACTGTTTGGTTTAATGACAAAAGAAAAGAATAACTTTTATAATTGTTACAAACTAATAAATTTATTAATTTGTAACTATTACAAAAGTCCTATCACAAAAATTCAACAATAATTATTGTTTCAATTTTTTACTATAATATAATCATACGTAATTATTTGTAAACAATTACATACAAATATACTATATTGTATATAAGAAAAAAGTTATTCTCATTGAAGAAATTACTTTACCTGCATTTTGTTGAATTTTTTTCATTAATTTTAGAACTGGTGGTGCTACTTTATGAAACAAGCAAAGTAACATACAAAGTATGTATAATAATGTGTAGCCACTTATATATTTTCCTAAAAGGAACATCACACTTAAATTTATGTTGACCAGCAGAAATGCCTGAAACATGCCAATACAATAATCATTAATAATACTATTATTGTAAATACATAATATAAAATCCATACTAATATTGTAAATGTTAAAGCCAACCAATTATCATGAAATTTGAGATATACATTGTATTTGGAATGAAGATCATGATACATTTAATAAACTTAATATAAATAGAGAAAACAATGGGCGACTAAGGTCAATGTTTTTCAAACTTTTTCATGGCGCAGTACTTTACTCTTCGCGGTTTCTAACCTGTATTTTATTATATTATAAATATCTAATTCGTACAATTTATTTTCATCGTTAGGTATTGATTACAATAAAATAAGTAAATAAAATATAATGAAGTACCTAAAATAGACATCGACTAAGTTGCGAAACGTCTGCATGAAAATGGTAGGCTAGGTAGGCTAAGTTCAGATTGAGAGAATTGACAGTATAGAAGAAGTTAAACCGCTCCTTTAGGTAGTAAAGAGCAAAAGGATTAAAAAGGATTTTATGCAGTAGTATACGAATGTGAGTAAACAAAAATGAAGAGGAAGCCACTTAAGCTCAGCATGAAACAGAAACATAATCATATTTTCCAAGACCGAAAATAAACCTGATAAAAATATTTTGTAGATACTAAAGTTTGTTAAATTGGTCTTCTGTAAGATCCAGATAACAAGTGTCAGCATAATCAAGAATTGGGAGAAATAAGAATTGGGATAGTGCAATTTTGGTAGGTGTAAGCAAGAAATTATGCATTCTTTGCAATGAGCTAATGAATCCGAAAAGTTATGCATAACTAGTAAATGATGTGCCAAGTGAAACTCATTTGAGTACTGATTAAAATACTAGCAGCATGTTCATTCTTAGCCTTGTTTTTACATTTGTTTCATGCTTTCCTTAATTATCACAGTAGAATTAAATAAATAACTGAAGATTTGTTGTCTTTATTAAAAGTTTCAGAAACAATTGAAAACTATTATCTAAATCTGATATGAATAGGTAGCGATTCAATTACCCAAGAAATAAGCTGAATACACTTTTTCAAAAATACTCGAATACCAAAACAGATAAACATGATACACTACTCAATTTTTTTTACTCCTATTTTATTTATTAAAACTATGAAACACAAATATGCAAAATCTGAACCCAATATACCTTATCTGTACATAAAAATAACAAGTTCAAAATATAGGAGGGAAGGGATTGTTAGTAATGGGGAGTTTAGTCCCCATTGCTATCAATATACCCTATCAAGTTGACCTCCACGCAGTTCCCCCTGGAAACTATCATGACTAATTTATCATTGAATTTGTCACAATGGGCTAACTGACCTGCCTTTTCATCCTCACCTATCACCGCTCACTGGTACCCTGCTAGTGTATACCGATAGCGCAGGCGGGGTAACCATGCCATTTTCACACATAAAAAAGTTCAAAATATATTTCAATACTAGCTAGCCTAGTAAATATTGTGTTGCCAGGTTCACTTTCCTTTTTTCCTTATCTGTACAAAAACTACCTTTCTCTCAAGTTGGAACAAACAATACTTATACAAAATTACATTATATTTAATTAAATAATTTTAAAGATTAGTATAACTAATGTTATAAATTTGAAATAAATTTAACTCTCTGAATCATAACTGTGATTAGCAATCCCTTCAAAACCAGTAAAATTGGAGTGTCTATTTGTAATACTGAAATAACCATTTTTTACTACATGTATATGAATATATATATTATACAACTTAGAATGGTAAACAAGCTGACAGTCCACCTAATGGAAAGTGGTAACTGTCGCCTATAGACATGAGCAGTACCATGGACATAACAGAGTATACTGTTTCGCCCATGATACCCCCCCATGCATTGCCATTCCTGAGGACTCAGGTGTTATTCCTCTGTACCCAGTAAATTTATGCCATATCCTACCCTTCAAACCGAAACACAGCCATGCAAACACAGCTGTTTCACGGTTAGAGTACATACACCAAAATAATTTTTTTTACAATTTTTGTCTGTCTATCTGTCTGTCTGTTTGTTTCGGCTAATCTCTGAAATGACAACCGATTTTGACAGGATTTTTATTGGCAGGTAGCTGATGTAATAAAGAGTAACTTAGGCTATGATTATTTTAGAAAAATTCTTTTAGAAAAATAATTTTGCAAAGTCCAAATACTGTCCAATACGTGCGCGCAGCTCACAATGAAATTAAGTAAGTATCATAATAAAAAAATAACAAAAAATTAAAGAATCCACTGTTAAGTGGCACGAAGTTCGCAGGGTCAGCTAGTTTAAATATATAAGACATTGAAATCTCTTAAATATTTTAAAAATTTTATGTAAATAGTTCAACTAAAATAAAAAAAAGATCCCGTAGGAACCCCCTTCTTACACACACACACACTTCTGACACACTGGGATTCCTTGTTACCTAAGATATTTTCTAAGCTAACTATTCTAGAAACTTTCAAGAAACTGGCTTATGGTAGTTGCCCTGTATTCTTTGACAATCTGATTTTTATAACTGACAACAAATATTGCAAGAAAAAAAGATTATCTTTGAACAAAACAAAAATAATGACTAATAAGTTGCCAAGTACCTGACAGCAATAAAAAAAGGAATTATTCAACAGGTGCATTCTTCCCTGCCTCTTATATAGGTATGGGTGTCAAACATGAACACTGACTCAGAACTCCCTATAAAAATAGTTAATATTCAAACAGCCAGCAGAAAATATCCTGAGTTTGTCACTTATATACAAAAAAGGCTAACAGTGGAATAAAAACCATAATTTAAAAATTAAAGAAGAAAAAAATAAATATCCTTTGACTGGCCACATCCTAAGAGAATCAAAATAAAAATGGACTTTAAGTTTAATAGAGTGGTGACTAAAGACACTAAATAAAACAAATAAAGATATGGTCTGATCAGATTATCTTTTTTAGTTTCATCATCAGACTTTGATGGTAATTCTGGACCCTTATGGATAAGAACAGCTTAATATAGAGAAGTGAAATAGGCTAGAGTAGGCTTATGCATTGATTGATATACAAAGAGACATGCAATATGAAAAAAAATTTTAATCATTTATTCAGTAAAAGACTACACCTAAACAAATTAACAAAAAATTCATACACAATAAAAAAAAAAAAGGAAATTGCTCACCTTTGTTGGATTCCTTTCTCTTAAATATATAAAATTAGCCCATTTCTTTACAATCAATTTATTGAAATTATTAACAGATGATCTTAATTTATTTCCTTCATTATTAACTAATCTTCTTAAAAAAGTAGTTCTATGTTTATGTTTCAACCAGGCTTCAAATGAATCAATAGACATGATAGTAACAGAAATATATAGAACAAATTCTAAGAAATTAATTTGTTGTTGAATACATAATCTGCAATGTATTAAAAGACATATCACAGTAACTACTAAATATAAGACAAAATATACATATATATATTTTTAATATTAAAGTACTTACAGTAATATTATATTTAAAAAGAACATAAAAGACAAAGACAGCCACATTTTTTCCCAAAATAAAACATCTTCAAGCACTGATATAAATATTGACAAAATAAGAGATGTTTGAATACTCCGACATTCGGAAGTTCTGCTGGAACCCCATTTCAATTTGTTTCTTATAGTTGCAAACATTGATGACTTTTAAAAAATTAATAGATATACGAAAATCTAAATATCATCACAAATATCACACACAATTATATCATTGACAGGACAGTAAAAAATTATAATGAAATTGCTTGATTTAAACTATGTTAAGTATTTTGAATAAGGTGATGTAGTTAAATGAATATTATCACAGAATATTATATACTACCTATCGTGTTTCTGTGAATTTATTTAAGGATACAAAATGAGAAAAATAACAAAGATTACACATTTGAAAACATTGATACAAAATAATTAAAAACAAAACAAGCTTTTTTATTATATACTTTACTGCTTTAGATACATCAATTTTCTATATACACATTTTCTATTTTACCTTTAATAATGTAAACTACAACACAGTTACTATTCTTAATCTGTGGTGTGCAGTCCCTAATACATTTTTGACATCTGACATATAAACTAATGAAAATTTGTCATTTAAAATCAAAACATAATTTTATTATCCTCCTTCTCTAATTTTTTTCATTTTCTGATTCTATAACTAATTTATTTAATACACAAACTGCTATAAGTGTACCTAATTTATTCATTATACTATGACGGCAAACATTTATGAAAAATGTTCAAATAAAGATGGAGCACGACCCTACAAATGTCGAGACTATGCAACAAAAATTGCATTAAATTTGCAACATTTCAAAAGAGACGGTAGATTTTGTGATATTGACCTTATATCAGGAAAAACAATAATTAAGGTAATGTTAACAATGTTAAACAAAGTACAATGACAAACGAATTATTATTCAATCTAAATAATAATGAGTAAATTCCATTAAACAGCTTGATACATACGTTATGTTTTGCATTGCTTTATGTAGTGTTGAGCTATAAAACTTGTAATCAATTTTTTCCACTAAAATAATTTAATTTACAATTATTGCTTGAAATTTTTTAAAGTTTGTTTTTGTTTGCAAATTAAATCATATTATATTTAATTTGACAAATTAAGTTAAATTTAAAAGAGATAATGAGTTTGTTATTTCTTGATGCTTAAGGTCTCAATCAATCATCGTCAAGTTTATTATATACATATTATTTGGAATGGAGCAGAACATAACCTTCTATTAATCTTAGTAAATAAACATATAATGATCACATAGATAAATATTTAGGTAATGATTAGTCCAGTTTATTAAAAAGCAATTTGTGCCATTCTAGGCTCATCGGGTGGTCTTAGCTGCAAGCTGTGCCTACTTTGATGCTATGTTTAGTGTGGGCTTAGAAGAAACTCAGAAAAACCATGTGGCTCTTCCTAGTGTTCCACCAGATATACTACCTATGATAATTGACTTCATTTACACTGGTATGAATTGTCAGAAAATTTTTAAGCATAAGTAAAACAACAATATTTGGATATTCATCTCATAATTACTTACAAATTTTGGTATAGCATAAAATTATTACTAGTATAGCCGGTGCCCTATAGTTTATAGATATTTGTACTATTTTTCTGTTTATTGTGGGAGCTTTTATGGGTACCGAAATAATCTTTAATTATTTATATATTTACTATTTGCTCAAGAAAAATGAGATATGGTGGCAGAAAACAAAAAAATAGATTTATGTATGAAGCCCTTGCTTAAATCTTATTAGCTAACCCTTAAAACATTGTGTTTGGGCTCCTAACTCCACCTACTGGGTCTATTTTTTCTTATTGTATAAAAACTATTGTACCTCTCAAGTTAATGCAAACAATACAAATTTACATAAAGCTCAGTTGAATGTTTTCAGAGACCAGCATTAATGAATGTTGCAACATAAGATTTTTATACATATATTAAAATTATTTGAATAAAATATTCCAATTTTTATTGATTTTTAAATGTATAAACTGGCATTTTTTATAGGTGAAGTTGTCATTGACAAAGCAACAGTGCAGCATTTATTAATTGCAGCTGATATGCTACAGCTTCGTGAACTTGTCACTGGTTGTGGAGAATATTTAAGAAGAGAATTACATCCATCAAATGCTCTGGGTATTTTCAGGTATATTATATCTTTATTGGAATTATTTAAAATTATTAGGTAGACATCAACATGGATGAAAAATTCTTTGTAATTGAAATAAAAAATTAATCTAGACATACTGTTTTAAATACAGTGAATTTTGGGTATAACAATGATGAAGGGACCACTCTATTTTCGTCGTTATATCCGGAAGGCGTTACAGGCAAAGGTAAAGAGATACAGACACACACATATATAGTTTTTTCTTCGCATAAATCAGCATTGTTTTTACCATTTCCAATTTTGAAATGATTTCTGCCTTTTCTTTAACAATGAATGTGTGTTGAGGCAGTGATACTTATCCAAAAGTTTACTAAACTCAGTTGCTACTCAGAATATCATTTTGTAACTGAACCATAAATTCAACTCCAAAATGTACACGCTTCCCTACTTACTTAGCTGATATCTATAAACAATAGGTAAAGGTCTCCATACTTGCTGACCATCTGTGTAGATGTAAACAAAAGGTTAGAAATGTTTGTGAAAGAAAGAAATTATGGTGTATCTTTAGCGGCCAACTTTGGTCACAATGTCTGCATGAGATTTCTAGGAATTTGTTACAAATGATTCATTAAAAACATCAATCAACAAAGTCATTACACCCGAACTCTCCGTTACATCCAAAGTCACTATAGCCACATGAATTTTGTACTTAAGTATGCTTTAAATTCAAGGGACTTAGATTTAGCGTCGCTATAGGCAAATGGTCGCTGCAACCAAGGTCGTAATAAATTAAATCCACTGTATTTCTATTCTTTCAACAAATATATACTTCTTCTTTTATTCTGAATTGTGTATTTTGGCAAAATAAATTTATTTATTCCTTCCATATATATATATCTATTCTGGACTGTCCTCATACACTTTGGCCCATTTTCCATCACTAGTGCATCTGCCCACTATCTGTTAAACCAACCTATCTTCCTTTACTTTTCTCGTAGTATCCATTCCATCACTGTCTTTGTACACCTACAATTGTCTTTCCTGCAGATATGTTGGGCCCATATCTATTTCAGAGATCTAATTCTATATGTAATATCTGTAACTACCATCCATCTACATATGTCTATATTACATATCTTATCTAGAAGTCTTATAACCAACATACATTTTATTAAAATTTCTTCATTTTTTTTTCTTGATGCCCACGTCTGGCATCCATATGTTAAACTAGGTAGAATAACAACATCTTATAGTTTCTTTATGTTGATATTATTTTGTTTGTTTTTCATTATTGCTAGAAAGTTCAAATATTTTCTCCATGCCAAAGCTACTTTTCTCTTTCTTTTCTATGTGATTTTTAAAAGTGAACAATTGTCTTAAATAAACATATTCTGATACATAATAAATTTTTTCCTCATCTAATATATTGTCAATATCTTATGATCCATTGGTCATAATTTTAGTCTGAGCTGTTAAGAAATAAAATTTTAGCAAAATTAATGTGTTAAAATATGTTAATTATTTTCTAAAATGCAATATTTGTTTCACATTTATTTAATAAAAAAATAAAAATATAGATACATATTTTTTTTTTGACATTTTTTATTGTAAATCGAAGAATACCTCCTGTCTTATCCCAAGTTTCTAAATTAGAATAAAAGTAAAAATAGTAATTACACAAAGGTATAAGGAATATTCTTCTTCTTCTTCTTTTTAAAAATATGGCATCCAACGTAGAAGCAACGGTGACTTTCTGCCAATGTCAGGGTTAGAGAAGACTCTGTGTAATTTATATTATGACATTTTTCAGTAATGTAGATAAATCATTCAGTTGAGTTCTCTGGAAAGGAGGACAACACAAGATATGTTATATACATGAAGGAAAAATAAATTTAATATGATATGTGTGTATAAGTGTATTATAGCAAGGACAATATGCGGAAGGAATGAAAAGACGACGAAATATGTAAAGAGTGACATATATTTTAAATTTTTATATTATTAGTACATATAAAATTGGCCAGTACCTTAATCAAAGGAGAGTGGACTAAAGTAAGAAGGAATGGAATATTTACAGGACGTGGCAGGCTACGAGGCAACAGGTCATAGAGGGGAAGAGTCAATTTGGGGCATTCAAAAAATAGGTGCTCTAACGTTCCTTCCGCTAAGCCACATTCGCACAGAGAGTGATCTTGGAGATAAGGAATATTAAAGGAAAATTAGAAGAATGTTTTTAAATAGCAGTTTTTTAGAAATTAGCAAACTTCTTATACATACTTTTTAATGCATTCTGGTTCATACCAAGCTTAATTGTAACCCAAATTAAGTGATTAATCTGAATCACAAAAATAATTTTTATATATATTTTATATAAACACAATAAATTACCTGGTTTTTACCCAATATTTCATCTAATTGACCAGAATAATATCAATTGAATGGGATAAAAGCAGCTTATATCATATATATATACACACAGTATACTAAATTTTGATTAAGATGTAACAAAGGAACAAATATTTATACATTGGCAGCCTAAATGCTATTTTACAAACACCTCCATTTTCCTCATCCATATTCTATGTATGTTCGTTTAAGTCATATTTAAATTGTACTTGCAAGATTTTAACTAAATATAAATACTTATACATACAAATGTGAACTGAATAAAATGCTTGTAAAATTACATAAATTTTTTATACTGGGAGTGTCACTCAGCTTTGTCGTCCCGGACTTCTGACGGACTTAGTCCGCTACTGCATATTTATATTATTATTCTACATATTATCACTTTCAGGTTTGCTGAAGCCCACAATTGCAGAGAACTAGCTGAGGAAGCATTAGGCCATGCTCAGGCTAATTGGAATATAGTTGCCAATGGAGATGAACTTCTGGAACTGCCTTTACCACAACTAATCACATTATTATCATCAGAACAGCTAAAAGTAGATAGTGAAGCACAGGTAATATATTCCTTTTAAATTACGCAAGCGATTACGAGTAGGTTTCTTATAATATTTATTTTATTCAATTCTGAACTAGCAGATTAATTAAATATTGATATAGTGAACTAATCAATCCTTTTTATTCTGCCAAGAATTCTCAGATAGAAGAGGAGTTATTTTAAAGGCATTTTGTAAATTATAATTAACAAAATAAAAATAAGTAATTAATTAAAGTCAGTATTTTTTATTGTAGGTTTTATATCCAGCATTACGATGGCTAGAGCACGATCCATCATGTCGCAGACGTCACTGTTTTGAAGTTTTGAGTCATATTCGTCTGCCTTTAATATCGCCCCAGATTTTAGATGAAGCCATTAAGAACGTACAAGATCCATCAATTGCAGTCGCTTTGAAAACAGTTAGAGTAGATATGGTTAGTATTTTTTTTTCTCATAAAATTATGGTTAATGTTTTTCTTCATGGTTCCAGATATGTATCACTATTCTATTAGAGTACTTTATTTCCACAAAAAACAATTATATTAACCATTCAACATTAAGCAAAGATATATCTGAGTGTACAGACATGACTTTTTGAGAAACCAGCCTCTCACTGGTAAATATTCCTATACAATGCCATTTTTTAATCACTATCCAAATTTTCATATTGTGTTCTTTTATAAAAATAATGAAGTAATAATTTCTTATTTAAGTGGCCTTTAGTACTAAAATATGATAATAAATGACAAGAAAGTTAGCCTAAAAATTTCTAGTTTCATGATCTACATGTCTCACAATCGCCCGCGCCGCGCGCGCTTCTGTTCTAAGTTCATTCACCTAATTAATTCATATCTACACTTGCAATGTACTTAGACATAAGTTGCAAATTTTCCCTTCGTACTTTTACGGGCTTAGGACCGTCAAACTGCAAAAAGTATTTGTGATTTGAAAGTGAATTCACTGAAAACATGGCCTAATTAATAATAATTGAAAAATGTAACACAATTAAATAGGTATTTTACAGTTTGGCGTATTTAAAAAATTTTAATCAACTTACAATTAGGTAGATAATAAGAAAATAAAAACAAAATCCCCTTACTACTAATAAATCATAAATAAAAACTTTCGATTACTTTAATAATTGTTTAAAATGTAGTCCAAAGTGCGTAGAGATGTTGCATCTCTGTGCATCTTCTACCGAATTTATCATGGGGAGTGCTCTGAAGATTGTTCGGATTGAAACCTGCTGCTGATTTTCACCATCGTACAACCCGCCATAAACTAAAATTTCATCCCAACCATCTGGACGAGTGGCGGTCCTCCACCGTGCGTTTTTCAAGGCACTTTCTCCCACGCACAACCACTCTTTGGAATCAACTTCCAGCAGCAGTATTTCCGAACCGATACGACAACATAACCTTCAAGAAAAGAGCATATTCCTTTTTAAAAGGCCGGCAGCACACTTGCAATGCCGTAGGTGTTGTGGGTGACCATGGGCGGCGGTAGTCACTTACCATCAGGTGAGCAGCATGCTGGTTTGCCCCCTGTGTTGTAAAAAAAAAGTTCATATCTCTCTAAACAGAGTCTGGCACGTTTTTGCACATTGTCTTTTATTTTATTTAAAACGAATTGGTTCGTTTAATTTCAGCCTATAAAAAAGTCACAAGGTGTGAGGTCTGGTAAACGAGGCGGCCACGTCAGCTTAATGAGGCGGTGCACCGTCCTGCTGATAATAAAAATCGTGATAATAAGCTAGTGGCACATCGTCCATTAATTCAGAAATTAAGCCCTAAACGTGTAAACAGTATGCGCAAGCGCGAATGACGAATGTTTTTGAGTCGACCGAAATTGCGCGTCGCGGCGTTGAAAGGCCTCCCTTCGCCCCTCGCTCGTCCTTCAGTACGTTCGCTAGCTCGCTCTATTTGTTTAAGAAAAAAAAGGAAAAAAATCATTGTTTCATGGCTTACATTGTTTGTTTGTTGCGTAAAATCTATTCCAGAAAACTGCGCGCATGCGCAGTTACTTAAAGTGTCTATACAGTAATAAATTTTTTTTGAAACCCGTTTTTTTAACTTTAAATTTTTACATACTCAAATTTTATTTTTTATGTACTCTACAAGTGATATATAATACTATAAAAAAATTGGATAGTGATTAAAAAATGGCATTGTATACACCAACGAACAGAGGTCGAAAGTAGACAGTCCAGTATTGGGCCAACTATCTTCCGTATAGTGTGCCTCGATAATATTAAATGACTATTAATTTAATATTATCGGGGCACACTATACGGAAGATTAGTAAGGCTAAATAATCTGTACATTTCTTTTTTTCACAAAAATAAGCAAAAAGTACAAAAATGAGCAATGGATCAAAATAGTTGATTTTTAAATTAATGACTTTCCTTCTGATGGTATTGTATTAGTATTAAATAACACCATTTTTGGGAGAAGGATTATCAGTAATGGAGATTAGCATTCCTATTGCTAGCAATATACCCTATTAGATCGACCTTCACCCACTTTCCCTTAGAAACCACTGTGAATGATTTATTAATGAATTTGTCACGATGGACTAACTGAAATGTTTCATTATCGTATATCGTCTCTTACTGGTTACCTCACTAGTGTATAGCGATAGCGATTTTTTATTAGTGCTTGTTTGCAATCTTTTCAGAAAACGGGTCGTGGAGCATTGGTGTCGCTGGCTGCGGAGCCTCGCGCGCGCGCTCGTCGTCTGCTGATACTGGCGGGCGGCTCTTGCCACGATCACGCTAAGCACCCACCACTCTCTTCAGACAACATTCTCTCCTCAGTCCTAAAGTTTGACTTGTACAAAAGGTACAAAAATAGACGTACGTTTCTCGATTATGTTCTGTTACATACTTTAATTGTAAATCAAGTCTGTTATTTTCATTTAGGAAAATGTTAAAATAAGTTTAAGTCTCTTCATCTATACAGAGATAAATAATACAGAGAAGTTTAATTGTACTTTAAACCAATGTCTTTTTTTTTTTCAAATGAAGTAAAGCATTAATCGACTGTTACCATTGGCGTTTTGCTGAACTTGACATTGACTATTTCAAATATCTATAAACATATTTTAATTTAAAGTTAATAGCGTCTCGTCTAGATTGCCAGTCAATTTTAATTTTAAGTTTTTAAAATAGGGTAATAAACTATCAGTTTACGTTTTTTGTAAATTACTACCATTACTGTTATTACTATACAGAGAATGGGAGGATCTCGCACCAATGGGTATAGCTCGAATTCAGCCTGGAGTAGCCACGCTAGGTGGTCGTGTTTACGCAGTCGGGGGAGAACAAGGTAGCCAAATACTTGCGAATGGGGAAGTATATGATCCACAGGTAAGCGACTCAAACAAGAAAACAACTTTAAAATATCCTCGACATATAAAAATTTACAACCATAATAGTGTCATGTCGAAAATGTATATTTGGTTATATTTTATTTAACAAATTGATAGATTATTTACTTTGTGCTCATTTATCATATTTATGCTCAAGCTGAAATTCCAAATAATATTTAATTTAAATAATATACTTTTTTATTCAACTTAGAATGGTGTGGTTTTTAACTTATAAAAAACTTAATTGTAATCTTAAATATCTATTGTTATAGACTGATAAATGGTCAAACATATCACCAATGAAAGAAGCACGTTGCGAATTTGGGCTTACTGGATGGAATGGTAATTTGTATGCATTTGGCGGTTGGGTTGGATCAGATATGGGAGCCTCGGTAGAAGTTTACGATCCCGTGACTGATGAGTGGACGTTAACGGGGCGTATGCCCGAGCCAAGGTTCGGCATGGGCGTTGTCAATTTCGAAGGTATTACATGCTTGCTTTTTTGTATAAATATAATGATGGCTACTGTAATATATATATATATATATATATATATATATATATATATATATATATATATATATATATATATATATATATATATTATATATATTGTATGTTAGGAAGGAGAATCCGCCTGCCTAACGTAGCAACTACTGACAAAACTCCCCTTATGGGGAAGGCTTATGTTCAGCAGTAGACAATTAACGGTTGAAAATGTTAAATAATAAATTTATAGATTATATTTAACAGGCTGCGAGGCTGCGACGTGCGAAAAAAAGGCAATATATATTGCCTTTTTTTCGCACGTCTTTTGTAAAATTTCGATTCTCACTCGTATACTGAATTCATCTAATGCACTATAAAAACTGTTTACTCATTAATATTTGATCATCTTATTTCCAAGCACATCAGCATCACACAAGCACACCAGAGGGAGACTTTGTACAAAAGTCGATTGCTTGGGTACCTCTGTCCCACTCGTGTTTCAACCGTGAAGCGGTTGTGTTTGCATGGCTGTGTTTCGGTTTGAAGGGTGGGATATGGCGTGAATTTACTGGGTACAGAGGAATAACACCTGAGTCCTCAGGAATGGCAACGCATGGGGGGTATCATGGGCGAAACAGTGTACTCTGTTATGTCCATGGTACTGCTCATGTCTATAGGCGACGAAAAAAAGTATAAAAAAAAGTATAAAAAAAAAGTATAAAAAAAAGTAAAAAAAAAAGTATAAAAAAAAATTGCATAGCCTCTTCTAATGAATATAGATTTTATGGTTGTTGTATAGCAATACAGTACGCAGTAGCTATCCAATGCCAGCCTTTAAATTGTATTTATGTATTACATATTATATTGTTGCAATTGTTGGCAGCTAGCTAGATAAAAACTAGTTAGTAATAAAATTATAAAATGCCCTATTTCAGGTCTGATATATGTAGTGGGTGGATGCACACATACTTGGAGGCATACGCGTGATTTACTGTGTTATCATCCCGGTTCACGTAAATGGCACACACTCACTTCCATGCGGCATCCCAGAAGTCAAGCGGCTGCAGTTGTTCTCGGAAACTATCTCTACGTTATAGGCGGGAATGCTCCGAGACGAACTGTCCTAACATCCGTAGAAAGATACAGTTTCGATGACGTAAGTTAATATACAATACATATAACTAATAATTAACTTATTTTGTAATTTACTCCTTAGCAAATAAAAGGGCATTCATGTCTTATTATTAAGAGAAAATATTTTTTAAAATGGATAAATTATTAACAATTTGAATAAATTCAAACAGATATTTATTTATATTTAATATATATAATCACTTGACAAAATAAAAATAAAATATATACGACATCAAATTTTGTACATCTAATCACAACCACAGCAACTTCACATCATAAAATATTATATCAATATTTTCAGGATTCCTGGGAGGAAGTTACAAGTTTAAAGGAAGCAAGAGCAGGTTGCGCAGCGGGTGCCGCCGAAGGAATGCTTGTAGTGGCAGGCGGAGACAGCGAGAGCGGTGGAGAGAGAGCCTTCTATCGCGCTCGCACCACGCTCGCCTCAGTCGAGATATACGACCCGCGGGAAGACACGTGGCAGGCCGGGCCACCGTTGCCACATTCTCGCGCCGAGGCAGGCGCTGCGTTACTCTGACAAATGATCGAAATACTCTCGCCGATTGTACGGTTACAACATGAACGCATACGATAACAATCGATTGTTACAAACGTACAAATAATATAAGCAACATACATGAGGAAAATTAATTACCTACTGAGATTTCAGCTATTGGTAGTTTAAATTCAATTTTTAAAAAAATGTAGAAAAAAGTAGAATATATAATAATTATTGAATCATTACCATAAATGTTTATTTTCTGTAGTCAGTCTAGTTCTCATCCAACCGTATTGTGAAATATAATAAGACAAGGAATGATCAATAGAAAGTTCGCATTACATATCCACACATAAATGTATGCGATTGTACGTATAGCTCTTGATATGGCACATGAAATAAATTTGTTACAAAAACGACATCATAGATGTATATAGAAAGCAGAAGCGCGACTGATGTAGTGACTGCCTTACAATGCAAATCTGTCGCAAAAGAATTTGAATCATTGTATCGTTTTGAGATACATCAGTCGTTATAATACATACATAGATATTTAAAATTGACTGAAATGCGTCGAATGTACCTATTGTTATAGCGTGAAAAGAATGAACTAGAATCAACTAGAATGTTTTAAAAACTGATTAGTCATGCGCATATTGCTATAGCATAAGATTAAATATTCAGGTAGATCTGACAATCCCATGGTTAATAACTTTAAGTTACGTTTTGTAAGTCAGTGCTCGCAAGCAACGGACGTCGCAGTGGTATCGTACGTGTCTTTCGCCGACACGTGTGTCGCGTCTTATCGTCATTATTTGTTAAATGCGAGAGCCTCAGAGTAAGCGGGGTCTGAATGTATGAAAGGTACATTTCGGCGACATTGCCGCATTTACAAAGAAAATCATACAAGTGTCACCCAGCTTAATTGCTGTTATAGCCGTACCCTCTCTTATATGGAACATAAGGCTATCTTTACAGCCGCAAATTTTAAAGAAAGGCAGCCTAAAAGATTTCACCATAGCCATGGCCTGAATCGCCCCACTACATTGTTTATTTGGTGATTTAATTAAAAACAGGAATTGAGTGAGAGCAAGAGAATTAAATTTGCTATGCAGGTAAAATTTTAGACTAGTTTTTGGTTTACACTGTGTCAAACAAAAACTGGGATGATAAAATATGTGAAACAATGTGATAATAAATCTTAACACAAAAAATAACTTGTAAATCTGGTAACATTCTGATCTGAAATTTTTGAAATCATGTTTTTTATATTTTATTCAATTTACTTTGTGTTAATATATGCTACCTATTAGTTCTTCCTATAAGTATACTTGAAGTTCATAATGACCAATCAATATCAATGGTTTAACTTTTTATATTCCATGATGTATATTATAAATATTTATACAAATTTCCAATATATGACCTAATTTATATGTACTGCTCTTTCATTTCTTTCACTGGTCTAGTGATTTTTACAGTTTAATCGCTACCTTTAAAATGTAAACATATGGCCTGAATTAATCTGTATGTGAAACCACATTTTTTATTTTACCATAGAAAATAGGACGTCGAAAATCACTCTTCAATTGTGCGCTACTTTAGTATTGGCGTGAATTAATGTACAAAGTACATGTTAGGATATAACCTACCCATGTATAAAATCTCATTCAACTGTTGAAACATGATTAAGTTATAAACATCCAAATATCTTTACAGAGTTTCATATTTATAATAATTGTTATACAATACCTTCATTCACAGAAAGTTACAAAGTAATGCAATTATCTGGAATTCATATTAATCAAAACATATAATGTAGAAAATTGAAATGTTTATAAGACTGTATCAAAAACATTATGCATTTTATACTGCGTATGTACTAGGTATCTTATATAGTTACTTATTGGGGATGGCAGGGTATAATGCAGATTTGTCTAAACCTATATACACACCCTGAGTACCTATATACTCAGGGTGCAAATAATAGAAATGTTTATGAATGGCTGTATCAAAAACAATGTAAGATTGTATATTGCAAATCCTACTATATAACCTAATAAGTTCTTATTAGAGATGGCAGGGTACGACGCACTGGAAGTGAGGTAAATGTAAACAAAGCATCCTGACATCAACATAGGTATGAGCGCGTCGAAGTCAGTCGTTCATTTTAGTATGAACCAAGCCAGTACTGAAATTATATATATATATATATATATATATATATATATATATATATATATATAAGTTTTATTAATAATATTACATAGAAGCTATTAGCAAATTGTAATAACTAGGCTGGATATCGTCATCGTCCCACAAAATAGTAAGTGCTTTTTATATAAATTTCATTTCATGAAAAATTGAGGACTGAGTAATATATTCCTTATAAAAACTTACTATATTTTTTGTCTATGACAACTAGCTTTTTTACCTGCGACTTCGACAAAAAATAAATTACATATCATTTCAGTCCTCTAAATTCTTTAACAAAACATTAATAATTATTATAAAAATAATTATAAGAAAACCAAATTAAATGAACTCAACATTTCTAGATGGCGTATCAAGATACAATATGTACTAGATGTTAAATTCGAGCTACAGGAACACAACTATCAAGACCGTATCCGATTACTAATAACTGAATACGTAATACGAGTAACTGAATACGTCTTTATATCTAAATATGTTATATAAAATAAAATAATACAATATACGAATTTATTTATATTTTCACTTATCACATTAATGAGAGATAATAGTTAATATGATACCTTTACAGGCACAATGCAGGAAATTTCGCATCTAAAATACGAGTAAGGTCTTCGGCTAAATAGAGCCGCCCAACCAAGCCTTCAAAGAGAGAAGCAGGTCTATCTGGTCGGTGTAACTCTGTACCGGAACGCTCCACTGCGCACCATTCCATGAAGCAACAAGCACGATACAAATGCAGAGGTTTCTGTGTCAACAATTTATTATAGATTTATAAGTATAAAAATAAGTATATATAGTACCAGATTACAACATTATAATGCTTACTTTTGTAGCTTGATACAACTGAATGAATGCGTAAGCGTTCCCGCTTACTCCGTGACATATACTATATCCTTTAGTGGACAAACCTCGACGCCATATAACATCGCCACATTGTAGGGCAATTTTTAAGTATTTATCCTCTTCAAATATCTATAACCAATATACATACTTCTATAAATTGATGTACTAATAAAGTGAGAACATATCTATCTGTAATAATAAACATAATATAATCCTTATACTATAATATCTATTCTATAGAATCGTGGTCCTAAAATATGTGATTGTTTGCATTTGAAGTCAGACTATGTATAGGAACAGATAATATTATAGTGCAGTAAGTATAGGTAACATCAGGCTATAAAATTAAACAAATTTTCGTATGGCTTTAAAATCATATCGGTTTTTACAGTTATATTTCTGAAGGTCTAAATTAAAAATTGGTGTATGAGTATGTTTTATTTTGGTAGGCTATCTAGAAGTGTGTACAAAGTAGCAAGAAAACAGCTACTTAATGATATAAATCAATAGAATTTTTATTTACTAACCTGATGTGCTAATAAGCATAAAGGCACAAAGCCAGGTGCTCCATGACACCACTGAACCAGTCTATCACCAGAACTGCTACCTAAGGAAGATGGAAAGTTTCCACTTGGAAAGCGCTGATTCAATAGCCAATCTAAGGCTGGTTTTATAAAATTTCGTATGTCAATAGCATTTATATAAATGCGAGCCTGAAATACAGAGGTTTTTTTTTTATAATAGTATGCCATGTGACTATACCATGCCCAGGAATGCCCTGTCCCTCTTAAATAAGTCGAAGCTGAAGGGAACACGTATTGGACGAGGCCATCACACAATTTTATGGTACGATACAGCCACCTCTTACATACCTACGGTACTTGTGAATGGATGCTTTAAATTTGTATACTTTTGCTATCTATTTTAAATGAAAATTCTTATAGGAATTTAGTGGTATTATAAATTAACTGTTCCATTATAGTTTGTAGCCCCCACCACAAATAAATGGCTAGTCATAAATGTCGTTTGTTACAATATAGTTAGTATTACTGCTTACTATCAGGTGGGCCGTATGCTTGTTAGCCACCTCAGTGGTATAAAAAACAATTTACTTAATATCTTTTACCTATCTAACAAATACAACAATAAATTTTGACTCTCCAACACGGCGCGTTGAGCTGTTAAGTTAGTATAAGAACTTCTTTATATATTTTTTTTATGATATTTAGAATGACAAACAGGCTGTCGGCCCACCTGAAGGAAAGTGGTAACCGTCGTACAAGACATGAACAACATCATGGGCAATACAGAATACACTATTATGTCCATTGTTATACCCATTCATTACCATTCCTAAGAAATACAATATTATACCTCCGTATCATGTAATTTCACTCCCATATCCCACCCCTCAAACTGAAACACAGCCATACAATCACAGTTGCTTCACAGCAAAACATGATTGGAACAGATTTACTCATGAAGATGACTTTTGAACAATGTCTCCCTTTGGTTTAAAAACAAAATATTTTATCGTTTCAGAATATTTGATTTTTGATGATGATGAAATTTTTAGGTACAGCTAGATATTATTGGTTTTATGTGCCAGCAACAATTGCAATTTTACCCTGTATAAAAACAGTGGTTTTTAATATTTGCTGCCAATTATTTGTTATTCCACAGGTTTTTATGCACTAACATAAATCACATAACTTGACGGTTTTGCTGTATCAATGTGACTTGTAATCTTGTGCAACACTGGAAAACTTTCCAAATTCTACCAAGAGTAAACAAAATACAACATCTACATAATAAAATTTATGCCTTAATACCTGTAATAACATATATAGAATTCCAGCCATTCCATGAGCTGCTCCAAAATATATTTTATCATGCCACTGCCATAAAAGTGGACTATCTGACTTCATTTGTGCAGAAAATTGTTTACCAGAGTTTAAAATGGCAACAATTACCTGAAATCAATGTAATTGTCCTATTTAGAACTGTCTGTCTGTTATGTATATAGCAATTTTACTTATGTTTAATATAATATATCAGTATATAAGGTAAACACATCAAATTAAAGATGAAGTTTAAATTGATAATTATGGATTTACCTTTTCAATATGATTGGCAGGAATGACTTCTTTTTCAGTAATATATTTATTCACAAACAGTAAAGCATAAAGGTATCCAGATTTGCCATATAACAGTTCATCAGGTGAATCATTCAATAAATGTATAAGGGACATAAGTCTAAAAATAAATAATGTTGTATACCTCAAAAATTACAAAACTGTACTTCCATTAAGACATATTAATACCTTTGGGCTAAAATTTTATAATCAGGAAGGTTATCTGGGCGCCTTGTTCCTATTTTATATGATATGACTGTAGCTAAAGCTAATGGTCCAGCGTCTCCACATAAAAAACTTATTCTCCGACCTTTCAAGTTCTCTATATTAATATATTCCAATGCAGCCTATAAACAAAAAAATAATATTAATTTTAAATATTATTATGCTAGACTAAATGATACTAGCAACCATATCTTCACCTGCATAACTTATTTATGACAATTTTTTTAAAATATTGTAAAACCTGAATTTTATTTGGTATTTTTAACTTACACATTTTTCTGGAGCCTTATTTATTTCTTTCCATTGCTTTATAAGCATTAGAATAGAATGCAAAGATTATTAAATAAATATTTAGGGCAATACAATCACACTGAAAGTTAAGTGATATGTTTTACATTATGTATTACTAAAATACAAATTTAATTTATAGATAACATACCTACCTTTAAACTTTCATAACTGTTTTTGTTTTTTCCTAATGCACATGTAAAATGATACAAAGCAAGTCCTGATGAGCCTGTGTATATTGTTCCATCATAAAAGATATCATTCTGCATTTTTGTTGTCAACACATGCATTTTATTGGACTTAAAATTTTGTAACTTTGCTAGAAACCTTTCAGACAGCTACAAAATAGATAATGTTATATGGAATAAGTGTACAAGTTAAATATATACAATAGTAAATTATATTTGTATAAGGTTAATACATACATACAAATATAATTTATACAATAAAAAACAGATCAAATATATATATAACTTTTTTTAATAGGTGATGATAGAATGGTAAGCCCAACTGCGCTATATACTAGCGAGACACTAATGAGTGATGATAGGTGAGGGTGAAAAGACAGGTCAATTAGCCCATCGTGATGAATACACTTGGAATTCAGCATAATGGTTTCTAGGGGGACCACATGGAAGTCGACCTGGTTGGGTATGTTGCTAGGAATGGGGCCTTTAGTCTCTATTATTAACAATCCCTCTCCCTCTGATATAGGTACTTACTATAATAGGTGTTTATTGTATATTTATAAATAATTATAAAAAAAATAACAATGTGAATATTTTTATTATTTCAATCTGGCAATGAAATTACAAGGTATGGTGTAATAATATTATAGTCCTCAAAAATGGCAATAGATACAATATTATGGGAATCACAATATTTTTTGCTGTTGTTTATATCTATAGTTAAAAGTTGTCAATCTGTTTGCTATTCATAAAAAAATCCTAGCATGACCCATCATAGTCCATTAGAAAAAGCATTTATATTTTCCAATATGCATACACAGATAAATAAATCAATTAACTAACTTATTAGTTATATTTTATAATTATTAAATATGATGATGATGGTATCAGCTGTTAACTGTCCACTAATGAACAAAGGCTTCCCCCTTGAGGAGATTTTGCCAATACTTGCCATACTTGGCAATATATAATATACTTAAATATTGCAAAGAGTTTAATGTATTGTCTTTAATAGTATTATTTTTAATAGATTTTGTAGGGGGTGGGAATTATTATTAGAGGTAGAAGCAGTCTCATTACTACAAATAAACATTGTCAAGTGGACCTCCATGCAGTTCCTCTAGAAACCATTTTGGTTAATTTCTCACGATAAGCCAACTGATTTTACTTTATCCTCGCCTATTCCTTATAAGTATCTCTCCAGCATATACCGATAGCGCAGGTGTGGTTACCATTCCATTTTCATCTCATAAAGGTTTTGTAGCAATTTTAATAACTCGGTTAAGAACTTGTTTTAATGTAAACGGGAGGAAGAAGACGGATGGCACCAGGCAGAATAATATTTAAAAAAATCCTGTGAAAAATAAAAACTCGGTGAAATTTTTTCTAGAAGATGAAATGGAAAGACGATTTTTGGATAACATAAACTCGCTTTTTAGGGACGGTTGTTGAAAAATTTGTAACAAGATGTAATTTCTTAACGAATATTAAACTTACCCCATCTTTAGATTCATTAAGAATGTTATTTGCAACTTCGGTAGAATAATCGTCATAGTTGTTTTCAAATATTCCTTTTGAAGTCATTTTCATATGAGTTAATGGTTTATCAGAAGTAGATACCTATTTAGACATCTATATAATCTTTGAGTTATTTTAAAAGATACCTATTAATTATATTAATACATTTTAACATCTAAATATTATGTTAACTCAGTTTCGAATATTTACAATCTATTTGGAAAATAATTTCGAATATTTTTTTTAGAGCTAGTGTTGCCAATAGATTAACAATACTTACTGAAAATGTCGCCCGAGAAGAAAAAATACAACTAATTTTACTTCCTAAATCGCTTTGAAGAGGCAGCACTAACGCCTCACTAATTGCTTTAGTTATTTAGATAATATAAACTATGTCAAAAATGAAGTTTGCAAATATTGAGAAATTTTCAGTTATCGCAAAATAAGGTCATTTAGTGTAACTATTTAAAAATATTTTATTTGTATTAAAAAAATTTGGTACCACAGATAACATAATTGGATAGACGTCAAGACATAACAAATACACAAACAAGACGAATTCACTGTATAGGTTCTCTGATAAACAGATACATATCTATAGTGGGGAAAGAAAAGAACGAAGGAAAATCGCGCATGCGTCTGACAAATTTCGGCCATATTGTTATGACGCATACGAGATCATAGGTCTCCGCCAGTGACGAGTCTTCTCGCAGTTGACGTGGCTACTACGTACCATCCCGTTCGCCCACTCCGGACGCAGCATAGACGGTGACGAGGAATACGTAACTGGTGAGTGCTTGTAATGAAGACAAAACTTGCGACCTGTCACGGTCGCTTAAATTTGGCTTTACAAAATATGGATGTTCTGTATAATTTAAGAGTACTTCAGCAACATAGACAAGTCTTTCAAATAATGAAAAATATGTTGCGTATAAGTTAGACGCAATAAGAAAATATCTTGACTATGACGCGATAATTCCGTTTTAGGGATTTCTTATCTCCACAATATGGTCAGGAGAGAACCTAGTGATAAATATGAAAGATTCATTCTACATTAAGTGACAATAGTGGGAAGAACACAGAAAGTTGACCTTGAATATTTTAGGTGACCTTAGTGGGCATGGACGGAATGGTGGAGGAAAACGGCACCTCCAGTGGAGCTGGCTCTGCGGATCCATTGAGCGCGGGATCTTCCGCTGCCGGCGCTCCTCACGCTGTCGTTACCAGCATTGTGCAGCTTACATTACCCACACAGGCTTCTTCTGCACAGGTGTTTGTTTTGATATGATAACAATATTATGTATTTATAAACTTAGTGTTTGATATAATAATAATAAAAGATATGTATTGTAGATTATTGAGTTACTATTAAAATTATATTACAGAAACACACTTGTGTAAACTAAGCTGCATTTATTTTTCTCACTGAATCTTATTAGAACTTAAATTATAATGTGACTATATTTTTAATTCTTAGTGATAAAAACTGAATTTATTTTTCAGGCTCAAAGTGTAATACAACCCAATCAACAGTCAGTTATACAAACAGCATCCAATATTCAATCTGTTCAGTTACCTAAAGGAAATGTTATCCTTGTTGGCAAACCAAGCTCTGTAATACATACTACCCAAGGAACTTTGCAAACATTGCAGGTAAGTTCAGCTGTTTAGACATATTGATTAAGAAATGCTGTTATACATTTATACATTTTAAATTTTAATAATGAGAATATGTTTTATATTGAAAACCTGTGATTTTGCTTATGTGACTCATCCAGAACATTATTTGTCTTTGTATAAAACTTTAATAAAATTAATTCAGCCATATGATATGATAATCATGATGACATTTATAATACTAGTTTAATTAAAAATACAAAAAAATAAATTGTGTATGACATACATGTTACTGTTAAATATTGCATAGATTTGTATTTATTAATTTCAGATAAAGCCAGAACCTAACACAGTAGTGGGTACACAAGGGCAGTCCTGCAGTGATGATAGTTGTAGTGATGATGAAAGGCCCAAACAAAAATATCGGGAAATGTTGAGTAGACGTCCATCTTATAGAAAGATACTCAATGACCTTGGAGGAGCTGAAATTGCTGGTTAGTTACCATTGCATGATTTTAAATATTAAACTGCATAACCCTTAATTGCCTATTATAGAATAGTCTAATAGTGATAATTACATTAAAATAAAATAACTGCAATGTATTTTGGCTTTGAAAAAGTCAGGAAATTAATTTGATTATATAATTACTAGTTTTTAGTATGTGTATATACACATACTCTGTTTTTTCATTTTTTGCATATTTATTAAACAATCTTGGCTTGTATTTTTATTGATACAAAAGTTGATAGAATTAATTAATCTCTGGAATGAAAGATTTTTTTTTATATTAGAGTTGTAGACTTAACAGTCTACAACTCTAATATAAAAAAAAATCTTTTTTTAAGTAACTGCTTTTTATTTTTATATTACTATTTTCGTTAAAAATATATGCTAAGATTGTAATGTAAAAATGCTAACTAAGAAAAAACAAATTATAACTGTTACATTTAAAAATGTAAAGATTGTGCTTTTTGAGAGTTAAATTTTAAAATCCATATACAATTAATTCCAATTATAAATTATATTCAGTATATTAAATGTATGGTTACAATTTAATTACTATTATAAATAAAATTGTTCAGGAAATTTTAAATAAAGGTACAACAGGTTTTGTATTTGTTGAATTGTATAAGCCATAAAAGTACTTTCACATATTTTTATAAGACAATAATAAAGAACTATTTACAAGGGAAGGTTTGACACATAAGGTATTGAAGAGTATAAGAGCCTGATAACATTACAGAAAATCGCATGGGATCTAAACCAGGCTGTGAGAACGAAGTGTCGCTGTCATCTCCTTTGTCCTTTGCGCCAGGTCAGTTTAATGTGCTGCCGCTGACACTACTCGTTTCTGTGTGCAACATGTGTCACTAACCTGTTTCAATGCATCAGTTATATGTTTTACATACTTCATTATCAGTTTATCACCACCAATTTTGGAGTACTTATTCCATTAAATATATGTTTTCAGCCACATTTCGTTTGAGATCTCTTCTTACTATTCTGGGCTTTTTTTTTTTTTTTTTTTAATGGATGATAATGAAATGGTAGCCCCGTCTGCGCTATTGGTATACGCTGGCGGGACACCAGTGAGGGATGATAGATGAGGGTGAAGCAGGTCAGTTAGCCCATCGTAACAAATTCAACAATAAACCAATCACGATGGTTTCCAGGGGGAACCGCGAGGAGGTCGACCTGATAGGGTTTATTGCTAGCAATGGGGTTGCTAATCCCCATTACTAACAATCCCTTCCCCCCACTATTCTGGGCTATACATTACATATATGAATTTCATAATTTAAATAAATGGCCGCCTTGCCATTATTCAATTATTCATTATAAGAGTTTAATCTTAGATCATACAAGACACAAAATAACATATATAGTGTAAATTGTCAATACTTCATATTTCAGAATATCAATGTCTAAAAAGATCTAAATCTTAATAGATTGATTGTAACAAGAATTTTAAAGCAACTATGTCTCATAATGTACAAATTATCTGTATTAGAGAAGTAGAAGTGGTGTCAAACCAAGTAGCGAATTGTGTCTTTAAATTATCTATTATAGTGTACTTATTTATTTTATTGTTTTAAATTGTAATACATAATAATTTCAAATCTAATATAATATGGTAACGTAAGTGTAGATTTTTTATTTTGAATATAAAATATTAACTTTGTCCCCAGGAATATCAATGTATGAATATAGTGTCATGGGCCTCAAAGTGTATTCTGTAATGATGTCCATGATGCTGCTCATGTTTATTAACGATAGTAGCCCCTTTTATCAGCTTATTAGTTATTCTATGTCCTAAAAAAAACAACATCGTTGTTAATTAGGTTTCTTATGGTATGACTGTCTGTTCGTCCGTCCATTCATCTGTCACAGCCTTATATCTCAGCAGTTATTATTGTTATCGATTTCAAATTTAGAATTGTTTTAAATAGCATTGTTCCGCACATATTTCATAGAAATTGAAAAAATATTTTTATTTGCTAAGGAGCCAAAAACGAATACTAAAAATTGCAAAATTGACCTACAAGTGGGGTACCATATGAAAGGGCTTCATTTGTACATTTTAATACTGATTTTTATTTATTTTTATGCTGCATTGTTTTTTAGATATGAAATTACGACATGTAGTATCAATAATAATAACTTTTAGGAAGGAGTTGTATGTCATATGAGAAATACAATAAAGGTAATTTTACCTCATATTTATGTACGGAAACCTCGGTGTATGAATTCAACTTGCACCTGATCGGTCCCTTTTTATTTTTACATGCGCATTAATCTAAATTTTAATACAAGTTATTAAAAAGTACATTATAGTTCATATACTATATATAACATAAAAAAAAAATTACGTTTTGAGACATGTCTTTTGATCTTTTAAAATTTAGATTTTTTTACTTTTTATTTAAGACTGATATTCTGAGATACAATCTTTTGCACTTCATGTGTTATTTTTTCTGAGATTAAACCATTTTAAGAACCTATTCTTATCAAGTTTCACCTAATTTTCAATCACGAATTATAGGTATAATAATTTATGTGTTAAATTATACTAAAGTACTCGGTCAATAATATTGTATGTATGGTATTGTTTAATTATATATTCGATCTTATTTACATACATACCTACCTTAATACTAATAATCAAATAAATTATTTCGAATGATATTTACCTACTTGGCATATTTAGGAATTAAACAATATTGACATATCTTTGCATCATAAATGCATAATTTTTATAGTAATTAGATGCATATGAGGTTATAAATCATCAAATTATTTACATATATTTAATTTATAAATAATAAGCTAAATAACTTATTTGTATATTATTTTATTGTCTTATTTTTAAATTATTGACTTAAATAAAAATATTTGCCAAGGTTGTTTACTAAATATACCAAGTATTAAAAAACGTACTATTACTATATGTACGTATATAAACGACTTAATTATTATAAATAAAGTAATAAATCGTCTAAGGCTAAATTAATAAATATGTGTCTCTATCTGTATTAGGAAGAAAAAAGTCGTGAGTTTAATAATGCAAAACAAAATTATATACAGTAGTAGCCCAACAAAAAGATGTCGTCATCCTACACTGCCTGATTGACATTCTAACCGATGACGTAATCTAGCGCGAGCCGTGTAGGTGACGTCATGCCAACCTGTTTCTTGTGTTATGGATGTTTATATCTAAAAGTTTTATGTATTCATTTTGATCTCGAGAAAACTATGAGAATTATCATTACCTATTTAGGATATTTTTTCTACCTGTATTGTTTGGCAATATTCATTACATACCTATCTTTTTTTTAAACAAGTGGCTGTAGATGATTGACTTAATTACTCCTAAGATGCATTAATAATCGTATAAGAATATCACAAATACAATAATAATTTACAATTTTAAATGCTATAATATCTTATTTTTATTAATTAAAAATGTATGCTCATTATTTTGCGATTCTAAATAAAAAAATTTGCAACTTAAAACTCTAATTCTCCGATAATGACATGACGTAGATTAACAAAATAGATAAATGGAAATGCTATACTCCCTGAGTTGAATTAAAATTGATTTGCGAAATATATATGCATATTGAGCACCTTGACACCAATCCACTGATCGACAAATGTTAATTATCGATTAAATTACAGTTAAATAGGTGACAGTCATAAGCATAATGCGTCAATACCATCTGGCCAAAATCAATCCATCTTTTCTAAATTTTTTATGAGCCCAAAATGATATATATTTAGTGCCAATTAAAAAAAATAAATTCACTAAAATACATCTTCCACTCCCATTAAAAACCATTATTATATTCCATAAATATTATACAATTTTTTTTTAATTTATAATCCAAGTCCTTTGCTTAATTGTATACTACGATATTTTAATTCCATAGTCTGATATTTAACTGCTAGATACGGTTCTTTTACGTATAAAACTATAGATATAAAAAAGCCTTAGATATACCAATAATCAACATATTGTAGGGTATATCTATAGAGACAAGTCTGCAAGGTGCAAGGATATAACCAGTATACATCAGTTCTTTTTTTTAACGCTGACAATGAAATAATAACCCTGTCTGCGCTATTGGTTTATACTGTCAGGATATCAGTAATAAATCTCGTGTATTAACATAAGAATGAAGTCTGTCATTTAGCCAAACGTGAGAAATTCACTAGGAATGAATGACTATGGTTTTATACTGAGGACGTCGTAGAGGTCGGTTGTATACGGTAAATTAATTTTTTTTCATTGGAATGTAAATGAATGCCTCTCTATCTACGCTATAGATATATAGTAGCCGAACACCAGTGAGGGTAATACGATGAACGCAGGTTAACTGGCCAATCATGATGAATTCAACAATAATTCACCACGATGGTTTTCAGTAGGACTGGAGAAACCGCATGCAGGTCGACTTGATAGGGTACATTGCGAGCACTAGAGCAGTTAGATCCCATTACGAACAATCCCTTTCCTCCAGGGAAATAATATATTAGCTTCTAGTCAATTTGATAAGGTCATTAGGATTTTACTAACAATCCCCTCTTTTCCGCTATATTCACAGACTGTAGATGAGGGTGTGTGTGTACGCCTGTCTACCATAATATATATACATCTTTTACATGTGCCAGTCAAGAGGTTCACGAGTTATAGTGAAATATTTTTATAAATTGTTTCAGTGCATCCAGATGCCCCTTTAAATACATACATATAAAATTACTCTTGATGTAATATTACTACCAATAAATAAATACATAGAAAAAATATCAATGGTTAATTATTTAAAAACTTGTGGAATCATTAACACAAAATTAACTGTATCCAACATACTGCAGATTTATTATTCATAATTATTATACTATAGTGATAATGCAATAACATACCATCACAAAACTAAATAATTAAATGAAGTCATTGTTTTAGTATATTGTTTTCTAACCAGAGAGCACAATCTTTATATAGTCTACTTATTAATAGCCTATTAGTTATTAATACGAATCTCATATTTCTTTTTGTTCATATGTAGTATGTAAGTACAAAATAAATAATTATATATTATAATTTACAAAAGGATATGTATTTTAGTGATTCCAGCTGGAGCACTTCAGACAGACAGTGGCTTACATACACTAGCGGTATCGGGGGCCGCAGGCGGCGGCGCGATTGTACAGTATGCAACAAATCAAGACGGTCAATTCTATGTGCCGGGTTAGTATAGTTTATTCAAATGCAAGTTAAACCTGAGATATTTCTTTAGATGCAATGTTTTGTCAAAGACACGAACAAATCGTACTATCTTTTTAGGTCCAATGCTAGAAGATCAAACTCGTAAACGTGAACTAAGACTACTAAAGAATCGGGAAGCAGCGCGAGAATGCCGAAGAAAAAAGAAGGAATATATCAAATGTCTTGAAAATAGAGTTGCAGTGCTTGAAAATCAAAACAAAGCACTCATAGAGGAACTTAAATCTCTAAAAGAACTTTATTGCCAACAAAAGACAGAATGAGGCCCAGCCGGCTAACCGGGTGTGCCGTTACCCTGCCGGTGAAAATTTGTGGCACACATGATCACTGTGCTTACATGCTGCTCTCAGAACAGGTACATGGGTTCGCTCCACTCTCAATGCAACGAGTCACGTTGGCGGGCTTGATTGATTGGAATATATTCAATTAAGTCAAATAAACTTCTTGGATTATCATTTAAGACAAAGTGGATTATTACGAAGTATTGTTAGATTATTTTGATATGTTAAATTGTTAATATCTGTTTTATAATTTTCTGTTATTGTTTTTAATATCAGTTTGACTTTAGACACAGTGAAAATATACGAACTAGGTAATAATGATAACGAAATAATGATTAAAATATTTTAAACTTATCCTAAATACCTATTTATAGATTTTGTTTACCATTCCTTTATACATTTTTTGTAATACTGTATGAAGTGAAACATTTTAAAAATTCTAGTGCCATTTTGGGTCAAAAATTTTTTTTAAAATAAATTATTCTTTTATTGAGTATTTGTCAATGTGCTCATAATATTTGATACAACAATTGATGTATGACATTTTTACTTGCCTGTCTGTTCTTTCTTGTCAATTGTGTTTCTACATTCTTTACAAATGGTCTTCATAGTTTCTATATAATTGTCACGTTAGTCTGTGATTCAAGATATTGGTGAAATTGTCCCTTTTTATTATATTTAACATGGTTGTTAATGAATTTTTACACCTATCAGGTGTTTGTGGGTAAGCCAAAGTTATAATATTTAGTTATTTTGTGCAATAGCCATATTGCAATGTACAGTTTATACCTATCACTATTTCTTCTCATAAGTGAGAAATAAGAAATGAAAATATTATGTACATTGTGTATAGAGATATAGGTATTGTAAAGAATGTATGTATAATAAAAGATGAAATTCCTTTGTATATAGTTTATTAGTTATTTTAATCTTGTGGGCGAGAAGGAATGGTTGCTGTTGTACATTAGAATGATAATTAATTTTCACTGCATTTCTGATTATAATCACAAATTATGAATCGTTGCTGGTGTAAATAATTGCGAATGACAGATTCCATTCTTTCAATTTGAATTCGCGAAATCTACTATATTTTTGTGAAAGGGTAAATAGTTGACTACCAGAGTTAAATTAAGATTTTATGATGTATAATTTGCCATGATTGACTTGACGAAATACCTATTTACTTTTTAATACCTATAGGTACTCATTACCATGATAAGATGGTATATTACCATTGTATTAAAGATTTATATTTTTCTCTTGTTTAAAGTAAGTCATGGCAAGTGATTTAAGATTAATGATAGACATTGTGCAAAGTGCCTTCTAGAATGAATAAAGTTTATACCAAGATAGCTTTTTATGTTAACTTAATGCTATTTATAAATATTAATAATATTAACTGTTTGATGTATTAATGTAGTTTTTTTACTATCTAAACGTACGGTAATAAGTTCTGCAAGTCTACCATGAAATGAAATTCCGAAATTTCGGACTCAATTTCGTGTTTTTGTTTATACCAAAATCGGACCAATAACCATTTATTGGTCCGTTTAACATTTCATTCGTCATACATCCTATTATAAAAGTCCAAAGGAACAATATTTAATAGTTTCAAATGCCATGTATTATGTAATTTTAACATCAATTTTTTTGTTTCGTTCGGCTTCGAAATTTCGGAAAATATTTCATGGTAGGCCCTCTGATTTCAATTGGGTATAGTAACCATCATAAAGCTGCAGCTGAAATCTGATATATTACAAATTACTGTAATTAATAGGCAATCAAACAAGCCTCCTGATTACGTATTTATTAAACAATTGAAAATTTAGCGAAGATATTGTAACTTAATTTTTGTATTAGTGCTGCCTCTGTACGTCATATTCTTTACGAATTGCCAACGCATGACGAAAGTCATGGGCATCGCAGTGTTTATACTCAGATGTCCATGGTGCTATTCATGTCAATAGGCAATGGTTACACCATAGTGTATTTAGTGTTATTGTACAAGGATGAAAAAAACCCACCAAGTATAACACAATAGTCCTCAGAAACGCATGAAGAGTGTTGTGGACGTATATTGTTCATTCTATAGGTGGTTACAGTTACCACTATCCGTCAGGTGAGCCAGCTTATTTGTCATTCTAAGATACATATTTTTTTTAAGTAATGAAACAACTATCACCGATGAACCGCGAATCTGTTTCAAAAGGTACCATCTAATTAATTTTTTTTTTAATTATCCAAAATCCTATGATTTTGGATAATTAAAAAAATATTAATTATCCAAAATCCTATGATATTTATCCTCTACTTACAATCGTGCCGAATTTATGAAGTAGGCATGGGAAACCTTTCATACATCTATATTTCTTAAACCTTGTTCCTACATCAGATTATAATGTCTATTAATTCTATAGATTATTCCCCTAGCACTTGCATCTTCTCACTTTCGCATTCAATACACCTATGTTCAATCAATTATTTATTTCATACTTTTCCATATTCCTAAACCGACGTGCAAATTTTCTCTTTTTTACACTAATACTTTTAATAAATTTGCTCCCACAGGTATTAAGAATGTCTTGTCATTGTCACATGGAATTTTTTTCTAATACAATTGGGAAGTATAATAAAATCTGAATATAAATAAAAAGCTAACGGTAGTTAAAAAAAATATAATAATCCCAAAGATGACACGGCGGTAGGATTGTGGCTTGGTCGGCGAAATGTAAGTACAATAAATGTTACGTTTACTACAATGGCTGGAGTCGACAAATGCCCGACTACTTCATCTGGATTTACAGTGTAGAACATATTATATGCATACTTTATTAGTTAAGCTGGCAAACGCTGTTTTGCCTCCTACAGACTAACCAGGGCAGACCGACCCCCAACCGGGTCCCTCTAGAAACCATCGTAGTTAGTTCCTGGCGAATTAACCACGCCTTCATTCTCATCTATCATCCCTCGCTGGTGTCCCGCCAGTATACCTACATCTTTAGGGCAGGCAGAGTACGATTCCATTTTCATCCCATTAAAATACATCTACTAGGTCCATTTTTCATCGCATTAAAAGCTATCTTATTTCTCAAGTTGGACCTAATAATTATACATTTAGAAAATTTCATTGAACTATTTCGTAAATTAGCATAAACGAAAATCGTGATATGGGACTTTTTAATATATTGCTCGTTGCTGAATTTAAGATCAAGTAAGAAAGAATATATTTAAAAACAATGATTTCCATATACCTACATTTATCAATGCGATATTTTACGTTTTATATTTTATTCAAAAAAAATTATGCTAAATTTTCTATCTAGAGACACACAAATATATCTAATTATGTATTTCTAAAATTAGGTATTTACCTATAAGTATGAAATTATTTATTTCTATGACTAAAGAGTACATTATAGTCACTATGAATTTACCCTAGCAAAATTTATTTGGATGGAATTGTGCACAGATAGATACATGAAATGGGTCGACAGTATCAAAATCACCAAAGGTAAGGTATTAGCGCTAGAATAATATTTAAGCTTTATGTCAGTTTGATAGATGACTAGCAGATTCTCGTTTTTTTTTTTTAATTTAAATATACAAATGAGCCCAACTAGTAGATCAGTTTAAAATATATGATCTATATACTATTTATGTTATATATTTAACATAACAGCCCTTGACAAATTCATTTTCAGTTACTTATACATAATGCTAGGGAACAAGCTAAAATACCAAATTAATTTACGAGTTTGAAGTGATCAAATATAATTCACATGTGTAAAACTAAATAAACAGCATTGTTCTACACTTTTCATTCATATAACTACTTTATTTACATTCCTTTCTATTTATTTAAAAAAATTTAAAGTTCAATTTGATTATAGTTTTGTTTACATTTTTAAATTTCAATTTACTTATTTCTTCCAAAATAACATAACAGTAATAAATAATGCATTTGAACAATAAGAAATTTATTAGACATGACAAATTATGAAATTCAGTGTAAAATGTACACATGAAATATACAAGCAGTAAACTATTAGGCTATTGACATAGGAAAACATATGAAATACACTTTTTTCATGAATGTTGAATTTATAATTTCGTCTCTCCACTTCAACAAGTTCATTGTTATAAATGAAAATTATTTTAGTCATCAAAATTTTGTGATAGCAGGAAATTAGCTGCCAGATTTTCATTTTTTTCACAAGCAAAGTATGCTTGAATTACCATATGTTCAGGAAAACCCAAAGCTTTTAACCTTTCAATAGCTTCTTTATCTTGGGGTGAAACTTGAATAATGTTATGTGGTTGTTGAGGTTGTGCAGAGTCTGCTATTGCACTCTCCTCTGTGGCTGCTGCTGCTCCAGATGCTGGGGGATTAACAGGCTCATTGAGCATTCTCACAAATGCTTGTTGATGCTGACTGATTGCTTGCAATAATGCAGGATTGGTTTGGCCAATCTGTTGTAAAACTGCATTCAACAAGTTAGGATTCTGTTGAATAACTGCACGCATCTGTTGAAACTGTGGCTGGTCACGGAGGAATGCTAATGGATCCTCATCTGACCCTTCTTCAGCTTCTTGTTCCTGAAGCAACTCTTCTGGTATACCTGTTATTAAATATTCTACTGCCCTTTCTCTATTATTGAATGAAGCTCGAAGAGCTTGTTCCACTTGTTGTCGATTGTAGCCCATATCCATTATACTCTGAACTGTTGATTCAAAGTCTGGTTCATTCGCAACTGCTGGGGTTTCGACAGCACGTTCTGGTTCTGTAGTAGTTGGGGGCTTTGGCGTTTCTTCAATAGAGTTTTTCTCTTTAGAGTCTCCACTTTCAGTTGAAGCACTTTCACCTGCTTCTGGCGCAGAAGTTGAGGAAGCCGGAGTTTCCGCTGGTTTTGGTTTAGTTACCATTATAACTATGAATTTCTTTTCATCTATATTATATGTACTTATCTTATTGTCATCGAGCAAAATCTTCCCGGCGTAAATAAGTCGTTGATAATCGGCCGCATAATCTTTACCTTTCTCAACTTCGATTTTTAGCTTCAATGCTTTGACAGTTTCTTCTGGATCAATCTCGATTTGAAAACTTTGTTGTTGTAATGTTTTCAAAGTCACCAACATTTTGATTGTACTGCGTTATTATTGTTATGTAGTGAATCAGTCACTTTTATATCCTCAAATAGATATCTAAATTCTGACTCGACAAAATTATGCAGTAAACATAACCTCTACAAAAAATCCGTCAAAAACCGTTTGGATACACGCAAGCGAGCCAGGCAAACGAAAGTTACCTAAACAACAAAATTGGAATCACGTTTTCCTCTTCATGTAACTGACATGACCAAATATAAATTTATTTATATATGTAGGTGGTATATTCTGTAATTAAAAAAAAATATTATGGATAAATATTATTTTGGAACCTTTGATGTGATAATAAAAATAATAAATAAAACATACCTATCCAATATAATTGTAAAGCTTGGTAATTACAAAGAAATATAAACATATAATCATCATTGCCAGATTTAAAATTTTTCGTAACTTTGCATAAAAGTTTTTATTAACGCGAAATTTTGGAATATTAAAAAGTGAATTAGACTTGGGAAAACTTAAGTAAAATTATTGTTTTTTTTTTTTAATTTTTATTTTAGTACTTGCAGACTATATAGAGCATTGTTTCTCAACCAGGGGAAGGGGGGAGGAGCCACTACCCCTGGGGGCTTGGTCGCGTTTTTATTAAAGGAAGTCGCAGTCTATTAAAAAATAATAAGAACTCGAAAGATTTATTTAACGTAGCGATGCATGACTTTAATGATCTGACTACTAATGACTAATTTCATTCGGTATACGTATTTTTTGGTGGTCACACCTATAGATAAAGTAGTGGTATAGAAGTAATGGATACAGAGAAAGGATTTTGTTTTTGATAATGTTATAGTGAGGAATCGCAAGACTTTTGACTTAACAATTTGGCTTTTTGTAGATCATGACATAAAAATAGTTGAGAAGCAATAGTATAGAGGTATATAAATATAATAAAATATATGAATTAAGGTAGTAATACAAAAAGGGTAAGACGAACAAAAAGTAAAGGGTAATCTTAAAAATTGTAGCAATTTGGAAAAAAATATTTGATGTTTCGGTGAAATCAAAATTCGTATCTGGCAACCCTACATATAACACATGTTAAAGCGAGATAGAGAACCGACGCTCTGAATTAGTAATTTTCGCACATTGGTCGCTTTTAGTAAAGCATAACATGTCACAAATTAATATGACAGCAATATCATGTAATTTTCAGCTATCACATTTGTATTTGTTAAGAAGTCAACTAAAAAGAACTATTACATGCACATATTTAACATTACATAGTTTAGATGTTTTGTCTCGTCTCGGGGATTGTATTTCCAGTTTGTTAGTACGTGACTACGTTATTCTACGTAGATACTATCCTTATATTGTTATTATAATAGGTTACCGACAGCACCCACCCTTAAAGCCGGGAGTCATTTTCTATCACAGCTAACGATTGCTAATTGTAAAAAATGATATTACGTAACATAATCGCTTCCTAATCATTCGTGATGCCTCTGTAAAGCGATTTAGAAATTAAAATTACTATTTTGAATTAGTTCTTTTTAATTTTTATTAAGTCACGGTTTGTTTAAAATTATGATTCTTTTGCAATTAATGATAGTTTGTGAAGTCTTTATTATAGGAAATCATTTCCCGCTTTAGGTTTTTTGAATGGGGTGAAAATAGAATGGTAACCCCGCCTGTACTGATGCAGATAAAATTATCAATTGGTTCATCGTAAGGATTTACTACGAATTAACAACGATGGTTACCAGAAAGATTGCATGGAAGTCGGCCTCACAGGGTATTTGCTAATCTTCTCATTGAGAAAATAAGAGATTGTTGGTAATGAGGCCTATCTATTTTCACCTATCGTCCCTTACTGTATCATCTACGGTGCTTCGCCTGTATATATAGATAGCGCAGGCGGGGTTATTATTCCATTTTCACACAACCAATGAAACCCTTCCTTTATCACCCATTAAAAAACCCCAGAGTTATTATTATTCTGCATTAGGTATTGGCAGAGTATAAGTAATAGTATTAAAGTATCGACACTTCCTGTCGCCTATTGCGATCTGATCTCACCCCCTCTCAAACACGCGTCAGCTACCCTACTTTAATGGATATCACTAGGGGGAGAAGGGATTTTTAGTAATGAGGATTAGTAGTCGTATTGCTAGCAATGTACGCTGTCAGGTCAACGTCCTCGTGCTTTCCCCTGGATATGATCAAGATTGATTTATTGTTAAATTTGTCACGGTTTACTAATTAATCTATTATATCCTCACTTATTATCCCTCATTGGTGTCCTGACGGTTATACCGATAGCGCAGGCGGGGTTACAATTCCATTATATTAATGGAAAATGGATGTCTCAAGTCTACGCTTCAATAGCCGCCTAAATAGCCACATGAAAATGGCACAAACATGTGTTTGTGCATAATTGAAAGCTTCGCTTGCATCTTGGAGTTGCTAGTAGACAATTCTGGTGTAGGTACGGTCCACCTGGTTCTTTACAGCAGAATGAGGTAACATTGAATGACGTATGACCAAAAACTAAAACCAATACTTATTTGAACGATCTTTGTTGAAGATTTCGGCCGAAACATCAAAAGCTAAAAAGTTAACCTTTCTTTTTTTTATATAATTTTTGGGGATTCAGTGTCATTGAATGCCCAAAAATAATGGAAATTTCTATCATTATGCAAAGAAGGGTTAAAATCATGAAGCCCATAAATTGACCGATCAGTTATAATCGAATTCTCAACCTATTTAACGTTTATAATCTAGTTTAATATCCAAATACATAATATCAATAGATAATTAATATTTATTTTCTTATTTGTTTGCCTATTTTATTACTCAAAAATAGTCAAATATTATTTGAAAGTAGTCCATTTATCTATCTGTGCCATTATAAAACATATTGAAATCGGTGATCAGTTGGTTTGAAAGGGATTTTGAAGACTAATTACGATGGTTCTCAGAAAATAGGATCCAAGGCCTCTGGTATTTAAAGAGCATAGTAAACAGTGAGTTTATAACTTAACTCATCTTTACAGACATACTTAAACTTTTTAGATTTTAGTGAAACTCATGTCAGTTTTTAATTATGGACTAAAATATAATGACAACAAAATTATTATATATATTAGATAGCTGCACGAAGCCTAGTGTTAACTATTCGCATTTTGAGTGCCAAACGGTAAAACTACTTTCCATTTTATGCCTGTTAACTCATCCTGATCCTTTGAAATATAACTATTTTTCATAATAACATCACACTATCACTGATAACAAAAAAATTACGGTTCCTTTTTAATACTCCATCTCTTTTCCTGTTTGTTTGTTGGTGGTATAATGAGCAATATTAGTCCTTTGCCAATTTATAAAAATGATCCTTACCGTTTTTTGTTAGTATCTCGACTAGTTTCATTATTGTTAGCGGCACATACCGATGAGCTCCGGAACAGACTTGTGTCTGAAATCAAAACTTCACTCGATAAAGTTTCGATCTGGGGCGAACGCAATCTTGTTCACTTTAACCCTAAGAAGACACAAGTCTGCATGTTCACCGCAAAAAAGACACCGTTTGTCGTATCTCCTCGCTTTCAGGGCACTTCCCTCGATAATAAGTCGAGTCTGGGGATTCTTGGCGTCGATATATCTAGTGTCGTCCAGTTTTGCGGTCATCTGGAGGAAAAAGCTAAGATAACTTCCAAAAAGTTGGGGGTGCTCAATAGGGTGAGACGGTATTTCACGCCGGAAAACCGCCTGAAACTGTATAAAGCTCAAGTGAGGCCACAGATGGAATACTGTTCTCACCTGTGGGCAGGAGCGCCACAGTACCAACTCCTTTCGTTAGACCGCATTCAAAGTCGGGCAGCTCGAATTGTTGACGATCGGCGTCTTACTGTCCGGCTCGACCCACTGAAACTGCGTAGAGATGTTGCATCTTTGTGCATCTTCTACCGAATTTATCATGGGGAGTGCTCTGAAGAATTGTTCGGATTGATACCTGCTGCTGATTTTCACCATCGTATAGCCCGCCATAAACTAAAATTTCATCCCAACCACCTGGACGAGTGGCGGTCCTCCACCGTGTGTTTTTCAAGGCACTCTCTCCCACGCACAACCACTCTTTGGAATCAACTTCCAGTAGCAGTATTTCCGAACCGATATGACAACATAACCTTCAAGAAAAGAGATGCCGTAGGTGTTGTGGGTGACCATGGGCGGCGGTTGTCACTTACTCTGCATGCGCTGCCATGGGGGGTATCATGGGCGAAACAGTATACTCTGTTATGTCCATGGTACTGCTCATGTCTATAGGCGACGGTTACCACTTTCCATCAGGTGAGCCGTCAGCTTGTTTGCCATTCTAAGTTGTATAAAAAAAAAAAAAAAAAAAAAAAAAAAACCATCAGGTGAGCCGCGTGCTCGTTTGCCCCCTGAGTTGTAAAAAAAATAAAATAATGGGCAACACTAGCTCTTTTATTAGCTATTTAAATAATCCGTGTCTATTATAAGGTTTATAGACTCGAATTGTTTTCTTTTTAATTTTTAAAGGCTTTTACCTTTTTAGGCATATCATCCGTATCAAACCCTGAACAGATTTTTTAAATTAGGCTCTACCTAACTTAGCAATATATACTCTCCCTTACAAACATAGCCTCACATGACTAACAAATAATATGAGGCTATGCTTGGAGTTTAAGGACATGATATAGTCCAAAGGTGGTCAGCTAGTCGCTATAAAACGGCTAAATAGCTCAAATTGTAGGTATATAGTGTTAGTATTGGGGAGCCTACAGATCCATTGCTAGCAATATATCCACTCAAGTAAACCTCTACATGGTTCCGGTTAGAAACCATCGTGGTTAATTTTTGTGGAATTCGTCAGGATGGGTTATACTATCTTTTATCCTCATGATCCCTCACTGGTGTCTCGACAGCGTATACCGATAGAGTAGACGGCATTACCATTCTATTATCGTCCATTAAGAACTATAGATATGTCTTTTCGGTTGTGAATGTACTTATTTTCGCGTGATAGCGTAGATAGATCGTCCGCTCATCCAAGTCATTGGTCTTAAAATGTCCAAATAGCTATGATAAAGGAATGGCAATCCCGCCTACGCTAACAGTATATATACGTGCTCAGAGGTTGATGGTCCCCATTACTAACATTCTCTTTCCACTGTCCCGTAATAACTTCCTCATCTTAAATTCCTAATACGCTTTCATACACGATTCACAGCGCCCGCGAAAATCGAGTTAAAAAAATATAAGAATTTACACACTACATATTACAGTCCACTTTTTAAAATTCGTTTACAAATCAGTTTACTTTCAGCACGCAGTTTTTTAATAACCAGTGAATACAAAGCATAATTTTGATGTATATTTTAAAAATTTATTTCTTACATACAATAGGTTTAACTTAATCTAAATGCTACTAAAATAACTAAAGTCGCTAAGTTATACTAGCTAACATAATATTTCACAGAATGGTATACATACATAATAATTATTCTGTCAAGAGTTTTATATCTAATGAGCGCGTCAGCTTTTATTTACGAATTTGAAAAGCAGTAAATAAATACAATAAATATTTAATGGTACCACTGACATACTCAATAGATATCAAAATCATTTATATTTTCAATTTAATTTGTGTACAATTTACAGATGTTACAAATCGTAAATAAACAACAACATAGTCATAGTCTTTTTGATATTTTTGCAGCCCAAGTCAATCACATTAAAACACTATACACTGGCACTTTTCATTGAGTAGATTCAAATAATTTTTCACGAAAGTATTTAATTTTCTGTGCAAAAAAAGCTTCTAGACCTTCTGCACAACGATAAAATTCAGAGTCTTTAGGGTTAAAGTATCTACAATTGTCAAAAATTTTCGTCATATCACCAATAAATTCACTTAAAGTACTATATGTTTGTTCATTCACTTTTCGTTCTACTGTCTGTAGATCTGGAAAAAAAAAGAAACGACAACATTTTATGTAATGTATGTATCAGATTATTCGTAAAAAAAAAAAAAAACTATGTTTCCGTCGCCATTGGGGTCGATTCTGTGGCACCATTTTTCTAAACTTATCTCTTAACATGACAATTGAGGCTCAGCATACTTAATTTAATTGTAAGTTGGGATATTAGTACCTATTCATATATATATATATATATATATATATATATATACACACACACATACACATACATATATGTGAGTTTGTTTGCTTCATCTTAGTGCTTTAATCGCTTAACTAATCGCTGTGAAGTTTTATATACACGTACTATGTGTGGAGAAAATAGGACTACTTTTTATATCAGTCAGTGAATTCCAGCGACGCAGATAAAGTCATAAATAAAAACTACTTAATTTATAATAGTATTGTTTACACTTATTGTTTTGTATTGGATCGAATTAACAATAAGGAGGTCCTGCTTAGGGTTAAGGAAAAAAGACAAATTATTAGGACAGAAGGGGAAAAATGTTAGGACACTTGATACGACATGACGAACTTATGAACATTATAATAGAAGGTAAGATAGAAGGAAGAAGGGGGAGAGGGAGACCGAGACATAGTTACATCAGGCAGATCAAGGAAGGAGTTGGTGTCGTGTCGTATCAAGAGGTGAAGAGACTCGCTGAAAATCGTAGTGAGTGGTAAGAGCTCCACCGACAAGAGCGCAGCTCTTAAATAGATAGATAGATTGTTTACACACCCATTGGTTCCTTGATAACTTTATAGTATGTAGGAGCTTCTCTAGGATCTACAGGTTCCATGAACGGCCAAGCGTTTTTATGTAATTGTATTTGTTTTACCAGCCTCTTTAAATTTTCAAAGTCTTTAGACGTCAATTCTTTCATATTTGCATAATTAACAGAATTATTTTTTTGGCAATTGGGGCAAACATATTCATCAATATTGTCTGCTTCTGATTGCAGAATACCAACACATCGCCCATGAAACCAATCCTGACAACGATCGCAACATATATAAAACCTGAAAAAGAAAAAGATATTAAGAGTTAATAATTGTTTTCAAGTATCAGATTTTATAGGAGCTATAGAATTTACAAACTAAATGTTCTATTATGCTTATGGAATTAAATGAAGGATATAGTAAGTAATATTTCTAAAGAAATCCCACCATGTCAAAGTTTGTAAACATGTTTGTGTCTGTTACTCAAACACGTTTCAACAGATGAACGGATTTTAATGAAACTGGGTGGGCAGGTTATAAAACTAATATAAATAAATTCTTCTCTTTGATGTGATGATGTTGATATTTTCCTTTTATCCCTCAACAAGGACATAGAGCTCGCAAGAGAAAATTCAATTCTACTCCATAATTCTACATTGAACTATTTAAAAAACTTGTTAACTTGCAAAATGAGATACGAACTGTGAATTGTCGTAGGGTTGCCGGCAGAGACAATATAATTCTTGGGTCTCCTCAGCGCGTCGACAATCAGTACAAATATATTCTTCCATAGTTTTACTCATTTCTTCAGTGACACCAACGCAATCACCATGAAACCAATTGCTGCAGTGTTCACATCCAACATAAAACCTGTAATAGACAAGTTTTAATTACAATACTACTATTGCTTATAAATATACTATGAAGTATTGGAAAGGTTGATACAATAAAGTTTTCTTCACAGTAACCCTCATTCGTGTTCCGGCCGATCCACACGGCAGCTCTATTGGTCGACGGCGACTTTAAATCGACGCGTGGATGTGAACATATAGCTAGTAATCAAATAAACTCTGACTTATGGCAATGCAATTTTGTGTTCTAAGGGGAAAGGGATTGTTTGTAATGAGATTTAACAATCCCATTGCTAGCAATATACTCTATCAGGTCGACCTTCACGCGGAAACCAATCTCTGGAAACCACCACAACCACTTCTGGAAACCATAGTGGTTAATTCTTGACTATGGACCAACTGACCTGCCTTCATCCTCACCTGTCACCCTTCACTGGTACTCCGCCAGCGTATATCGATAGAGCAGACGGGGTAACCGTTCCATCTTCATCCATTAAAAAACCTGTGTTTTATTTTAACGGACAAAAATGTCCAGCTAACCTTTACAAATTAAATATAATCAGAGGTATTTTGTGCTCATGTATCGGATTTCAACAAATGGGATATGATGAAATGGATTCGTAAGAATACATCTGGGTTCTAGTCAGATTTATCGTTAACTGTTCAAATTGTTGTGAAGATAACATTTGGTTGGTTGATCATAACTTAATTCAACCAGGTAACGACAGTCTCGGAATAAAAATATAAAATACTGCTTATAATCTACTCAAACTAAGAAGAGTTTATATTATGAATATTGGAAAACCAATGTTTTTTTTAACTTCGAGTAAACTACTCTAATAAAAAATGCCTAATAAATTCTTACTTAGTATTGTCATACGGCGTTCGGCATATGCAAAGGAGTTTCTCTTTTTTGACATTTTTCTTAGCGTTTTTCGGCGTGGAATCGCGTGTAACCGCCGGCGGTTGTCGTCGCTTACCGCTTCGCACTTCCTCTTGTTTGCTGCGTTCCGCACGCGTACGTAACGCCAACTCTGCCGATAGTTCTTTCTACAAAAATGTATAAGACAAATCATCTTTCCATGAACCTAATAGGATCGAAAAATTAAAGATGTTTCAGAAATGATGAAATACACTAGCCAATGTAATTAACTTTTCTTATTTTTTTTTTTTTTTTTTGCTTTTAGTACAGAATACGAATTCAACATTGAGAACACAAAGAAAAAAAAAAAGGTAGCTGAGTAACTATCAAACCTGTGAGAGTTAGCTTGGTTAAAATTTTTTAGTGTTCACATAAGAAAGAACAAAAGTTACAGTACAAGGGCGACTTATTCCAAGAATGTATAATATATTCAACTTAGTTATTACTTTGTTAATGATTTTTTTTATATATATATCCCATTACTTTTATATTTTGATCACTATGAGAACTAGGCTCAAAACGAAACATCTCTTTTTATCTGAACATACCTGTATCTCTACGCCTAGTTCTTTCTCGAGAAGTCCCCGTTTTTTTATTATATCCTTCTTCAGCATCTCCTTATGTTTATAAAGCAGCATTTGTAACCGAGAGTGAGTGGAGGCCGCTCGGCGCCGCTCATCAACTGCCGAAAGTGGGGCTGGTGAGGTCGGTGGAGGCTGCACCGGTGCGGAGGCTGGGGCGGGCGTTTGCTGCAAGGTGACGGGAGCGACGGCTGTGGCAGCGGGCGGGGGCGGGGCGCGCGGCGCCGGTGGCGGCGTTGGCTGGCGCGCCGCCCTAGATCGCTTGCGTGGACTGCTTTCGACCCACTCATCGTCATCATCATGGCGGGAAGACAAGGCGCGGCGCCGCGGCGGTGGCGATGGCGATTGCGTTGAGACGGCAATCGCTCTCGGCTCTCGCTCCACGTGCGGTTCAGGTTTCATACGTTTCTCCTGATACCGTTGAAGCTGCAGAAGTTTCTCTTCAATTTCAGGATTCAGGTTTTCCTGCTTCAAAGCACTTTTGATCGCTGAAAGTTTAAGAAAGATTTTCTTATCGACCACTAAGTTACGCCATATTTTAGTAAGTGCACGTGTAAGAATATATATATATTCATGTATACAAGTCGTTTGCAAAAACTTTAACCTGAGATAGCAAATAGTCGATCTTATGATTAATCTGGGCATCCACCTGTATTTGCTTTGCATCTTGCATTTTTGTGCTTTACATCTGTTTTGTCAGCCTTCCCTCTTATAGAAAGAATGATCTTTCTACAAGTCTTAATCGTTAATTGCATGCCCAATTTTATTTTTACACCAACACTTTCTTACAAACTAAGAATGTAACAATACATACATATTTGATTTTGCCTGAAAATCTTTATGTGAAAATGTATTTTATTTATAACAGTTGCATAAACATTAAATATACTCACTCTGCTGTATATAGTCTGGTGTAAGCACGAACTTATTACCGGGTACTCCTTCCTGAGTGGAATTAACTATATCTGCTTTGTTATTATTTCCCTTTATTTCTTCAGTTTTGTGACAATTTATTTCTTTATCGTCACCATTTAGAAGTGGTTGATTCTTTAATTGTTCTTCTTCATTAACACCCTAGAAGTAAAAGGTATTGGTAATTTCATAAAATATTTTTAATAGCTACTTACTTTGAGAAGTCCATTTGTTCCGAAGTATCATAATTATTCCTCATTTTATGCCACATATACAGATCCGGTAAATTCATAAAAACCTGCACTACCCTTAATTTATGGGGAATGTAAAAGAAACAAACTAAACAATTCAAAATCGTTTGTGGGAATATATCAGTACAAATAAATTTAAATTTTTAATAATTGTTATATTATTTTAATTGCGATACATTAATGAAATGAAAATTGGATTACCCGTTCCCTATTTTAAGAATTATAATTATTAGTAATATTTGATTTATAATCAGGTACAAAATTGCCCATACACCCCCACAAAACGTTTCAATAAAATGATAATTAGAAAATAAATTTACATAAATAAACAGGACTTGTATAAATAAAAGTCAATGAATTATTCAAATTATTTTATTTAAGTGACATTATTGCACTAATCATATATAAATAATGTTTTGATCTGTAATAGCTAATTACATAGTTATACAGGTGGTGTATGAGCAATTCCTGATACCAAACGTATTTCAAAACTGTATACTAGGAATCTAGGATATATTATGAACAAAATATCTTTGTGTGAAATACACAAAATGATTATACTATTTACCTGATATATATGTAAAAGTTCTACAATTGATTAAATGGAAGATTAAGACTATTATATTTATATTATTTTTACGGAATGCCATTTTTGTAGCCCATAGATCAAGTGAGTGTACATTTGTTATTCTGCGTTTTATCAATTTTATTCAATATGTATATTAGAACTAATACATATTATTATGGTTCACATCTTGATAAAACGCCAAATACTTATAATCATAAGCCGCGCAATTTATTTTATATATTATGTTAGTCTACATGACAAACCGGGTAGAGAAACACATGCTCACAAAAGCATACTTATGAGATTATGTACAATGAATAACATATTGATAAACGACACTCGTATTAAAGAATAACTAATGTACTCCCATAAGTGAAATATGTTCAAATTGGTATGTTTTGCTGCTAGTATTCTGAGCATGTGTATCTGTATTAGCACATTTAATGTAATCATATAGACTAAAATAAAATAGGTGGAATAATTAAAATATAAATGCATAAATAGTAGTTCAATAATCAAGGAATAATTAATTGTGATCGAGGAGATTCTCTTTGATGTATAATAGTAAAATACTGAAAATGTAATTTATGTCTTGGGTAATTTAGCACCACTTTTAAAATATATCAGTAAATGGAGACTTAATTAAAATGTCTAAACGCTCATTTAATTTCCTACTATTAGCAATCTCAAAAATGCTAAACTAGGTTAAACTGTCAATTACATATATTCATGAATATATATATATTATATTTATTTATTACTGATAGTATTATATGTACTTATATAGTTTAGAAATCCCGTTTCGGCGTTAAGTTTTACTTTTCTAAGAGGTTTCTTTATCAAACTATGCATTCATTAAATAATTGCAAAATAAAATAATGATTATTGTGGTAATCATATTTATATTCAGTAACCAAGCGTTCAGGTTTGCTTGCAATATTGCAATAAACGTAGAATGGTAATTAACTCAAAATAACATTAAAAATATGCGATATTACTTCGATTAATTTATAAAAATTTAAAATTCTACTAAAGACTGGAACATTTATCATAGTAAAAATCAATTTTAGTTTTGCATAAATTTTGATACTCAACACTGCATTTAGTATTAAAACTACTATTTATATAACTTATCTGCTAAGAAAAATATTGTTTTCATATCTTTAACAGATATGAAAACAATATTTTCATAAATACATTATAGAAATTGCTATCATTTTACAAGGATCTTTGGTGCATTATAACAATAATAATTAAATTATTGCCGAATTATTATTTCACGCTAAAATTGTGTCCAGTCTCATAATTTACAATACCTATGAAATGGACAATAGTTAAAACACTTTATTTAATATTAATGAGAAGCTATATTGATATTAGGTTATCATCATGACGAGTGCATCATTATTTATATGAAAATTAATAAACATAATACTTTTCTAGCTACAGCACGCAAGTATAATATTAAAATTATAAAAATGCACTCATTTTGATAATATCCCTTAAAATAATTTAAATTTCATGCCTCGCCTATTAAGATTACATAAATAAGTTAACACTACAAGAATCAAATATCACAATTTTGCCTAATTCCTAACTGCCCATATACAAATCTCTCTAGCAGATAGGCTCTTATTTAATTACAAGTCTAATATATAACAACGAAACGGCGTCCACGCGAAGTGAAACATGGTGACGAGTGGCGTCTAGTAGTAATAAATTACCTGATGCGGCATGGGCACGGGCACCGACACGGACTGCAGTGGCTGCAGCGCGTGCAGTGGTTGGGCGGACACTGGTGCAGCTACTGGCGCCAGTGGCGGCAGTGGCGGCGCCGCACCAGGTCCACTCGCCGAGTTCGCTCCGCTCGGCGCTGGCTGTACCGCTAAGTACATCTTCCTCGGACCCAGCATACCTTGTTTACCCGTTGATTCTTGTGCTACAATTTTATACAATATACAATTTAATTGCAACTAATTGTGGTCATTTATAAATAATTTTACATTTGAAAACTATTTCATGATACTTTATTAAGCATGTAACTTTTCTGCATGGAAAAATTTAATGTTTATTTCTTTTTAATACAAATTAATTGAATTCAAATTTGACTGAGATTTGTATCAACTTATTTTAAAAAATAAATTTTCAAGTTAATATCAAAATATTTAAGTATTTTCTATATTTTTTTTTTATTTCATGAATAGTATTATTTATGGCTTCACTTAAAAAGCAACTAAATACTTTTTTCTCAATAAGACTAATGAATGTTGTAGTGAAGTTATTATTGTCATTAATTACTGTAAATAACATTATGAATTTAATACCTTTCAATAACTGCTGTTTTACTTGATGTTGTACTAAAGCCAATTGTTGAGGTGTTAATGAATAACCATGCAACCCTTGCAATACTATACTAGGACCACTACTCGTTTGCATGACCTGTAACAAAGAAAAAATAATATAATTTACTTTGTACCAATATAGCAGTGGAAACAAACAGTAACAATTTGGGAATGCCAATTCATAAGGGTTTTGTGAGGTTTATGCGTACAGGTAAGTTTTCACTATCAGGTGGCCGGCAGCTTGTTAGTCATTACAAATTGTATAAAAGAATTGTTTTTAACTCCTTTATTGTAGTACAGTACTCATTATATAAAATTACGATTGCTAAATTATCTTCAGAAAATGACATGGTTCATATGCATTTGTAGAGGAATGAATGATAAAAGTATTTGCTTATTTATCTCTCTAGGTAATAATAAGTTGAAATAAGTAGCTATTAACGACTATATCTTCGCTTACTTCTTATGAAGTTCTAAACTAATTTTAATATGAATTTCACTTATATTCAGATTTTTTATGGAAAGTTTATACAATTTGCACCCATATAAAACGAAACAAGTGCTAGTATACAATAAAATACTATTATTTCGCATGGTAAATACATTATGTACCTGTGCTGTGACAGTCTTTATGACAGTGCCTGGTGGTTGACCCACTAGTAGACGCTTTTCAACGATCTCATCTTCAGTGAGCGGTTGTTGTTGAGCCGGCTGTGGGGGCTGAGGTGTCGGTGGAGGCGCAGCAGGCGGCGGAGGCGGCGCCGCACGCGGCGTTGTCGCCACTGCCGGGCTCTGTCCTATGTGCGCTACTATCTGTGCTTGGTTGTTTCCAGTAGGTCGAATCAAGACTTGCTGTCCATTCACAGTTGCCAATTGTATTTTACCAGCCGCGATCTGCTGTACGAGAACGGGATTATTGACCACGATTTGCTGAGTAGAGGCGGGGCGAGCGCGGGGTGTCTGCGTGCGAGAGAGGGATGAACGAGTTGGGGCGGGCGCGGAGGGTGTGGCGGGCCGCTGTAGCAGCTGACCCTGCACCAGCACCGTCTGCACGGCCTGCATGCGCGGCTGCAGGTTCGCTCTCGCTCCGCTTTGTACTACCACCTGTTGCGGCGACTGGACGACCACTTGCTGCGGTTGTTGCACTACCACCTGTTGCGATGGTTGTACTACTAGCTGCCGGTTACCCTGTAGAACGATCTGTTGTGTCGGTTGTGGAACGACGCGCGGAGAGGCCTTTGTATCTTCAGTTGTGGTCTTGGCTGTTAACACTTTGTCTTCTTTATCATTGTCTGAGACTTTGGAAGCAGGCGATGCTGCCACAAGCTGACCAGTGATTCCTTGTTGACCAGCCATCACGACATGCAATTTTCCATCAGGCATTTGTATTAACTGTTGTCCAGCCAGCAATCCCCTAACTGTAATTTTTCCATCTGGTGCCCTTATTATTTGCACTTTCTGTGGTCCATCCTTTTGTGGTGTTCCTGTTGTTTTTGGTGGGACTTCTGTAACTTGTCCACTTTTTGTGGTTGTTGTAATAGGTTGACTGATAACCCTCGTTGAACCATCTACTCCTTTAGTCATGATAATCCGTCTGGTGCCTATTACGGTTTTTTGTCCAGTTGGTGTACTTGCATTTGTGGTTAACAATGAAGTAAGGGTGCTTTTACCAGAATTTTGATTAGGAGTGGACTTTGATTTCTCTGAAAAGAAAACAAAGATTAAATTTGTGATTATGTGAAAAATAATGAATTAGAGGATGATAGTTGATAGTAATGTTACCCTGAGAAGTTTCAAGTGCTCTTTTTTGTTGATGTGCAGCTCTTTGTTCACGTAGTTGTTGCTCCATCTTATCCTTAAGGTCTGAGGCATTGGGGGGTGGTGCAGCTGGTGTTCGCTGTGGTAGTTTACCAGTTGAAGTGCGAGTAACTGGCGTCGCCCTTTCAGTGCGTTCACCATATTGACGTACTTCCCATAATTCCAATTTATCCTCATCGACCCACTCTTCAGAAACCTGTGATTAGTTATATAAATTTAATAATACCCAATATCAACAAACAACACAATAAAAAAAAAAAAGAAAATAAATTAGTATGGAGTAACAGTCTAAATAGTAGAGTACGAGGCCATAAAACTTATTAAAAAATTAAAACCTGAAAAAAGCCCAGGTTCAGACAACATTACGAATGAAGCCATAAAAATCGGAGCGCCTATTTTAATCACATATCTAGTGAAAATTTTTAACCTAGTTCTGGAGAAGCAAGTGGTACCAAAGCAATGGTGTGAATCTGACATTATACTGCTGTACAAGAAAGGCAACCTGCTTGATATTGGCAACTACAGACCTATCAGCTTACTATCCACAGTTTACAAACTCTTTTCATCCATTATTTTGAGCAGAATAGCAACAGAAATTGACAAATATCAACTAATAGAGCAGGCTGAATTCAGACCACATTACTCTACAATCGATCACATCCACACAATAGAACATAGATAATAGAAAAGTATAAAGAATTCAATAAATCACTTTACATAGCATTTGTGGACTACTCCAAGGCCTTCGATAGCATTACACATTCATCCATATGGCATGCTTTGGCTGACAATAATATAAACAGCACCTACATAAATATTATAAAAAATATTTACTCTAAAAGTATAAGCAGAGTCAAACTGCTGTTGGCTGCAATTGGCTGACAATAACATAAACAGCACTTACATAAATATTATAAAAAATATTTACTCTAAAAGTATAAGCAGAGTCAAACTGCTGTTAGCTGCAATTGGCTGACAATAACATAAACAGCACTTACATAAATATTATAAAAAATATTTACTCTAAAAATATAAGCAGAGTCAAACTGGAGAGGCAGGGTGAAAAGTTCACAATTGGAAGAGGCGTAAGACAGGGAGATCCACTTTCTCCAAAACTTTTCATAGCAGTACTTAACAACATCTTTAAAAGTATCGATTGGAGCCATGAGGGTATATGGATACTGAACAAAAGACTAACACACTTATGTTTCGCAGATGATATAGTACTTTTTAGCGAATCGGCTAGCAACCTAGAAAAAATGCTACAAGAACTAGATTTGGAAAGTAAGAAAATTGGCCTAAATATGAATGCAACCAAAAGAAAGATCATGACAAACCACAGCAAAAAATTAATCAAAATAGAAGAGAACCCTATAGATTATGTGGATAGTTATGTGTACCTAGGTAAATTGGTCTCTTTCGAAACGAACAGTGGAGAAAATGAAGTTGATAGAAGAACACAACATGGAAAAAATATTGGGCTCAAAAAGAAATCCTTAAAGGGAACTACAGTCTCAACTTAAAAAAGATAATTATGGATTCCTGCATCCTGCCAAGCCTAACATATGCATGCCAAACATGGACGTATACTGAAAACAATAAAGAACAAAATCCTATCATGTCAGCATGCGATGGAAAGAAGTATCTTAAAGTTAAGAAAAATACAGAAAATAAGAAACACTGATATTAGGAAGAAAACTAAAATAACAGAATAGTATGAAACAGAAGTGGAGATGGGCAGGCCATATAGTGAGGTACAAAGATAAAAGGTGGACTCTTCAAACAACAAAATGGCGAGGTCCAGCGGGAAAATGTTGGAAGGCAAAGAAAGAGATGGGCAGATGATATAATAAAGACAGCAGGAAAAAACTGGACAAGTATTGCTATAGATAAGGAGAAGTGGAAAAAGATGGAGGAGGCTTTTACCATTGGGGACCACTGAAGTGGATAAAAAGCTATAATTATAATAATAAAACAATCTAAATGAAGATATACGAGTCATTTTTCTTTATTTACCTGAGGTTCAGTATTTTGAGGTGATTCAGCGCGCTTTCTTTTCCGCAAGCCACTACGTATTGATGTTACTTCCCGTACAGTTTTTGGTAATTCTAAAGGGATAACTACTCGGCGACGAAGATACTGTGTACGTTCGGAAAACTGTCCTATATGACGATGTTTCAATAACTCTAAAGAAACAATTTCTGTATCCGTTGTTAATTGATGTTTTCCGTCAGCTGTAGCTGGTTTAGCAGCCATATCATCCCATCGTAAACAAGCCCACATTATACGAAGTTGTAATGCCGCACTTGCTAACCACTGCAAATTTACAGTGCGATATAACCAGCATGTTTTGAATAAAGGTCTTGCACATGGATATGGCCACACAGCTTGATTTGGTTTTGCACTATGACTAAAACCAGAAACAGTGCTATGACCAGCTTGCCTCGAAATTTTTCTTAATTCATGATGTGGCAAAACCATTAATGTTTTTGCTTTACTTCTTGTGTGGAAAGTGGAACACAGTGGATACTTGACTGGTGTTCTTTTCTTCTTTTTGTCTAGTGCTGAAGTTTGTACTCTTTTCAGGTATATCTTACCACGGGGGCTGTCTGCTGAATAAATCCTTATCAAACCATCTTCAGCTTTCTCTTCTTTGACAAGTTTATCTTCTCTTTTCGGTTTAATAAGTCCAAAACGTCTATTAATTGTAGCACGGTATTTGCTAGCTTCCTCATTTTTAGACTGTGTTACTGAACATTTATAGGATGTAGATTCCTTATTATTATTGTCACTTGTTATTGTAGAAGAGTTACTTGATACTTTCGAAGATCTACCTCTAGTTATCCTTAATTTCGGTATAGGAGGCCTAGCTTTATCAGAATCGAGATCAACTGCAGTATCATCAATATTCTGATCAGGATCAGTCAATTCCTTCAAAGGGCCTATTTCAACTTCATTTTCTTCACTATTATTGCAAGTAATATCGATATCCAATTCATTTCCTACTGCTGGTACAGCTGATTCTTCTAATGTACTCTCTGATTTAAGAGAAGACATTGCATCATCATCTTTTTCAGACTTCACAACAGCATCACAATCACTACTTAATTTTCTTTTTACAAAACCATCTGTGGTTTTATTATCACATTCTTGTGCACAGGCTACAGCAGATAACAAATCTGTCAAAATATTCTCATTATTGTTTACAGTAGAAAATGAACTTTTTCCTAATAAGTACTGTTCAAGAATTGACATTTTTGTGTTTTCTTTTGAGTTGGTTAATAAACTAGAACAGTTGTTAATACCGCCTTTTAATACTGTCAATAATTCATTTAACAGCTTTGTTTTGAGAATACACAATGGCGAATAACAATTAATTTTTAAAGCTGACCCTTGTAGAAAACTTGACGACTCCATTTTGTTACAGTTATTTGAATAACATTTGTAATGTTTTGTCAATTCAACCAATTTGTGGTATCGATCCCTCAAAGCATCGGCAGTTTTATTTGTGCCATCATCTTTGATATTCTGTTTTCGTTCATTTGGTGTTTCGCAGATAGATGGAATCTCGGTTTCGGGTTCATCATTCTCAACATCAATATTTTTATCATCTTCAATTTTAACATCTAAATCTTCTTTTTTCACTTTGGTTAATAAATTAGCAATTTTCTTTTCTTCCATGAATTTTAAGTACGTGCGGCGAGTTAAAAAATCATCTAATTTCGATTTTTTTGCAATCTTGGGATAATATCTTCTTGTAGAAGAACTCAAAGATTTTTCTACATCAATTTCTTCAAAATCATTATCATCTTCTTTTTCTACAATTAAGTTACGCATCGATGGGGGTACTGAAAGCATATACAACATTATTATTCATAAAATAATAATCTAAAAGTTACATATTTTACTACTTTTGAAAATTGCTATATGAAATAATAGAGCTATCAATATAATTGTTACACCTTCATACATTCTATATTCATGTATATTATTATTATATATATATATATATATATATATATATATATATATATATATATATATATATATATAAATAAAAATAGTGAATATCGACTTGCATGATTGCATTACTCACATTTATCAAGAACTTCCTTGTTCACAGTTTTATCTGAAATTAAATACTCATAGGTTTTAGGTTCAACAGCTAATACTTTAATTGTATTTCCTTCCCTCACTCTAACTGCAATTTTAGCAGGTCCATTGCTGAGGTTCAATTTTGGAGTTGTGTTATGCTTTTTAAACTTTCTAGTGGTTGAATTCCATAACCAACCCCATTGGCCATGAATTCTGTATTCTTCTCCTTTTTGCTTCCATACCTTAAATAGACGCATTAATTATAAATATACATAGTTTACGTCATAGAAAAAAATATAACATTATATTTTAGAATGAATTATAATTCCTTTATTGATGTATTTTTTTTTATTTGTCACAAAAAATATTTTTTATTTTAGTTTAATCTGCACTTTCTTTACAAAATGTATACTTTAGTACTATTTTCTGTTATATATTACCTGATGGCGGAAACCTAATGTATATTTAACAAAATTATATCCAGTTCTGTAACGTTCTTCTTCTTCATCTCTTTCTTTTTTCTCTCGTTTATCTAGTTTTTTACGTTCTTCACGCTCTAAGGCCGTGGTTCGTATCAATTTGACATGGCCAAGTTGTTCGTGCCAAGCCGGCATCCATACAACATTTTTTATACATGCCTGAAAATGTGTAGAAAATTGTTTAAAAAAAGAAAAATATTAACAAAGTGATTAATGTTAAAATATAATACCCACTTGTAAAACACAAAGAGCTCTAGAAAAATCCCGTGGGGCTTGACATAGTTGTACTGCCTGTACCCAAGGCTTTCTTAGTAATGACCAATTAGGATGCATAAACTGTATCACTATATTGGATTCTAGTTGTAACAAAGTTTGTCTCAATGTAGCGACTAGTAATGGTTTTGTAGCTGAAAGAAAATACATATATAAGACATTGTAACAACATATAATAACTAACATATATTATTTATAGTTAATATAATGACAAACCATTAAGAAGTCCAACCCATTTAAATTCTTGTCCTGAAGATAAAGAAAATTTGTGCGCCATGTAACGCTTTTTATCTCTTTCTTCATTTCTTTGAGGTTTATTCAAAGCAAGAGGATTGATCGAATATTGATTTACATAATTTTTAAACGAATTTTCATTTCCTAATTTAAATAGGTATGATCCATTTGATATTTGATTTGATTTTAAACGTGTTACTCGTTCAGAAACTGGAAATAAATAATGTATTAAAGACAATACAAGAACAACAACATATTACTCATATTGTGATATAAATCTATAGTAGCGTTAAGCTATAAATGAATATAAGTAGCAATTTTGCTATAATCATCTATTTATAAAATTTACAGTACGACTATTACAATATCCAGAAAATTAAAGTAAGTTTGTCAGGTTATGTGAGGTGCACCTCTCAGCATATGATAATGAAACGAGTTTCTAAAATTCCGATTTATTCTATGGTTTTTTAAGTTATATATACCTTCATCAGTTTTCTTTTGTGTTAATGATGATCTAGTTTTATTATTATGAGTTTTATTTTTCTTCATTTCGTCATCATCTGTGACGTCGGGCTGTGAATCTTCATTATCCACATGTGATATGTCTTCACTAGTTACCGTAACTTCATTGACCACATCATCAGATACAAGTGAATCATTTTCCATTTTTTCATCTTCAATTTTCAATCCGACATTTTGCTCATTTTGTTGCCTTAATTCTTCTTTCAGTTTTCTTTGTTTTATAATATTAGAATTTTCTACTTCTAGGTAGGATTTGCGATTTCCTTTTGCTTGATTTGTTAATCGTTCTGTAATTTCCATTTGTCTAGTAATTTCTTGTCTCATTTCTAATAGTTCCCGGACCAGGGGAGTTTCCATTTCGTCAGCATCTAATACATTTAATAGTTCTTGGAACTGCTGAGGTGTTGTATAATACCATACATCGCCATTTTCAGCTTCTCTAAAATAATTAATTGCTATCATTTATTGATTGAATATAATAATTATTTAATATTTTCAGGAAACAGGACTCTCATATGGAAAAATATTAGTTACACAGAATAAATCTTTATAAATAAACTAGATTATAAGCATTTTTTAATACTTTTATGATTCTAGTTCAGGTTTCATTGTTGTATCTACATACATACAAATTAAATTTCGGTTCCAAATAAGTACATCACTGGAGATAGGTGGAAAAATTTGGCACATATTTCTAAATATGTATAATAGCAATATTTTGCGCTTTGTGTAAAAGATGTGTGAAATATTTTTTTAAAGAAAATAAAATAAAATTGGAGATTATGGAATAAGTTCTGCATAATTTTCATTTTTGTTTTTAAATCAGCTAGCTAGGTTAAATTTTTATGTGAATACAGATGGGCCACTAATATTATGGTAACACAAAGCAATAATGAATGGAGTAACATGAATTATCAAAAATATTAATTCAGACAAGTTACACTCATGAATACTGGCTCGAGTCAATCATAGTGAAACGAAGGAATACATTATAATGGCATATTTATTAATACCGTTACAACAAAGAATATTTTCATATTAGGTAGAAAAAAAAATGAAAATATTTAGAATATCTTAAAATATTGAATTGGCTTTTTCAAGAGAAAAAATTAGCTCGAAAACTCCATTTAGTATTTCACAATCACTAAATAATCTCTAAATAATATAAATACTTGTTCTTCAAAAGTTCAAAGAATATTTGATTAATAATGATGCTTTAAATATATATATATGATAATTTATTATTAATATATATATATCATAACCTATATAGTACAGAAAAGTTCTCTTAGGAAAGTGCTACGATACTATAAAAGTACTACGAGCAGCATTTACAAAATTTGCTTGATCAAGTTCTTTCATTTTGCGAAAAATAAATGCTTTAATGTAGACAGCTTATACAGAATGTGAAAGGGACTCCATTTTCCGCACTTAGCCTCTCATTTGGGCCATTGTGTGTATAAAAGCTAATACAGAATACGCTGGATAGAAATATAACTGTTAAGTATTAGCAAATAATTCAATATCTCATTTTTTTAATTTATTTTAAAAATTATAATTAATTAATTTATATACTCAATTAACTGCATCTAATATCTGTGTATTTCAATACTTACATAAATATACGACGAGTAATAAACCAATACTTTCTTCCATGGCGATCGAAACCCATATGTTCGTGACGACAAAGTAAACCTTGTTTTTCAGCATCAGGCAAACAATCAGTTACACCAATAGTTTTATGTTGCTTACAAAGAGCACACTGCCAGTCTTCAGATGGGACATCAACTAATGGTGGGTCCACACATTCCAAATGGAATACAGCTGGACAAGTTTCACAACACAACAAATCCCCCAAACGATGACATACTCTACAGTGATCATCATAATGTATAGGAACTGCAAAAGAAGATTAGTTGTTATGTTTTATAATATTATTTGTATACTTTAGAACTTGTGGGAGTTAAAAAAAACAATATAAATCATAATAGGATACTATACAGTGGTTTAAGCATTTATTCATGTCATGGATACTTCTATGACTGTTTGTAGTAAAGTTGTAATTTCTTAACATTTTGATAAACTTTAGTAGTGTAAATCAATCTAGATTCCAGATTAAAACAATAAAACATTCAGTTATGAATATTGTGCATAGTCATAATACTGGCAGTTTCTCATGGAAGTCCAAGTGATGTTATGATGTGATGATATAACATTTATAACTTGAAAGAAATTTGGTACATGGGTAGTTGTATATCCTATTTATGTGTGCAAAGCTTGTACCCCGCAGCTTTGATAGTCACAGTCACAGTTGTCGATTACTCTTGTAATGGAATAAAAAAATTTAAAACAAATACTATAAGGTAATGATGGTTGTTTCTTTCCATTAAAATAATTTTGGAGCTCTGTTGTAAGAAAATAATACTTAATTATTTCTTTAAGTACCTACTTTGCTTTTTTGGGGTATTGATATCATTGGTAATAGGAGGTTGATATTCTCCACCAATGAGAATCAATTCAATGCCAGTTAAATGTTAACAAGCTGTTACTGTACTTTAAGTACAACAAAAAACAAAGCTTCAATTCTCCAGGAGTTGATAAATATAACACCAAGAAATGTAAAATATTAAAAATGGCTTAAAAATAATATTAAAATAATTTATTAAATTACATTAATAAATGATAATTTGATAGTTTCTCATATTTAAATATTTTCTTAAATACATAAAATTCTCTTTTGGTAATTTTTAGGGTTCTGTACCTCAAAAGTTAAAACTCCTTATAGGAACACTTCAATGTCTGTCTGTCTGTATGCCCACCACAGGCAATTTTCTCCTAAATTACTAAATCAATTGAGTTGAAATTTATGTACACACAAATAATTCAGTGACTCAAAGATGGGCATGTAACATAAATAAATTAATTTTAAACATGGGGCCACTTTTAGGGCTAAGTTTGTTTTATGATAAATAGTTTTTAAGTTATTTACGAAAATAGGCAAAAATTTATCACCCTTCTTTTAACTCTAAAACTACTGGGCCAAAAATTTTTAAAATATATAAAAAAACATAGGAAATTACTCAATATTATGCATGTATGAATTTAAAATTTAGTTGTAATAATATGACCAAATTACTTTGAATAGACTAGGATTATCTAGAGTATGGAGAGGGTCCTATATGTTCATTAAACATACAAAACCTTTTCCATGTAAGTTTATCTAGCACTTGAGTGGTTTTTCTTAGATTTTGCTTGTAAACAACTTCATATACAATAAGCCGGCAATAATATTTTAACAATACTAAAAACAGAAATACATTACCATAAGAGAAACTACCTTTTAAGGCAATGGATTTGAGTTTTTTCAATCTTATTAGCCCTATAACCTAATGAAAATTTATCTTTTTTTAGAAAAGCAATGCCTAAAATTTTTTATGCCTTTCTGATCTGTGATCTTATTAAATAATAAAATATGGTTTTCACATACTACATTATATTGATCATTATGTATATTGATAAACCTCTAATTTAGAGTACTTCAAGTTAATATAAGTACTATACATATAAATTGTATACTATATGCTACTTTAGGGTAGAATGGTATAAATATCAAAATAACAACTTTACAGAAGAAACACAAGAACAATAATAAAATATTTTTGCTCATAACTTTTGTGTTAGATTTATAATCATCTGATTGTGAAAGACTTTCTTATTTATATACTTTAACATGACAATTAGATTTAAAACTTTAAAAGTTAGGATGGGGATTACTACCTCAAATAGGTTCTATACTGTAACTTTTTTAGGACAATGGCAAACAAGCTGATATGTACCCATGTAAGCCCACATGATGGAAAGTGGTAACTGTCAACTACAGACAAACAGCACTATGGACATTATAGAATACACTATTATACTCATGGTAATTCCAATATGTTGTAATTCCTGAAAGCTACAATAGTATGCCTCCTAATCTATAACTTACTGTAACTACATTTATAAGCTACAGATTGATAATGTCAAATTCTAAACAAAATTACATAAGTAATATTTGCCAAAATGGTAATTATGCATTCCTATTTCAAAGTAGCAATATGCCAAATATATTTATTGTTATTTCTTTCTATGATATTAACTCCACTTTTTACACTGTCCATATATATTTAAATTTAATAAATACTAAAGCAAATCCTTGAATCACACTATATTAGTTTGCAATACATATACATCCACCTTAATAAAGTTTGTCTAAAATTTATAACTATAAAGAATAGATGTTACATTAATTGTAAGTACTTACCTTCACTCAACAGGTCATCGCGTACAGGATTTGTGATTAGGAATTGATTGCATAAAAACTGTAGTACTGTTACCCTGTCCTCTATAGACGTAAATGGGTATTCACATGAGTTCAAAACTTTTATCACATTTTGATCAAAGGACTTGTCACTCTCTACATAGATCCTTAATATTTCAGGCCATGTCATGACATCCAATAAAAATAGAGTAATATTTATACTATCTTTATGATCCAAAGGACCAAAGTGAGTCTGTTGAGCATCTTCTTCTCTCAGTAAGGCCTTCAACAGCATTATATGTACTTCTATAAGTAGATTACTTTGATCTTCACAGCTTAAAGCTGCACACAAGTCTTCTAAACGAAACGGAGACAGCCTCACCAAATGTCTAAAGTGCCGCAAAACTTCATAAATACCAACTACTTGTAAAATTAAATTTTGGGGGATGACTAAATCATCTGATGATGCAGGAAGCTCTAATGGAGGGATTTGCCTTTCGTCTTGTAGCCACAGAGGATCTGGACTAGGTACCCGAATTGCATTGCTGCCAACTTTCCTGACAATGCCCCCTGTTGTGCTGTAACTACTTACAGAAAAGTCGCTGTCACTGGCGGCCCCTTCGCCAACGCTTCCTTCAGAAGTTTCGCTGGCGCGATCATCTTCTGGTTCAGATCTATCACTATATTCGTCTCCAAAATCCGACCCATAATGGTATTCCGACTCATGATAGTCCGCGGCTTGTGGATTATAGCCTCTTCGCGAATATGCACTTGACAAACCACCTCTCTTACTCTTATGAGATTTTCCTCCTCTCTGTTTACGCGTACTTCGTCTGCTAATATCACTGCCTTGTGGAGAAGATGCTCTAGATGCAGAAGGCGTGCTTACAAGAGAAGTGGATCCCACATTAAGACCTTGTAAATATTTCGGTTTTTTCAATAAATGATATTGGAATTTTCTGTTCTTTTCAAAACAACCCGATTTCGGGGGCCTCCCGCGTTTCTTTGCCCCCCTTCCCGACATCATTGATAGCAACTGTCAATTATGTACTGTTTCGCACGTGTACCACAAAAACATAGTCTTGTTTACAAAAACAAACCGATGGAATTGCATTTTAGTTCAACCTAAATCCAACGCAGTCATGATCCCAGCAGTTTTTAATGCTTTCCACAAATTGAACGTCACACACTACTCTTACACTTAATTCACTAGATCCTTTATTCCAACTTAAATATAAGTCAATCAAATCACTGACTGATAACAGAAGACAATTTCAATTTGTAAATGAAGAAAGGCACCAAAAACGTAATGACGCGAAATACGAGTATATCAATTCTGAAACGCTCCGATGCTGGCTTCCCATTGGTTGATTAGTAGTCCGCCATGTCGTTTTCATACTTGCAATAAAATTTCGGATCAGTATTCTGGACTAGAGATCGAATATTGTCACACACTCGATATCTAGTACAAAATATTTTATAATTATTTAATTAGGATCACAGCATACAATTTCTGATCGGTGTAAATTTATTATTTGCTGGAGAGTTGATAGTTCACAGAACACTTTCTTTGATATACACCACATCGGCGGCCATTTTCCTTTGTAATATCTATTAATTATCAATTGACAGATTGAAAATTTTAAAAATACCAAAACTTATTAATATATATAGAATTATATTAAAAATTGCAATAAAAATTATTTAAGCATATTTTAATAATAATTTTTATGTTAGAATGCTGCAGTAAAAGCAATGTACGATAAAATATAAGTAACGGAAACTAGTTTGTGTTTGTTATATTGGTAATCGCAATAGCGTCTGTTAAGGGTGGCAATATTTTAAAATGCCGAGTACATCAGATACGGAGAATAATTCATATAAAAGGGAAACCCTTTTATTATGAAATATTCTCCATACCAATCAACTTTATTATGAATTTTAGTTCATATTTTTAACTTTTTATTTTATTTTAGTGAAAATACTATTAAAAACAACTTTATCTCTCGCTAGTAGGATAACTCACTCGCCAATAGGGTATTTTTTTTTCTTCTTTTGACTTCAGATTTTTAGGATAGCCATTAGCCATTTTCAAATTTAATTAAGAAGCGGGGAAATCGACGCGTATCAAAACAGGAATATAGTGGCAGAAAACAATAGGATATTATATAAATCATGATATGGATAAATAGATACTCTTTATTATTTCCTCTATAAAATTACAATAGTAAACTTATTATAAATACAAAAAATAAAAAAAAAAATCACAACGAGAAAACAACGGGCGACCTTTATCGCTAAAAGCCATCTCTTCCAGGCAACCTTTGGATAGACAAGAGTAATTAGAAACAGTGTGACTGAAAGCATGAAACTCTGTTCGTTAAATACTATAAATATAGACATATAATACGTACGATAATGTGAATAAAAATATATTTTAAGGGTTAAACTGGACTAAGTACAGTTTAACCCCGCTAAGACACAAGCTTGCGCATTTACCGCTAAAAAACCCTATTTGCTGTGGCTCCACATTTCCAAGACATGTCTCTTAACATCTCTACATGTGATGTACAGTTCCGTGGCCACTACACACACAAACTCGGTGTGTTTAATTAATTAATAGAGCAAAGCATTATCTCACGCCGGATCAGTTATTAATGCTCTGCAAATCGCTAATCCGGCCCCACATGAAATATTGCTGTCACATATGGGCGGAAGCACCTAACTACCAGCTTGAACCCTTCAACTCGTTGCAACGACGAGCTATGAGAATGGTCGATGATCCCAGGCTTATAAGCGGTTTTGAACCCTTAAGTCTCAGGAGAAATTTTACATCACTCTGCGTGTTCTACCGCTTGTACAACGGATTGTGCTCAGAGGATTTGTTAAATATGATGCCCACGGCCACTTTCTACCATCGTATGGCTTGCCACCGACATGCAGTTCATCCTCATATCCTAAAGCCTAAATAGTCGCGTACAGCGCGGTTTCAGAGATGTTTTCTCCCACGAACACTCAGGCTATGGAATGAGCCGAGGGGTTCTTCAAAAGGGGGTAAAGAGATTTCTTCAGGATCGGCAACGCGCGCGTAATATCTCTGGTAATGCAGGTGTTCATAGGCTACGGTAACTATTTACCATCAGGTGAGCTGTATGAAAATTAAATACAAATTCATACATATAAAAATAAACATACATATGTACAAAAATAAAAAAATAAAAAGAATGTGAGTATATGGTAATCAGATACAAATTATAAATTTGCCAACTTGTTCAGATAGAAGTTTTTAACATTTAAAATTTTATAGGGATTGTATACTTAGTAGAGGTTGATAGACTATTTCATAGTTGAACATCTTGCATAGTAAATTATTTATGATAAAAGCTTTTTAAATGTACTTCAGCTAGAAGCTCCCAAACAACCTCAGATTAAGATAAAGAATCGTATATAGAAAGTCAAACTGTTCCTAAAAAGTAAACTCCTAGAACTCCTACTAGAAAGTAAACTCCTTTCTGAAACAGGGAATTATGATCATATTTTCTAACAGCGAAAATAAACCTGATAAAATCGTTTTGGGATAGTGCAATTTTGATAGTTGCAAGCAAAAAATTATGCATTCTTAGCAATGAGCTAATGGATCCGATAACTTTCCTACAGAACGTTTCAATTTGTGGCGGCCTAGTTAGAGAACTGTAAATGATCATATCTAGGTCTTTCACTGATGCACTGAAAGGGATTACTAACTAATTTTGATTGGTCTACCTTTTGGGTAAGTTTAGGACTACCTGCTAGTAAGACTTGTGATTTTAGACGGATTTACTCTTTTGTTAACCGATACAAAGTTTTGTGGCTTTCATCATCATCTCAGTAGTTTAAGTTAGGATTATATCTTTATTTTTAAACGAGATAAAGTACAAACAATTATTTCGACATGTCCAATAATTATTATATATTTTTAACAGATTTAAAAAAAGAGGTTATGATCCATTGTACATTTTGTTATATACGTCCACCGATTTCTCTGTCAATTGGAGATCAATTTTAAAAATTCTGGTGGTCCCATTGTCACCAAGTTAAAATCTGATGATGGGATCCTAGGGAGATTTGAGGGCAACCCATAAATTTTATTACGATGTTTCAATTTTTTTCAAAATTTATTTAGATATTTGTATCTAATATTGCTGAGCTGATAATGAAAGCCATAATTTTTCAATGGTTAGCAGTTAGAGGATATTTTTTTAAATACTATGGGCACGTAAATTGTTATATTCCCTTAAGTTATTCAGATGAGCTGATAATGGAAAGTTTAACTCCTTAACGATTAGGAGTTGGGAGATTATTTCTTGTATATTATAAACACGTTTCTTAGGCTCTTTCAAGTTATTTGAGTGATCACTGAGAGTCATCATTTCGTCAATGTGGAGGCTAAAGAGAACGAGAACAATAATTATAATAAATACAACTTAACAGTATACTTTCGTTATGTCCATGGTACTGCTTATGTTTATAGGCGACGGTTAGCACTTTTCATCAGGTGGGCGGTCAGCTTATTTGCCATTCTAAGTTGCACAAAAAGAAACTTAAATGAATAACGAAATGTAATTCTAATAAAATATTTAAATATTTTTGTTAAGGCTTAAAGACCAATCCTTAAACAACTGTGAGAAACCGTAAAATTATTAACAATAATGTAACGCCTTATTGCATTAATTGACATCGAGTTCAAAGATTTTGTCCTCTAAAGAAAATTCAGGCAGTGTGTTCTGCAGTGGCCAGCAACTGAGGCATTGATGGACGAACGTGCAAATATGGGCTGAGGCGTAGCCGAGGCACACATACGTAAGTCCATCAATGCCTAGTTGTGGCCAAGGCTTGTATAGTACTTCTCTCAAACAATGCGCGGAAATCAAAAACACAATTTTACTTTTTAAGTTCAATGACGAATAATGAACAATAATAATTTTTCACGCGCTATAATGTTCCTTTGTTGTTTTTCAATAAACAGCTTTCTATTTGCAAGCCAGTTCGAAATTTAAATAAAACTTTTTATTAGTTACCTCCTTAATAGCCATGTTTTGAAGTAAAAGGTGATTCCATTTTTAAATTACAGGACAGATATGAGTTTACATAGTAATTTATCTGGCCGCAAAACACGACAGAAATGGATTTTCATATAACTTTTGCCGGCCGCTGCCCGCATGTATCTGGCCAGTACCTACGGCAATTTTGATTTATCTCGAAGAAGATTGGCAAGATAATGTTCACATTTCCAAGCATGTTTGAGAACTGTAGGCACTACTAGTAATTAGTAATTTGTGATATAAGCATTATATAATCAATTGTCGAGAAATTTGTTATATGGGCAGTTTTTTTTGTCATAACTAAGTTGATCACGTTACCGCGCATTTTATACGATAATATAATTTATTTATAGTATATGTATTTATGTAACATTTTATTATGTATCTTAATATTTTATTTAACTGTATATTTGTTTATGTATACTAAATATTAATAGTTGTAGCACTTCAGCTGCCCGCTAGCAACATGTTTTCTAACTGCATTGGGTTGACTGGAAGAGATCTCTGTCAGAGATAAGTCCACCCTTGCTCACAATATTTATAAATGCATTAACATTGTAATTTACAAGTGCAATAAAGAATATATATAATTCTTGGTAATTTCATGATAATATACCCTTTCCGACTAACCTTGTCTATTCTGGTCACTGCTCATGAAACAATTTTTTTTTTAATTAATTAGGATTTTATACAGGTAAGGTAAAAACAGGCACACTGATATATAGTGGACATATATAGACATTAGATATTTTTTAAATGTTGTTTAAAATTTTTAAGTTTGTAAAATAAACTTATGGCTTATTACACTTTTTGGGATACTGTAAGTGTAATGAGCAATTTATCAATAAAGAAATAAATAAATTGCAGTCCATTTATTAAGCTTAGTTAATTCTCACGGAAACAAAAATTCAATGTACAGACTTACAGTATTTTGTTATAAATACTGGATTTAATCAATTATTAACTGTTAACAAAACGTGTTCATTAGTAAATTTTTATTGGCAATATGCATAGAACAATGTATATAATGGTATAGAAAAATGTATATAAATGTAAATAGAATAGAAAACACCATCACCATCTTAAAATAATTAAAATGGTGATGGTGATTGCATAATTGTAGACAGCGACTAATCCATAGATTATTATTATATACTGAGGCAACACCATCTTATGTCAGTAATAGGTATGTACACTGTATAGTGCAAAGATTGTTTTTAGTTATAATGTCTTTAGACATACTTTCTGTAATCTGTGGTATAGTGAACTAGAGAAAAAAATATTTTTTATTAGGTACCTAATTGAAGTTTGTTTATTCCAGACAAATTATCTTTTTGAAGACTAGGCAGCATGGTCTCCGACCTTAGCCTGTTCCAAACGGAACAAACGTACTAAAAAAAAAAAAAAATGAAGTTTGTCTTTTTAGTGTACCCATTAAATTAGGTTTAAATATAGTCGTCTATTCTTTCATTACATTTTAAAATGATGTATCGCATGAAGAATATCATAAAATATGACGATCAGCTGTCATTGCCTAAATGCATGTATCGCATAAAAAATCCAAACGATGCTTTACAAGCAGACGATTGTGATATTAATATCAGTGACCAGGTTATCAAGCTTCTTAAGGTTTACTTTACAATATTTAAATGTTATTCTCTAAAATATAATATTCTCTGTTTTAATCAGTCCTTTATTCCTGAGAAATGCGATCCCGTCCTAATTTTTTTATGCCTTTTTCATTTGACACGATCTTATGCCAGATGGATAGCTGCATTCCCCTATATCTACAACTTCTTCGCTACTTGAACGGCTTCTTGGTTTTTTTACCTGACCTGTCACTATGCTTTTCCAGGTTGTCATTGCTTCTTTATTTATTTCATATTTTTTATGTTATTTCTACATAATACATATATTAACTACTCCATAAAATTGATACAACCATGTGGTTCATAATAAATCTTGCCTTGTCCAATTAAATAGTTGGGTAACCTGGTTTTGCTACTTTCATATTTGTCTTCTATCTGATAACATAAAAGTTATCATTTATTTATACTTTAAATACTGAGATAATCTTTACTAATTTTATAAATGTAAAAGTGAGTCTGTTACCTCTTAGTGTTTTAGAAGTTTAACTAAACATGAAATAATATTGTGTGATGGAGAAGGACACAAGTTATTAATTATTCTGTTCAATCAATATGTCTCAGTCACACAGGTGAAGTCGCGGGTAAAAGCTAGTCTTTTAAAAAATAAGTGTTGAAATGGTATAAAATAGTTTTACTTATAAATAGATAAGTATAATATCTCTCCCTATCCAAACATTATAAATCTCAAGATTTGTTGAACTGTTGTGATTTAGGTAGGTAGATCTAACAAATTCACTTTCAAGTTTATAATGTTATTAGTATATTATAATTATGCTAAATTTTATAACAAATCTTTGTTGAACTTTTATTTCAATATTTTTTTGTACTAAGAATGGTAAATAACACAGTATTCCTGCAAGTGAGAGTGAGAATGTAGTTTATAGATATTGTGCTATCCTTTGTGGATTGATACCTCTGGGAGTACTAAGCATTAGAATGTTATCTATCACATTTTAGTGAACTCTACATTTTCATATAATAATATAATAAATGAATGCACTAGTTATTCTATAATTTTAATTAATGAATAATAAAAAAATCACACATTATAACTGTATACAGTAATGTGTTGAGGTGTCATCTGATGTTTATTAAAGCTTTATTAATTATTGCAGACATTAAATACATGAGCTATATTAATGGGAACACTATTGTGCATATGTTTTATTTAATATAGTATATGATTGTATATATAGTATATGATGTAATTGAGACATAAAGAACTGAAATTTTTAAAAGAGTAACTGTCCTGTTTTAGTTGTATCAATAATTAATAATTACATTTTCTCATTGAGATAAGGGACACTCACTCCCAAACTAACTTCAATAGATTGAAATCATAAAATGTATACCCAAAAACAAGTGTGCATAATGAAATATGTAGAAGTGTTATAGTTTGGGACATTGGAGAAGGACAGGCTACTTTTTATCTTGAAAATTCAAAAATGGTAAAATGGGATGGAAGTTTGTATGGGAAATCAATTATTTCTCAAGTAAAATAATATAAATTCATCATAATTATATTTTTGGTAAAAAATAATATTTCTGTGTTTTGGAGATACTAATTCTACTCAGGCAAAGTTGCAGGTATCAGCTAGTCTCTTATAAATGTTTCTAAATTGTTTGATGTTATATATTAATGAATTCATTTAACTCTAGTAGTAATACTCTTTCATTCAACTGTTATACTTCATTCATTATTTCTCTCATTACAGGCACAGATTCCAAACAAGAAAATGGCTGAATTGGAAAAGCGACAAGATCTGCTGCTAAAAAAACTGGATATACTCTATGATAGAATTAAAACTATTAGTGCATATTGCAACTATAATGGACAAGATGGTAAAATAAGAAAGAAGCAGGATCCTGTGAGTTGCTATTAAATTAATTTTTTATGTGTAGTTAGATGCTGTCTTCATGTCAATATTAAGTGCAGTTTCAAGATTCATTAAATATATTGATAGTGCTTAGATGTTATGCCCACCACATATATCTTTGTTATGTACATGAAATTAAAGTGTTAAATATGTTTATATACCATTATCATAATTTCTGTTGTTATTTATCAACTGTTTAAAACAGACCTATAAAGACTGGTATAAGGAATGATCCTGATCTAGCTATGTATATTGCAACAATTCAAGTTGTTGTTCTACCTAATGGGAATTATCTTGCAAATGCAGCATAGGATACCTTGAATGGGAATGTTACTTTCCCATTGGTTGTTGGTTTTTCAACCTATTAATCAGTCTATTTCTATTTTACTTTGCTTTTGCATTAAGTTTATCTGTAGCTTTAATGCCATGGTCAAATTACATTAGATATATTTTTATATTTAAGTCGTCCAGCTATTATTCTTGTTTATAATAATTACAAAATTTTTATTAGGATACCCATGATATACCTAGCTTAATATATTTATATATAAAGCCATTTTTACTAATATTATACATGTAAAAGTGAGTTTGTTACCTCTTTGGACCATATATGCACTCGTTATAAAATTTTGTGTTTATGTACATACCCAGTGAGATGGGTAAAAGCTAGTATGTTTTCAGAACCAAATTTTCCACACCTAGCTTCCCATAGCCTGGTTTTTCTTAGTGTTTTTGAAATCCAGTGATATGGGGGAAAAACAGCTGTCTTTGTAACAAAACCAATTTATATATTGTTTTCATATTTAATTATTTATATATTTTTTCCTATTTATTATTTTCAGATACAACCAGAAGAAATTGTTTTGGTTATCAGTCCTGATAATTTACCTTGGTATTTGAAATTAATACTTGCACAATCCAATATTGCTCTTAGAATTACATGGCACATTCATTCATCTGTGCCTAATGAAAAAGTCCCAAAAATAACAGGATTTGTAAAAAATTTGCAAATACAGAGATTTTTAAATAATACTAACATTACTGTAAGGCTGATATTCAAATGTGGTAAGTTTTACCTTCTTTAATTTTCATTACCAGATTTTAAAATGTCTGTTAATCCATATGTAGAAAGAATATAGAGATTAATTGCATGTATCAAGTAATACTAATAAAGCATATTCTATATTTTTTTTTATTTAGTTTCAGCTGATACTGAATTGAAATTATCACCTTTGGCCGTGCCAATAATTGGAAATGTGAATGTACTGAGATATTTGTCATTGGTTTTCCCATCTGTTGTACTTTATGACTATGAAGATCATATTGTGGATGGACTTCTAGACATTTGTCATACATTAGAAAGGACTCCAGAAAAGAACAGAGAGACTCTAATTATCAGATTATTTTCACAGTGTAAAAATTGGATATATAAAGATGAATGTTCAATTATTGATCTAGCTACATATAATATTGTTAGGCAATGGAAAAATATTCCAAAATCAGTGCCAAAATTGTGGTATGAAAACTGCAATAAACTTTGCTCGTCTTTGTAAAATAAAAGATGTATAACAACTGAATAGTATTTTAAATGTACATAAAATAATATTTTCCCTTTAATTATGTATCAGAATTCGATCTTTAGTAACATTGTCAATTCGAGTATCAGTTTTGTTTTTCAAAATGAGTTTGATTCCTATTCAGGTAATAGATTAGTTCTACAAATAGTATTTAATGATGTATCAGTATATTTTATATATCAGAACATTTAACAATAATTTTAGTATAAAAAGTTTTATTTTATCTTAGGATGGCAACCAAGTTGACATTTCAATTGGAAATTATTGATAGATGTCACTACATTTTAGAAGCATAGTATTAAGGATAACTACCAGAGGGAGACTTTGTACAAAAGTCGATTGCTTGGGTACCTCTGTCCCATTCGTGTTTCAACCGTGAAGCAGTTGTGTTTGCATGGCTGTGTTTCGGTTTGAAGGGTGGGATATGGCGTGAATTTACTGGGTACAGAGGAATAACACCTAAGTCCTCAGGAATGGCAACGCATGGGGGGTATCATGGGCGAAACAGTATACTCTGTTATGTCCACGGTACTGCTCATGTGTATAGGCGACGGTTACCACTTTCCATCAGGTGGGCCGTCAGCTTGTTTGCCATTCTAAGTTCTATAAAAAAAAAAAAAAAAAAAACTAATTTTATTCTATAAAGACACCTACTTCAATCGTGGCAGAACCAGTTTATTTGATTTTAAAACTTAACTACTGAACCAATTATGATTAAATTTCTTGTAGACTATTTTTAAAATATATCGTTTCAAATAAAAAAAGAAATATATGTTTATAAATGATATAATTCTGAGGTAACAAACAACCGACTTTAGAACATCCTTTTTTTAGGTCGGTTAATAAACACAAATATAATTGAAATTGTTCCATACACATACGTTTTACATACCAGATTATGGAACTTCTATTGTCAAAATAGTCAATTTTCGGTTTAATCGTGTAGTCTAGACGTTCAAAGACATTGGGGTTGAATCTGCCATTTGTCTTAACCTATCTTTAAAATTAAAATTCAATTTGATACAACAGCGAAATCTTTATTCTAAAGGCCAATATGAACTAAGTTTAAATTATTATTATTAAAGTTTAAATTGTTATAATTTTCGTTTATGATGGTCCATAAATCAGTAATTTTGCTAAACTATCAAAATATAAGGTTAAGAGATAAATTTATAGAGATGGCGCCTCAGAATCAACATTATTAAAGTTTGAAATTCAAATGAACCGTTTGGGCCATACTCGAACGTTCGCCACAAGTCTTTTGTGGACGGGAGAAAAGGAATTGTTAGTATGGGGATCGAAACTGTTCCATTAAAAGCAATATGGCCGTCAGGTCCACCTCTACGCGGTTTCCCCTGGATATCATGTTGGTTAATTCTTGTGGAATTCGTAACGATAGAATATAACTAATTTGCTTTCATCCTTATCTTTCATCTCACTGGTGTTTCGTTAGCATATATCGATAGATCAGGCGGGGTTACCATAACATTATCTTAAAAGAAAGTTTCTTGTGAGCATATTTTTTAGTCTCATATGCCTTCTCCTTGTATTTACTAGGTGATCTAAAAGTACTCTTTTGTATTAATAATCAATATAATTAAAAAAAATATTGGAATATTAAAAATAAATAATTAAATAATTATTCCCAAAGAGGGTTGACTTTAGGCAGGTAACTGGTCATAAAGCTAAAAGATAAAACTTTATGTAATATGAATAAAAATATATTACGCCCAACTCAAATAATTGGAATAAGAGTAGGAAGATGAGTAATTAACAAGAATAAATGACGGAAATTGTAAGAAGTATATTTTTAATGCCAAATCAAAAAGGAATACGTAAAATGAAACTTGTTATTTACAGGTATAATATTGTTTATTTAAATTATGTAAAAAACTTTATCTATAATGTTTAGAAGTACACACAGATGATTCTAGTCTGCTTTTTTATAAATGGCACCTTTTTGTTCTTTTTTTTTGACAATATTTTAACAACATCTATTATCGTCTCGGTCATACAATACAATCCATTATAATATAAATACAATTGCATTTTTAAATTAAAATTTTATTATATCACTTTTCATTTTCTTTATAATGTACTATGTGTGGTAAGTTTGTAGGCTTATATGAAGGAGTGACTTTTGTGGCTTATCCCAAGTAATACCAGTACATAATCTTTATATTTATAAATTGGAATGTCAGTCATGAAACAGTGCATTTTTATATTACGTAGTTTTATGGGTAAATACATCTACAACTTTTCTGCCTTATTTTAATCTAAATAGAAAAGAAAATCTCATTTTGTTTTCTACTTGTCCCTAATTGATAATTACTACATAGAATGTCGATAAAGATCTTATGGAATATGCAAAGGAAAAATACTGAAGACTTTTATATAATAAAATGGAATTTAGTGTATAACGAAAATATTTATTTACAAATTGATTAATGTGCATCCTGGTCATTGTAAATTAAAAACTTATTTCAATATCTCAATAATAATAACTATTATTATTATATATCATTGTAGTGTGTTTAAGGAATCAACACTCGACGTCACGGGTAATTTAGTTTGAAGATTGTTTCATTATTATTGAATGAAGTATTATTATATGTATTGCCTAATACAATATAAACCTAATTAACAAATAACAGTAGATACTTAATTACATAAGTAAGTAGGTACGTAACATAAATTCAGGATAGTACCTGTACTTTAAGTAAATCACAAGATATATGTCTAAGTAATGTCATTATGATGTAATATAAAATGTTTCACTAATTTTACCTTTATATCTGTGATTGAAAAAGTAAACTTATTTATATGTATATTTCTGGTTCTTGTACAGCCTGGAGTTTGTTAATAAGGCGGAATAAATATAAGATATTAATGGCACTGATAGAATATTCAAATTAATTAATGTACCATATTAGCTTCCAGGCCTAGTAGTACTTAAGTAGAAGGTAAGTCTATGGATAAAGTTATAAAAGTTCTGTCTTGTTTTCATAATTAAAATCATCCGAGCGATTTGAAGGCACTGTAGTGCATAAACATTTTAAATTATGCTAAGAATTATTACTGAAATGCAATAGATGAAGAATAAAGTGTTTAATTATGGCGAATCACATTATAATTTTATTAAGTATAATAAATCGGTGATCCAAAGCGTTTTTAACTATTCTCCAGTAGTTACTTTTATAATAAAGTAGTTATATTTTATAATAAAACTGAAGAGACAGAATTAGTTTAATGTAATTGCGTTTCACCGTCTGTGGGTGTAATTGTGTGGCACTATTATTATTGTTATAATAGTAGGTACCCTCATAATATATGAAATAATCGCAATGTGAAGGCAGCGGTCTTCGATTGTAAACGATCTAAGCAGATAAACAGAATACTAAAAACATAAATATATGTATAGTAGTACAAGTATATTAATCAATAATGGTGTACAAATATCCAGATTCTTATAATATTAAGATTCGCATCTTGTTATAGCATAATACGATCACAGTTTTATTTTTAAATATTGTGCCAATTTTATGAATAAAATGCATGTGTTTGCATTATGAAAAATTTTAAAACTATTTACATCTATAAATCTGATTTTTACTATAACTATCAGTCAATTGTATATTATAACAATAAAACATCGTAAAATTGTCATAAAATAAGCTTCAAACTTATAATCAAGAGCTTAAATAAAATGGCTAAATATTTTATCAATACTGATTGATATTATTTGTATGGTATTTAAAAAATAATGATAAGGATTATTGATTATGCGCATATTAAGTACTAACATGAATAAGCGCATTTATAGTTTGAAAAATTAATATTAAAAGTTTACGTAATGTTGAGTACATTTTGGTGGAACATAAGTTTAACTTACAGTAAAGCTAATATTATACTAAGCATAAGAGCTGCCATATAAACTATATTTACCAACTGTACGTCTTAATATAAACAATTAACGAGATCTGAAAATTTAAAAACGTGAAGCTACCAACATTGGTCGTAGTAACGTCTTATATCAACAGTTACTCTGAAAACAAACATGAATATGTATGATGTTTTATTATTCATGTATATTTATAACTAGTTATATGATACGTAATCGTAAAGCTTGTCAAGTGATATGTACATTCGAAATATGAAATAAATAAAGAGGAATGGGCAGTGAGAATTACATATGCAATAAACCCGCGGGCGCGGCGGAGGGCTCGTGTCATACGAATGAAGAGAAGCCGGGCAGCGGCGCCCGCGAGCGCGCCATATTATTCATCACGATCTGACCGCCGTTGAGGCTCACCACTGCGCTGCCTTCTGGTTCCGAGTCCGTGTAACTAGAGTACTGTCGGAACGGCCGTTGTCGCTTCCACGACTGTCGCAACGTGTCGTTTACGTTCGCGTAATGATTCACGAAAGAGTGTGGTTCCGATTTCACGCTCTCGTTTTCGCTTTCCGAATTCTGGAAACAAATATTAATGCTTTACACTGGTTGCATATATTTTTTTTAATTAAAACATCTAAGATTTTATATCATGCATTAAGCAAAATTTTAATTAATATTTTTTTTAAGTGTTGATTATTAATACTAAAATAATATTAGCTATATATCATGAGATTTTAATTTTAGTTGAAAAAATGTAATAGAATATGTAAAATACGAAACCTAAGTAACTTAAATAATAACTAATACACAAGACAGAAGAACGAAGACAGAATGAAATTATTAATGTATATTGCTTTATGTACAAGTGGGCATAATAGTACAAAATGTATGTATTTTTTATAAAATTTAACCACACGACTAAAAATATGTTACCGATGTCGATACGGTTATTTATTCAATCGTGTGGTTTATCAGAAAATAATACAGCACTTACTACAAAGAGTGCTCAGTCTGGATGAAAGCGTGACGAAAATGAAAACTTTAGCAGATATGATTTCTCATTCAGATATTTACCGTCACAGGATCCGATCGAAAGTAGTCAGGGAAAAAATAAGGATCGAATTTAGTGACGGGCACGAGCGACGTGAACACAGACATTGATTTAAATAGATGTCGCATTGCATGTATTTAGCGTGCCATTTTTTTGGCCTATTTGGACTCGAACTAGACTTCGATTCGGAGTTTCTACTAGAAATTTTAAATTTAGGCCTATTAGGAATTATACCACATAAGCATGTGGTATTTTCAAGACGGGTTACCTAATGGAAACCTTTTTAAATAATTAAATAAGTTAATTGCTAATGCAAATAGCATTTGTTAACATCTTAAGTGAGTTCAAAATATAGGACACATTTAGTTTTTACGATTGAGATACTTGCGTCGTCTATATTCATCAATATCTGTGGTTATGTAAGTTTACACGACGCTTATTTTAATTGTGATCACCTGTGAGTCGGAAGAGCTCATCTCGGAGGGTTTTTCAGTGAGTGAGGAATCGTCGGGGTTCTCGTCGTAGCCACGGAGGCTCTCCTCATCACTGTGGTAGGCGACGGAGGCAGGCGAGGGTCGCGGCGGTGACTTGGCTAGCGCGGCGCCAGTCGCTTTGCCGCGTCGCAGCGTGCCACCAACGCCGCCGCCGCCGCCACCTCCGCCCAGTACGCCGGTGCTCGCCACAGAATTCTGCCGCGATCGGTACATATCCATCGCCAACGAGCCCCGTTCGTCTGTCTCGCCGGCAAGTGATTCTTCCAGAGTTTTCTGTGCTTCTTCTGCAAATTGTAAAATAGTATTTTTTACTTACAAGTATAATAAACGTCAACTATCTCGTTTCAATAAAGGCTAACAGTATAATTGATGGGGAATAGTAACTGTCATCTATGGAATATACATAAAATATGGGGGCTATTAGCCCAGGACCAACAAAAAATATAGACATGTTTATGCTATTTCTATTATGTTGTTATTTCTGAGGACTAAGGTATTGTGTCATTCGAACCAAATAGAACCAAAACAAATTCAGTGTGCAGTCTTAATTAAATTAAGATAATACCAATATGGTCAATTGAATTGGAAATTATAATCGACTTCACTTTGATATATTTATTTCCTCTGTATGACGGAATCCAAAAGGCCAGATAATGCATATTTACATTACAAATATAAATAAACATGTATTTAAAAAAGGATAACTTACTTTTATATTTATAACTCTTGCTCTTAACGCATAAAATGGCTATCACCATGATTATGATGATAATGGATGCGGCAGCCAGCGCCACCATAAACCAAGTGCGGCGGTAGAACGGGCGGTACTGTAAGTAGCCGTACTCAAGGTACAGCTTCGACGGCGTCACGATCACTTTATCGCTGTATGTGGGGTTACTGATGCCGTAGCTGTTGTATGCGATCACCCGGAACGAGTACGAGGTTGATGGCAAGAGACTCTGGTATGATATTGTGAATTCTTCTAACATGCCGTTGCTAGTGCGGGTTATGGTTTCCCATCTCGTGTCGTCTGTGTAAAAAAAATATTATATGTATTAATGTTGATAATAATTAATGTTGGAAATTCTTAAAATGCAAAGACATTTTAAGAATTTCCTCTTGTTCTTTTCATTCCAATTTTAAATAGCTTCATTAGTGTAGGATAAATGCATATTGGCACCCTTTTATTCTTATGTGAAAGCACTATCTATCTGATTTCTCAAACATTACATATTAATTTGACGGTTTATTGATGAATTTACACGATAGCAGATATATAAGCCAGGTAAGCATTTTTAGAAACTAAAAATCTCATCTAGTTGATTAAATAAACAATAAGATAAAAAATATCACAAATAGAAAAAGTCCAGTAATACATCAGAGTAAAAATGAGAAAGGACATGTTATATTGTTGCATAGATCATGATCACGGTGATACCGTGTGAACAGATATGTTTGAAGGAGGAAAATGAGTCTAAAACTGGGATTTGTGAATGAAACATTAAAAAATAGATGAAGCAAGAGATGTATTCAAGTCTTTTTGCATTCAATTCTTTTTATTTATTCTGTAAAAGACTCAATGTTGGATAAAAAAAAAATGTTACTGTAGGAACATGGTTAAATGAAGGTTAACGACTTTTAAAATTGTGTAATTAGATTTATTAGACTGGTATAAATGTAAAAATTTGGGAGAACTTACAGGCTTGCCACGTTTCCTTCGCTGCGTTTAAAAATAGACAAATAGTAAGTATTATACGCTAATATATAATATTATAGTAGTATTCTTGTAACAAGCACAAATAATTTAAGTAATTCCATATTTTATAACATGATTATTGCACGGCCAATGATGTGTACATCTCTTACTGGTCTGTATATATTACCATGTCTATTATTGTTGTCTATAAGTGTTGTATTATAAAAAACTATATGTAACACTGTTGATGTACCAATACATAAATAATAAGACAATTGGTTTTAATGGTTTTAATAAAATGCAATTTCACATGACAGAGTATATATTTAAATCTAAGACAGTAAAAAATGTCAGAGGTTAATATGTTTTTTAAAAAGAGTATACGATGAGGTTGTAACATTACTCCCCAATGAATATGATTTATATACAATGTTTGTCTGTCTCTACAATGTTTCTTAATCATAAAGTAGTCGTCTCGGAGGGCGTCTGGTACGTACACTACGACGCAATGGTACGGCTGTTTCCTCGGCCGTAGAATATGCCTCTTTAGTAAGTGGTATTGATGTCAATTGTTGTCATTCTTGTGGTAGCTCACAGGGTGATGTTTGTAACGGTGTAATTGGAGCATTTGCTTGAGTTTGCTCTGGAGAAGGTTCCTGAATTTCTGATGTTGGGGCCTGTAATGGAGTCATACTCGCTTGTGAGTCTTGAGATGGTTCTTTAACCATTCCTCCTATTTTGGTACTTTCAGCTTCATCAATTGCTCGAGAACGTATATGATCTGCATGTCTTCGTTTTTCCACACCATCAGGTGTTTGAACTAGGTACGAATAACGGTGAGTACGTAATGTTACAGTAGCAGGATGCCAAGTTGATTCATTTCGCGTGCGTATATAAACTGGGTCACCACTCTTAAATTCTTTTAAAGGCTGATGTCCATGTAAGTTAGTTTGAAGTTGTTTGAAATTTAGTGTTTTTCTTAAATCTGGGCGTAGATTGTCAAATACACAATTTAGTTGATGGCCAAACATTATTTGTGCTGGAGATTTACCTGTTGTAGAATGTGGTGTATTACGATAACTGAACAGGAAATTTCTTAAGCGTTGTTTCAAGTTAGCTCCGTCTTCGTTACTGGCTGATAACCGGGTCTTGAAAGTGCGAACAAGGCGTTCTGCTAATCCGTTGGAGCGAGGATGGTACGGTGATACCCGAATATGTAAGATTCCATACTGCTTGCAATAATTTTCAAACTCATGCGACGTAAATTGTGGACCATTATCAGATACAATAATCTTGGGTAGACCGAAAGTAGTAAATATTCCATCCAGTTTAGCACATAGTTTTACTGTAGTAGTTTTAGTCATTGGTCGTACTTCAATCCATTTTGATAAAGCATCAACAACTACTACCCAATACTTTCCTTCGAAAGGACCTGCGAAATCAATATGAATTCTTTCCCAATTTTTTTCTGGGATAGACCAAGAGTAAATAGGGAGTTCTGGATCATTCGGCCTGTTTTCTTGACATTTATGGCAAAGTTTAATATATCTATCTATATCTTCGTCTATGGAGGGCCACCAGACATAAAATCTAGCCAGAGCTCGCATAGCAGATGTGCCTGGATGGCCGCGGTGGAGGTAGTGTAATACAGCTTTTTGTATCCCTTGTGGAATTACAATTCTTCCGCCCCACATTATAATTTTATTCTCGATGGCAAGTTCTTCACGTTTTCGATAGTAAGGTTTTAGGTGACTATTACATTGATTCTTCCAGCCAAGTTTAATATGATTGGATACTTCCCTTAGGACGGGATCTTTTCCTGTTTCTTCTTTAATCAGTTTCTCTGAAAGTGTTAAATCAATCATTTTTATCGCTTGCAATCGCGTGCCTATTTTATGTACAGTCAGTTCACCTTCAGACGGTATTTGGTCAGGGTTTGGCATTCTTGACAAAAAGTCTGCAAGAATATTGTGTTCTCCCTTTCGATACTCAATGTGATAATTATAACACCCAATTGCTAACGCCCATCTCACCAATCTGTTATTAACAAGTTTAGGCAGATTTCTTTGTGGGCCTAAAAGGTAGATTAAAGGTTTGTGATCAGTAATTAATGTAAAACGGACTCCTCTTAAGAACTGATCAAATTTTTTGATACCAAAGTAGATAGCTAATGCTTCTCGGTCTATTACAGAGTATTTACTTTCTGCAGGTTTTAATTTCCTAGAAGCATATGCGACCGGTTGTTCAATATTGTGTTCTTTGTGGAAAAGAACAGCCCCAAGTCCTTTTTCGGAAGCATCACATGCTAGATAAAGCATTCGTTTATCATCATAAGCTATCAGAGGTCTTGTTTTTGTTATGCAGGTTTTTACCTTTTCAAATGCGGTTTGTAATTCTTTCGTCCATTTCCATTTTTTTCGTGAAGATGTTAAGTCGTGCAAGTCTGAACAAAGTGTATGTAAGTGCGGAATGAATCGCTCGTAAAAGTTGACCATTCCTAAAAAAGATCGTAGTTCTTTAGTATTGTTTGGCGCTGGAGCTTTAGCGATTGCATCAATTTTTGTTTTAGTTGGGCGTACACCACGTGCGTCAATTATGTGTCCAAGATATTCAATTTCGGGTTGGAGAAAACTACATTTTTTTAAGTTAACTTTGAGGCCAGCTTCTAGCAATCTCTTGAGTACTGACGTCAGAGTACTTAGGTGTTCGCTGTCATTTTTTCCTGTTACTGCAATATCATCGAAGTAGACGGCCGTATTCGGGATGTTGTCTAGTAGTTTTTCTAAATAATGTTGAAAAATTGATGGTGCTGTTGCAATACCGAAGGGCATTCGATTGTATTGGAAATATCCTTTATGTGTTGTTATTGTAAGATACTTTTTTGATTCAGGGGCAATTTCAAATTGAAGATATGCATCCTTTAAGTCAATTTTGGAAAATTTTTCACCATTTGCAAGCTGTTGTCTTAATTGGTCAAAAAGTGGTACTGGATGTAGGTGTGTTATTAATGCAGAGTTGATTGTGACGCGATAATCACCGCAAATACGAATTTGACCATTAGGTTTTACGACATTAACTGTTGGAGTTGACCATTCTACGGGTGTTATGTTAGGATCCACTTTTGTGATAATCCCTTCTTGCACTAATCGATCTAGTTCCAGTTCAATGTTCTTTTTGATACTGAATTTTACAGGACGTGGTGGAAAATGTTTTGCTTCTGTTCCCGGTTTAATGTGAATGTTGACCTGATAGTTTTTTACTTTACCAAGTTTGTTGTTGAAAAGTGTTGCGTAATTTGTTAGGATGTTTTGTAGTGTCTGTTGTTCATTAATTGCTTTAATAGAATATACAGCTTCCGGAAATTCCATTCCAAACATTTCACTCCAGTCTAATCCAAACAGCATAGGGTCTGAAGTCTTCATGACAATGACAGGAAGAATTTTTGTTTTCCCTGTATTTCCACTGATACTTCTGTTAGTCCTCTTGGTTTAAGTTTAAAATCATTATTTCCATATGCTTTCAGAGGTGGTGAACGTTTTAATTGTGGTGATCCAATTTGTTTCCAAAATTTTGTATTTATAATAGAGAACTTCGAACCTGTATCCCAATCCATTGTACAGGGTATGCCATTGATAATGGGGTCTATTCTCTTGCAGTCTTTGTTCTTGTTAAGGTGATATACTCCTTGTTCACTACATTCGTCGTCTGTAGTAGTTGACGATGATGATGATGATGATTCATTCGCGTCTTGGTAGCGAGATGAAGTGGTGTTTTGAGTCCTTTTAATGCTTTGTGTGTGCGGCCTGCTGTCAATAAAAGCGCGTCCTGTTTTAATGCAACATGATTCGAAATGGCCGATTGTGTCACATGCTTTGCAATTATGATTTATAGCTTTGCATTCATCATTACTATGCTTCTGTTTATTTCCACATCTGAAACAGTGGTCTTTTTTGAGTTTTCTGTTTATAACTTTATTGTTTTTATTGTTTGTACGTTTATGTTTATTGTCTCTTATTCTTCTAACAATGTTATCAGATTCTGCTATCTCTCTGGATTGAGCGAAAGTAAATAGTTGTTGGAATGTGACTTCTATTAATTTTCCAGTCTCATCTTTCTCAAGCAGGTCAGGCCATCTTTGTTTTAGGTCTATCTCTAACGCTGCATGATTAAGGCCTGTTGCAAATCTATCTCGTAATTGTCTCTCTAGCAAATTGTCATATTTGCAATCCTTACTCAGTTCCTTTAGCCTGTTTGCATAATTTGTCATTGACTCGTTTTGTTGACGTGTTGCATTCCAAAAATCAGTGAGGGCTTTATACCTTGTTTTTCTAGTACCATAAAGGTCAATTAATTTAATTTTAATGTCGTTATATGTCGATGTTTCAAAATGCGGTGTGAACGCTACCTTAACTTCATGGAATATTTCAGGGCTAAGGCATGTGAAAAGTAATTGTCTCTTCACATTGTCAGTGTCTCCACCCCATATGTTACATTTGACTTCAAAGTAGTCTATGAAATTATGTATATCCGTTGTTGCGGGATTGAATTGATCGCATTTAAAATTTTTTAAGACTGTGTTTGACGATGTTGTCAATATGCTCGAGTCTGTTGCACTCGTAGTAGGGGTCTGTGACGTTCCACTTACTTGTATTACTGTTTGTGTAAGTAATTCCAGTATTTTAGTTATTTGTGTTTGTTGGTTTTGTTGTACCTTAAGGAATTCTTCCATTAATTCCGGATTCATTTTAAAATCCTCGTCGCCAATTTAATAAAATGCAATTTCACATGACAGAGTATATATTTAAATCTAAGACAGTAAAAAATGTCAGAGGTTAATATGTTTTTTAAAAAGAGTATACGATGAGGTTGTAACAATGGTGATCTCAATAAGTCATGATTAACATTGTTAAAAGTTCCCTTACCATGAATATATTTTTATGATTTTCTATTTGTGTTTCTGTCGTCAAGCAATAAATGCTTATATGGCTGTGTTTCGGTTTAAAGGGTGAAATATTTATTTATTTGTTTAGGTTCACCAACAATTGTTTCTACAAGATAGTGCAAGTATTTATACAATCATGGAGCTTAGGACCAAGTGTAACAATTTTTTATAGGCAATAACAGCAGATGTTGATACTAACATTTAGTATGGAGAAAAACAAACTTATACAGGTTACAACTATTATTAAATGCTTAACAACTAAAGCCACCATATCCATAAGCAGATCCAGCAACACGACTTATTTCTTATACATTCATAGACATTTGCTACAAAACATTTGGACTATCAATTAATATCGACCTGGTCACTGCAGTTATTTATAATTTTACAGAATCTTAAAATTGGAGAATTACTACCCAGAACAGTTCTAAATGGAGATATTAGCGGAACTATGGGTTCACGAGGTAGTCTAGGGGAGACTCACAATTTGATAAGGCTTAGTAATAGGGGAAGAGGCTTAGTAGTGAAATTATATAAATAATATGGAGGCATATATACATATTATTTATGTTATTTAATATAATACATTACACATTGTTTGATTCAATTAAATACCATTTTATTTCTTAGGAATGGCAATGCATGGGTACATGTTATATTTAACAGGATAGATGGATCGTTAGTGTGGGTGCCATCCAAGTTGGATAAAAAAAAATTAATTGAAAGAACTTACCGGATTCTTTTTTTTCTGTATTATTTTAATTTTGATAATGAGTTGATATGTGACACAAAAATTAAAATTGCGACATGGACGTATTTTGTTTCGTTTACGAAGAGGCGAAACGTTACGTTGGGCCGAACACGAATTTTAGCGTGGCTCTTTAAGTAGAAGTAGAATGCATTGTACACGCGGTGTATATTTCTTTTATTTGATTTAGATTATCTATTTGCTATGTAAACAGGTTACACTCACTCACATTTATATAATCCTGAATAGTCAGCTTTACATCCTATGCTGATTGGGCATTGCCTTTCCGTGAAGGAGACCTTCGTCTGTAAGTAATCAGTAGACAGTGCTGGGTGCGCTTATGTAGGTGTATATACTTATGTTTGTGTAGATGTTTACCGTGCGTTCTGTTACGCATACGCATAACATTCTTCTTCGAATGCTGGCTCGAGTAAATTATCGAGGCTGCCCTATGGCAGCGGGTCGCGTATGACTGTGAGTGAGAGGAGTGAGAGGAGCGAGAGGGGCACGTACCCTTCTTGCGGGCCTCGATGTAGTAGCCGAGCAGCGGGCCGCGGCCGGGGCCGGCGTTGTCCCAGCGCAGGTGCAGCGCGGCGGGGTCGGGCGCGAGCCGCAGGCGGCGCGGTGGGGCGGGCGAGCCGGGCTGCGGGCCGGTGCGCACGCGCGCCTCGGCCGCGGCGCCCGCGCCCACGCCCTCCGTCGCCGCGCGCACGCTGAACCGGTACTCCACCTCCTCCTCCAGCCCGCCCACCGCTAGCCGCCGCTCCGTCACCTTCTGCTTCACTTGCTTGCTGAACCCTGCACCGGGAGGTTGCGCGCGTATTATTCATGTTCACAGTTCGCGAGTACATTTCGATATCGGACATGAAAATGAGTTTATACTCTTAATATATTCTTCAGTTCATACTGACATATTTTACTATTACATATACTATATGAAACATAAATTGACGAATGAAAATTATCATATCAGCCGTTAACTGTCCACTGCCGAACACAGGCTACCCTTACAGGTTGCCAAAGGGATGGTTCCGAGCCACCTGCATAAATGAAAGTACTACACACTATAGATTAAAAAAAATTAAATATATAATCATTAATTTCATCTCATGCCCTAACATGGATTGTTTATTTTATTAGTATTGTGGAAGTATAAATTGAGTGATTTAAAAGACTTCAACATACAGTTTAGCATACAGATACCAAAACTAGGAGAATATATCTGCTTCCCTCCCCCTTCTATTACACGCACGCTAAATTAATACTCACGTTCATCTTGTTCTATTGTCTCATATGTGACCAGATAAGACTGTATAAGTCCATTACGACGATGCGGCGCTTCCCAGGATACAACGAGACTGTTCATCGTTATATCACTGAAGGTGATGTTGCGCGGTGCCGACGGTAATCCTTGGTGGGTACGTACTGAGATCGCACTCGACCGAGGTCCATCACCGGCTGGATTAAATGCCAACACCTGTAACGTTACAATAATGTTTACCGGCTGGGTAATCCAAATTCGAAATAATTTATTTTCGATTTATATATATATATATATATATATATATATATATATATATATATATATATATATATATATATATATATATATATATATATATATATATATATTTAAAATCTTTCCCTGTAATTTAATTATACACCCCATATTAACATTAGTTCTGACAAACAACAACTCATTTACCTTATATTTTTCAGTACATTTCGAATTTTATTCTTCAAAATACTTTTTTAGCGAATACATTTTAATGCTTCAGCTTATTTTCAGTAAATCATGAATGCATAACTACATAATGACTGGTCTATTTCAGAATTACCTGAATACGATACTGAGTATATTTGTCGAGGAAAACTAGAGAATGTGACGTAGCAGTCGCCGGGACTACTTCAGTTTCTTCTTCAACCCGACGACCAGGTTCCGGTTCTTCCGGGGAATCCGTCATCAGATAGAATATCTAAAACAAACATTTATTATTTAATTTTCTATTCCATTTTACACTGTGAATAGGTTTTAATTTATTATTTAGAAAAAGGGGTTTGTACATTTTTATATATTTACATACATGTAAATAGTTCCTATACCGCACTTAGAGTACATACATAGTGGTACTAGGGAGATATCTTCTACCACGAGGGTTTTTTAATGGGTGATAATTGAATGGTAACCCCACCCTCGCTAACGTTATACGCTGATAGGGCATCAGTGAGGGATGATGGTGAGCGATTAGCCCATCGTGATATACACGCACTTGGAATTCAGCATGATGGTTTCCAGGGGGACCGCAGGGAGGTTGACTTAAACAGAGTATATTGCTAGCAATGGGACTGGTAATCTCTATTATTAACAGTCCCTTCCCACCGTGGGAGAGTGTTAGCCTAGTAGGCCGCGAGATTCGGTCCTGGGCAAGGTACCTTATAGCCAAGCAGGTCGCCGTTCTGGTGCGCGTGCAGCGGCGGTTGCCAGGTGACCGCCACCTCGGTGGGCGAGAGCGCGGCGGCATTCACGTGGCGCGGCGGCGCGGTAGGCACGGCCTCGCCCACCCACACTACGGCTGGCGTGCCGCCCGGGCCCGTGCCCTGCGAGTTCACCGCGCACACGCTGATCTCGTAGTTGCGGTCCACCGCCAGCTCCGTCAGCACCACCTCCTCGCTCTGCGCACCACGACACAACACATTCGTTATCAAATTATAAAAGTATCAAAATTTTTATACAACTTAGAATGGCAAACAAGCTGACGGCCCACCTGATGGAAAGTGGTAACCGTCGCCTATAGACATGAGCAATATATCCCATAAGACTGATCGTCACTAAGTCCAGTTTCAAAATTAATTTACAAAAATTCTTAATTGATTGGCAAATGTTAGACATTCCAACAAGTTACCTCTATGTTTCATTTGTATGCTAGATAGACTGTCATATCTTTTTGTTTTATACAACTTAGAATGGCAAACAAGCTGACGGTCTACCTGATGGAAAGTGGTAACCGTCGCCTATAGACATGAGCAGTACCATGGACATAACAGAGTATACTATTTCGCCCATGATACCCCCCATGCGTTGCCATTCCTGAGGATTTAGGTGTTATTCCTCTGTACCCAGTAAATTCACGCCATATCCCACCCTTTAAACCGAAACACAGCCATGCAAACACAACTGTTTCACGGTTGAAACACGAATAGGACAGAGGTACCTAAGCAATCGACTTTTGTACAAAGTCTTCCTCTGGTAAATATCTGTCTGTTTACCGTATATCTATTTATTGTATGGATAATCTGGTAGTATTGTTTTATTGTTACCCTATTCCCTTGGGCCGCAACAGAATATCAGTGCTTTGCTCTTTTGAGGGCGAAGCAATAAACTGAGTTGTGGCCACTTTGTATTGCTATGGCACATTCACAAACGAAAATTGTATTTAGCTTTATGTATTTCTTTTTTTATCATTTATGTTATCTCGCTTTTTATGTATATCAATATATGTTGTAAGTTGTGTGCTGTAAGTAATGCAAATAAATTATCTATGTATGTATGTATGTATATGTAGAAGGGGCGCGCCGGGCATACCTTGATGCCGGGCACGTCCAGCTTCATGGTGTGGTGCAGGGCGGGCACGAAGTCGGTGAGCGGCTGGTAGAGCACGCGGTAGCCGCCGGTGCGCGCGTCGCCGCTCCAGTGCGGCTCGCCCAGCGGGCTCCACTGCACGCGCACGCTGCTCGGCGTTATCGGCACCACGTGCAGGTTCTCCACAGCTTTGCTTGGCGCTACAAACCAACATACATGTATATCACTTCATCTAAACCAGGGGTGCTCGTCTAAATAGGTTCGATCGCGATCGACTGGTTTGACCTTGACTAAAAAAATACATATTGTGTGGAAAAATAATAGCAGGGGGGATTACAGAAGGGATTGTTAGTAATAGGGATTAGCAACCTCATTGCTAGCAATAAACCAATAATAATAAGGTCGACCTCCACGCGGTTACCCCTGGAAACCATCATGATTGATTCGTTGTTGAATTTGTCAGGATGGGCTAACTGACCCGCTTCATTCTCACCTGTCATCCCACACTGGCGCCCCGTTGGTGTATACCGATAGCGCAGGCGGGGTTGCCATTCCATTATCATCAATAAAAAAAAAAAATATCTATGCAGGTATCAGGTAAGAAGCAATTTACAGTGGTACCCTGCACTTTGGTTATGTTTTGTTAAGAGAGGGACTGGCTGAAACCTAGCGCTTTGCAGCTGTTCACATTGCGCTGGGACACTCACAGCATCAGCTGAGCCGGTTCCTTTTGCCTAGTATGGGACACTTTTTGTATATGTTATTTATATTTTATATTGTAATTGTATGTTTACTGGCAATAAATGTTTCTATTCTATTCTATTCTATTCTATGCCACGATACACTCCACCCAGATGACAATTCTTCATCCCACATACTCACAGTCTCTGAGAGTGGATCGTTCGTAGTTTAACGATATTGAGGTAGATTGCTAGTAATTCAGGTTTGAATTCTTCTGATCTAATTAAAAATTATAAAACTTAAAAAACCGATTTTATCTTTTATTTATATATAAGGGTGTAAAGGGATAGGTTGGTAAAAACTGCAACAGTGAATTCAGACAATTACTCACTAATAATAATAATTAATGCCGATTTTATCTTTTATTTATATATAAGGGTGTAAAGGGATAGGTTGGTAAAAACTGCAACAGTGAATTCAGACAATTACTCACTAATAATAATAATAATTAATTAATCACTAATAATAAGCAAAGCTTGTTTTCAGTACTAGATAACTAATAGGTATATTAAATTACTTTTTTTAAATATATACATACTCGTACTTATAATACGCAGGAAACACCAAGACCAATACATATATAGTTATAAATATAAAAGTTTGTATTGTGCGAAAATCGAACCCGCGACTATTGGAAGGTAAGGGCGTGTATTAAACAGCTGTATCGTATTTTCAAATTAACGCTTAAAATAGACCAAGCGATCTTGTATGTATAAACTAGTTACTAATATATTAAAATTCTTTATATTGCAAGTTTGTAAAATGATTCTGAACGCTTTTGAATGAATGAATTGAATTTGAATGAAATTTATTATACATATCCTTTGAAATTTTAAGCCTGTTTTTGGGACATCTTAAATAATTATTTTGTTCAGATTGAGTCAAATATATATCAATATATATATATATATATATATATATATATATATATATATATATATAAAATAAAGATGTACAACAGGCGAGCTTAACTCTGTAAGAGTTTTCTTCCAGCAAACCCTGAGTGGAAAGGAGCATTAATTATTTGCGGGCAGTATGCGTACAATAATAGACGGAAACATTATAGATGTTTCTATTAAAAAATATGTAATATGTTGACATATATATGTAACTCATACAATTAAAATCAAAATAAATACATATCTGTATACGATAATACATATACATATATACATAGACATAAAATATCTCTTTACATACAAAATAGGTACATATACATACATAGACATAATAAGTTTATGAGGACAGAAGATGCTCTTTTAATCTGCTCTTGAATATATTCAGCGATTGACTTTCACGAATATGCAGTGGAAGAGAGTTCCATAGTCTAGCCGCATGAACCGTAAATGATCCACTATAGTATGAGGAGGTATGAGGAGGGATTTTAAGAATAAGGGACTTACTCGACCTACTGGACATGGCAGTGGGGTCAAGGAAAGTGAAACGTTCACAAAGATAAGATGGGGAGGAAGAATTAAACAATACAGAATACACGAAAGATAAAAGATGAAAATCACGACGTTGACGAATCGGGAGCTATTTTAATATGCTTCTGTAAGAGGGGACATGGTCGTATTTTCTAAGTCCATAAATAAAACGTATGCATAAATTCAGACATCCAGATAACATACGTTAGCATAATCCAGAAGAGGTAGTAATAAAGCTTTAGCGAGTGTGATTTTCGTTTCAATGGGCAAAAATTTCTGGAAAACGTTTGAGCGAATGAAAAGAAAAGTATAGTCTCCTGCTCACTCCATTGATATACTCACCCCAGGATAAGTTGCTGTCGAACATGATTCCAAGATTTTTGGCACTTCTAGCATACGGAATCGGAGATTGCTCATACAAAATAGGAGGTAAAATATCAATATCAAGTGCACTATATCTCCGATGCCCACCCGATTAATGCCTGAGATTTACGGGGGTTGACTAGAAGTCCGTAGGATTTTTCCCAATGGGATATTTTATTTAAATCATGATTTATATGATCAATAGCCACAGAGATGTCACAGAGTTCAAAGTGTATACCATATATTATATAATATATAAAAAAAAATTGGCGACAGCATTAGTAGTTGCCAAAATTTTGCGCTGCGTCAAACAGATGAATGGATGGCGACACAATAAGATTTTGTTTTTCCTGGCGGGATATTAAACGTAACTGGATGACGGCGCGCGTTAAAATAACCATTCGGTACTCGTAGTTGGACTCTTTGTAGCACTTATGGGTGATGCACCCATTCCCGTTCATTCCTTCATAACATATTTTACGAGAGTGAGATTTCGTAAAGGAGACAAAATAATATGGACTTCATCAAGATATTTTGTAAATGCAACTGCAAATATGTATAAAATTTTTAACTGCTTTAATAACTAAACAAACGTCTGTCAATAATTTTTATTATTAACAGAAGTTTGTTATTGTGTATAAAGAAATAATAAAAACCGGCATTATTATATATAGATAAAAAAAGATTATATTTACCCGCAGGGAGAGTGCGAATGGTTTCTGTTGCATTGCTGAAACGGCTAGGTCCTATGTCATTAGTTGCTCTTATTCTAAACTGGTAGGCAGTATATGGTTTTAGACCTTCGGCCGTATAAGAAGTAGCGAACGGATCTACCCGTTCTGGAATCGTTTGCCACGTTCCTCCTTCTTCTTTTTGTTGCACAGTATAATATCTGTAGAGAGAGAGAAAGAGTACATATTTAGAAAAAGATTTCACTAATTATATGGGTATTAAAATAAATACATATATTTTATCTTTAAATTGTAATTAAAATAAAAATGGTTTATGCTGTATGGTTATGAATATAAGAATAACAGATTGGCAACTCCTTGCAAAATTTACCTGTATTGCCCATCAACTCACACAGATTCAGTCTTTTTTATTATTTGTAAATATTGAGCGCGGCACCATTATTTTCTTTTTATATCCATCTAAACGCTAGTTGGGCAAGGCATTTCTGCACTTGGTCTTGTAATTGGAATATTGTGTGTGTGTGTGTGTGTGTGGTAAGTGCAGCCAACCCAGATTATTTCAAAGGATCTGTGCTCTATCGTAATAAATCCATGCAAACGCGACATGAACAGTACCTATCTACTGAACTGTCTACTATTCAGAAACGGAAAGAATGAGACGTCTGCATATACATTATTCTTAGATTATATGTATAGAATGTCTCCATAGAAATGCTTCGAGAAAAATGGGTCAATTTTTTCATACAATTTTGTGTGATAAATAGTTATGAGTGATTCGTTTATAACTTCTATTTTTATTTTGTTTGATAATTTCTACATTCTTTAATGCGTAAACACTCATTTTACTTATTAAATAATGTCAAGATACATTTATGCATAAGTATATAGAACATTGATAAAAAAAACGAGTCAGCTAATTTGACGATTAGATGACAAAAAGTTGTCCCGTTTTTTAAATTTGATGCTCTCTATCTATATAATACATACATACATATCTGTCACACCCGTTTCCCATTAGGGTAGCCAGAAACAATGGAACGCCAAATGCTTCGAATCAAACAAACCTCTTTTGCTTCTTCCACATCCATCAATCTTTTCATACACGCTCGCCGGTTACGGGTACTTTGAATTTGGCCCTTCTTCAGCACATCGCCTATTGGTCAACATACATCCGTCTAGGGCGGCCCCTACCGACATCTCTATTCATTCTTGCTCGATAAATCTCTTTCGTAATTCTTCTTTTATCCATCCTCTCCAAATTATCAAACCAACGCAACATTCCATTTTCGATTTTTGTCACTACGTCGTCTTTCAGTCCACACTACTCTCTAATCACACTGTTTCTTACTCTATCTTTTAATGTATATAATCTAAAACATTATTGTATTAATTTACTTTACGGATAGACTTTAAGGATACCTGAGCGGCGCGTAGCCGTCGTCGCCGGGCGTCCACGAGAAGGTGATGTGGTGCGGCTGCAGCAGTGAACGTGCGACGTGTGGGCGGGCGGGCGGCGCGGGCGCGGCGCGGTTGCTGGTCGTCAGCACGAGCGCGCGCGCCGTCGCGCCCCAGCCCAGCCGCGTCTGCGCCCTCACCGAGAACACGTAGTACCGCTCCGACGACAGCTCCGTCGCCCTGCACACGCTTACGTTTAAAGGACGCGCCCAACTCTGGCCGCAGCGAGTACAATGCACAATAATCATTCATGTTATATATATAGTTAGAGAATACAATACTTTGACGACTAATAAAGGTTCATTAAATCCACATGAGACAATGCATCCGTCAAGCAACAACGGACTCTATACATATAATATTAAGAATCAATTTACATTGTTTTCCCCTCATTGTAGTTCGCGTTATTTTGAAGCAGCGTTGTTACAACTAGTATGCTCATTCATTTTAAAATATACATAAATCAATTTCACTTACCGGAATGTTCGATCCGACGGCAGAAACTCCCTGGAGAATGTGTGCTGTGATGTATTATTGAGATGATAAGTGACCTTATATGCCAATATTTCACCGTTAGGATCTTCTGGTACATCCCAAATTATACGAGCAGTTGTGAATGTGACATCAGGAAATGAAACATTTGATGGTGGCCCAGGAGCTGTGATGAAATAAAAATTATTACTTTATTATTAATAAGAAGCGCATTTTCTTTTTAAATTACTAGTAAATGATAAAACTTACGTAAAAAAGAGTAAAAAGGAAGTTTATTATTATATTAGCCATTAACTGTCTACTGTTGGACATAGGTTCTTGTCCTTGTAAGGCTTGGTAAGCAACTACAGTTAGGCTTTGATGGTATTTTAAGAGACCTAACACTCGACCACTAAATTCCCTTAGTCGTCTCTAACGATACCCCACGGGATAAGAAGTGGTTGCTCATTCTATGTCGTGATCATACGGCAAAAAAAAAACATAACAAAGAGATTAAACAAGAAGTGTGACGTGTACAATTATTTATACTTACTGTCGTCAAAAGTCCTTACAGTGACGGGCGGATCGCTTAAAACGCCGTCTCCCAATCTCGTATATCCTAATACTTGTATTTGATACACAACATATTTTCTGAGTTCCGTCAATGTTATAGTGTGCGTCTGATTAGATGGTATAGCTTGGCATTCCACATTCTGGTTTTCGGGCCGTGGTGGAGGTACAATCGCCGCGTAGCATACTTTGTATCCCTCAATTAAACCATTTTGGTCTTGTACTGCAATGTCTCCCCAAAGAACGACCACAGTGGTAGATGAGGTGGCATTAGCTGATACGTCCGTTGGACCACTGGATGGCACTGAAAATTTAATTATTATATTATAGTTACACTAAAGTTATATTGCAAAAAACCTAGTAGCCTTTACTTTTTTATAATTCTTATTTGCATTGATAGACAACTATGTTATCGATACCGAGAATACATAACAATATTTATAATTAACATTAAAATAAGTACCAGCTTCTCTTGTCCTTTCTGTAGCTATCGGACTCTCTGTCGATGTCCCAACTTCATTGATTGCAGTCATTTGAATTTCGTAAAGCGACCACTCCTCGAGGTCGGAGAGGACGTGCGAGTTGGCTGTATGGTCCTCAATGATGATATTTAATGTTTCGTTGGTCCCGCTTCGTTTGTATGTGATATTGTAACCTTTAGGATTACCATACCATTCACTTTGTTGTAAAGGCTGTGAAATAAAAAAAATTACATACACAAAAATAAAGAAAATATATTAAAGAAGTTTTTAAATTAAGAAAAATCAAGTAGTTTTAACAAGTTCTTGGTACACAGTCATTTTATTTTATCAAATATATTCTACCTAAGGGTGACATTTTAGTCGCTCCTACAAAATCACAAAAAGCTCTAGAGCTTCTTTAAACAGGTATAGCATTATCTTGGTAAACAGTAATGATATCACAGAAACAGTTTGACGTAAGAAGACAAGTGACGTGCGTCCATAAGATTGAAGAGAATGTATTACATATATAGTGTATACTTACAATCCAGCGCACGCGCAGCATATCGGCGCTGACGGCGCGCACGGTGACGTTGCGCGGCGGGTGTTGCGGCGGCGCTTGTATGGTTTGGAACTCTTTGCACGGCTCCGAGGGCGGCGACGAGCCTACCACGTTGGTTGCAATCAGCCGCAGCCGGTACGTCGTGAACGGCACCAGGCCGCTCACCAGAATTGACTGCGCATCCGGCGCGTTCACCTCGTATACTGTCACCCAGGATGAGTTGCGTGCTGTTTGGGCCTGAATAATACAACGTTCGTATAATAAACAAGCGTACATTTATAATCGGTCAATAAAAGGAACAATGTATAATTTTTTTTCTTTTCATTCATCTCTATTCGCATTTATTGTAAATCTTTCATATCCATATTTATGGATGTACATATGTATGTAATGTATGTAACAATATTTATACATATTTTAGTAGTAAATGCATCACCTACTTAATTTTCTGCTTACCTCATGGTTGACTAGTAGAGAACGCTATTAGGTGTTAAATCCGCTATATGTACACTTACGTAATTGTGCATTAAAATTTAAATAAATAAAAATTTCACACAGTCCATCCACATCTTATATTTGAATATTTTTCTATCTTTATAAATATCCAAACCTGTATTTAATACTTATCCTAAACTATTCTACTCATACCAACTTATCACATTACCATAATGTAAAATAAGTTTTTGATAGAGAGTAATAATAAGTAAATAAAGAGAATGTACCTGAACGGTCCACATGGATATGGAGGAGTTGCCGTCGAAGCCGGGCGTGAACTGCAGTAGTACAGAGAAGGCCTGTATGTTGGATAGCGCGAGGTTGCGCGGTGCGTGCGGTAGTACCGGCTCCACACCTGACTGTATGGTGGCTGAGCGAGCGCCGCCCTCCCCTACTGCTGTGAGCGCACGCAGTGTCAGTAGGTAGTGCGTGCTGGCCTGTGAGGAATACGATTCAAATGTAACTCGCCTCATAGAGTGCCTAGTCTATTTTACTACATACATATAAAAGAGTATTGTTAGTGATAAATACAATCGATAGATCAGGTCAGCATATAATGATTAATGATAATAAATCTAACGTCAATTTCGTATAAATTGTTCAAGTGCAGCAGTGCCAATAGTAGAAATATACATATGTACCATACGTTTTTGACCCTGCGTCCGTTAACATGAAATTATCATTTCAACACAGTATGAAGGATTCTATTTTTCATATTCCTTACACTGTGATTTCAACAAGAATATAATAACATCACTTGACTGAAGCTTAACTGATTAAATATTATATTAGCGTGTCTACCTAGCATTAGTCCCGATGTGATTAATAGTTATCGATGTACTAATTATATTGGAATTATCAGAAAATTTTAAAATCTTAAAGATTAATTGGACAGAATTCCTCTCATAAACCTATTTTTATTCAGTCTTGTATTTATTGGTAGAATTACCGGTTTCCTCAATCATCACTGTAACCCTGTTTTGTATTAACATTATTACCGTTAATGCTTCGTATTTCTCATGCTCGGAAATGTATTGTTTCGTATAATGCGTGAGAAATTTTAAGGATGTAACAAAAGAACAGTTTAAGGCATATAAAAAATATACTTATCTTACCTGTAAGTGTTCGATTTTAATACTGGTGATATTAGGTGGCAGTGTCTCCTCTTTAAATGAATTATCATCGTCTTTTATTTGGTAAGACAGTTTGTAACCAATTAGAATTCCATTTGATTTTTTGGGTGGAGTCCATGAGACGCGTACTGCGCGATCTGATATGTCATCGAATTGTAGACTACCTACTTCATCTGGTGCTGTAAATGCAAATAAAAATTTAATACGATGGAAATAATTATTATATTTGATAATACATTAGTGATAACATGCATTCAAAAAATAGACGTATAATTGAAATAACTTTACGTTCATTCATGGAGTCATAATATCAAATTAATTTATTTAATTATATTTCATATATATCTACTCACTGTCTTCTTTGGTTCTGATTAAAACATAATCACTGCGAGGTCCATCGCCGGGCTCAGTGAAACACAGAACTGATATGTTGTAATCTGTGAATTTGTCTAGCCCGCCTATGACAGCAGATTGCTTGGTAAGAGGGTCCAGCAGATTTGGCGGAATGCTTACAAGTTTATGTTCCACATTCATGTTCTCTTCATCACTCCATCTCCATGCTTGGATTTTATAACCCTGTAATAAATATGACGAAAGATTTTAACGATTATAAATTATATATTAAACAAAAGATTTACAATATAACATCAATAAAAAAAAAGTATATTGTTAAATGCGTATTGGTTATTACAAATATACAAGGTTATATAAAAATAATAAATAATACGTCTAATATAATAAACGGTAGAGATATTTATTTTAGGTTTTTTTTATACAACTTAGAATGATAAACAAGCTGACGGCCCACCTGATGGAAAGTGGCAACCGTCGCCTATAGACATTAGCAGTACCATGGACATAACAGAGTATACTGTTTCGCCCATGATACACCCATATCCCACCCTTCAAACCGAAACACAGCCATGCAAACACAACTGCTCCACGGTTGAAACACGAATGGGACAGAGATATCCAAGCAAACGTCTTTTGTACAAACTCTCTCTCTGGTTTAGGTTATAGTTTAAAGAAAGTAATTCTAATTTCATTCTATAACTTGCATCCTACTCAAGGAATAGTCAAGTCCGGCATCTCGTATATCGCAGAAAACTACTCCCTAATTAGACGCTGACAAATAAGTACTGTTTTTTTTTCTACGTGTATAAAAATAAGATTATTTTTATTCCTGTTATATATAACAAAACGGTGGATATTTTCCATTGCAGTATAATGATTGCAATCAAACATACAACCCGTCTGATAGTATTATTACCAGCAGTTATTGCCGCTTGTGGACTCGCGTTGAAGGACTCATTTTAAAACAAGATATGTAAGTTCGTAAAAAAAGCAATTTACTCGAACAATTGAAAGTTGCACGAAAAGGTAATTAAACCGTTATTCCCGTGAGGTGTTCATATAAAAATAAATTAGACATTAGTTTACGAGACCACAGCAATAAATATTGCAATAAAACGATAGGGACTATACTAGAGTTACAACTCACATTGCAGACCATAAAATGATGCCCGAAATCATAATTTCTTTATCATACCATATAAAAAGGTCATAAAACAGACGTGATCAGAAAATCAAAATAGACAGTAAGATATGTATATTTAATTTTTAATCAGCATCCATAATGAATCTGATTACTATATTTACTTATGATTTGAAATTCGACAAAATTTTTTCAACCATACATAAAAAATTGTCGAATTTCATTTTATTTTGTTCCGTCATAGAATAGGTTACCCCTTCTTTTCCATAGGTGTCGTAAAAGATGACTGAGGGTACTTAAGGAAGAGGAATGGGCAGCAGTGTCTTTCTTAAAATATTTTAAAAGCCTAATTGCGGTTACCAACCAGCTTGCCAAGTGTGGCAACAACTGGCAAAACTACCCTTATGGGGAAAGCTGAAATGATGAATAATGACTATAATCTTTAATAAAGTAGAAACAGTAGTAGACTGTTGCCGTTGTAGTAAACGTAACTCTTCACATACTTCGTTTCGTTTAGTAGAATTCAACGTGCTAAGCGGCGATCGTGCCGCCGTCACTAGGAACCAATTTTCCATGTTATTGGTGTTTTTCATCACCGGAAAATTAGTCGCGATAATTTTAATATGTTAATAATATATTTACCTGATTAATACCGTTGATTTTCTGTGGGTTAGGCGGTGTCCACCACACAGTGATAGCCGTTGAGTTGAAAGGTTCGCACCGGACATTATCTGGTGGTGCTTCGGGTACACCTTCCTTAGTTTTAATAGTATAGCTGTCTGAAAAGACTCCTACGCCTTTATCGTTGTAAGCAGCAATTTGCACATTATAGTCTTTCCATGTAATAAGGTCTTGTATTAGATAGTTTCTTTGTGCTTCATTTGTGATATTCTGGTAAGTCCATGGGCTATTATCGTAGCCGCGGAGTCTATATCTGATGACGTAGCCCAGTATGTGACCATTTCTATGCTCTTCAAGAGGTGGCTGCCATTGTGTTATTATTTCGGACGAAGAGCGCGCTGATCCCATGAAACCCACAGGGGGGCCTGATGGTGCTGTAAAATGTATGAATTATACGGTGTTCAATAAACATTTTGCCATGAAATTATTATGTAAGGCTGAGTTTATGTCACGGACAGCCAGTTTCGATCAAATATGTGATTTTTTTCAAATACTATTTGTCAAAATAAAATTTACATAAAAAAATTCTCCAATCTAGCAGGTTTCTCATGTTAGTAAAATATAAATATTGATATAAAAAGTTTGTGCGCAATTGAGAATGAAGGCCCTTACTTAATTAATTGAACTAGAAGTATAATAATACATAAATTAGATATAGAAAACCTGATAAGTACCAATTTTATAATTCGAAAAAACATTCCTATCATTAGAAACAGAGCTTGGAAAGACGAACATAAATATACATGATTAATATTTAATAGAAAAAACCACCGCACTGGAGCACGCATGCGTGGTTACTTTATGCCGAGTTTGAACTTGCATATAAGTACATTAAAATTATCTAAGTTAATTTCCTGCAGTAAATCATTCAAATAATTTACTATCTTTAATCTTGGAATAATTTGCACGTATTTGAACTTTTGTTTTCTCATGTGTCTAATTATTGGATTGAAGTTAAGATAATTAAGGAAGAATATTATTATTTATATTGGTATACACGCACTCAGTAGTAAGGCAAAGTTGCTCAAGTCGTATCCCCTAAGAAAGTAATACTGTTATATTTAGTGAAATAGAAATCTGCACGTATTAAATATTTATTTAGTTACCGTTTAATTAAAAATCATAGAAAATTGAAAATTTTATATGGTACGGTACGATTAAGGCTAATTCATACAATTAGGCGACCAGGAGCTTTTAATCTATAGCCTTAGTCGTATTTAGAACATAAATTTTAGTGAGTACATAATAACTAATTTTTATTAAATGTAATGCAGGCTTTTTCTTTTCTTTTATATTGTCCTCGGTTTCCATTTCCTTTTAGAAAGGACTCAAATTAATTACTTTACTGGCTCAGTATATTCTTTTTTTATTGTTGACTTTATGCAAGGCTCATGAGATATAATTGTTCAAGTGATTGTATCAATAGGTTTTTATTGTCATGGTGTGAAATATGATATTGTAAAAATATTTGAACGATATTGTGAAAGATCCAGGTTGAATGATAAGCGGCATTGAATCTCTAGGTGTTAAGGGTGGAGTTGTATTTTTTGGTGGTAATGGTGATGATGATGATGAAACTATTAGTGGAGCTACAACCATTGTTGGTAACAACGCAACTATTGTACGATCTAAATATTGTATTTTTTCTTTGCCATATTTATTACCTGGTCAAAATTTAAGTTAATTACTAAACCTAAATCGTATCAGTAAGTATTTTGCATAGGTACTATTTAAGAAGCAGATTCTTCTAAGTTTAATTTTTTTTAAATAGTTCCACCGTTTGAGTATGGCTAAACGATTGTCAAATAAGTATTATAAGTAGATATTAACAAAGAAAAAATATAGTGATCACACTCTTGTCATATAAAGCTTATATAAATGAGTGAAAATTTTTATAGAAAACTGTATCAAAATTTACTTTTTAATTATTTTCGCTTTATGAAGTCGTTCAGCCATACATCCAAACCTATACGAGGTTTGCTCGTTCAACTAAATGGTTCAGATTGACGACATTAAATGGTGCAATTCTAAATTTTAGCCAACATTTATTTAAGATTACCGTGTACGATTAAGGTGGTGGTACGACTAAAGCAACCTTACCTTAATCCATCTATCACAACGATTAAATTAATAAAATATTTATAAAATAAATCATATTGTTTACAACTGGTAGGCACATTCAAAATAAGGCGTATTTATTTTGTATATATGAATACTCATAGATACAACATAAGTTTATTTGAATAGAATATAAAAAAAAACAATAGATTCTGATGCACTCAAAAAGTAAAATTATTAAAAGTTTAGTTAAAAATGACAGATGTTAAAGTCTTCTAATCGATAAAAATGTACGCGAATGACTAAATAATTAACACTTTTTTTAATTTGAATCGTTACTATTTCGCAAATTTCAATAAAATAAATGAATTCTTGCAAAAAATTAAAAAAAGAATAAAATGCAGTTAATAAAAAATAAATAATAGATTGATCACACCATAAAATAAATTATTACAATAAAAGCCATCTACTTGTAGTGTAATTCATACCTTGGCAGCATATTATATCGCTGGCTGCTAGATCACAAAGAAACACAATTATTGTAGTGAAATGCTTGCTTAAACTTTGCCAGCTCGGTTAGTGTTAGAACTATTAGCGTTAAATCACTACTACGTACGATACCTATGTCTATATCATACTTCGGAAGTACATATTAAATATAATAAATATTTCTAATACATGAATATACAATAACAAAAATATTCAATGACACAATAATTGTCTAGACAATAATACCTAAAATTATTAATACTTTATGAGTTCCTTTCTTATTATAACCATATTTCTTTCGTACAGCAAGCAACTCGTCTTTCAAAATTTACACTTAAAGTAGGTATCATGTAAATATATTTTACAGTCATCTGATACACCAATCACTGGTTTACATGAAGCTATCATAGAACATGAACCTTAATGTTCAAACTGAAATATGTAAGTTGTTTGCTGTGTTGGGTTGTAATAAGTAGGACTAATGTTTTACTGTTAATTTTTTTTTATGTTCTAAAATATACATCGAAGTTTAATAATACATAGGTTCGTTAAGTCATGAAGTGCTGATGATCTATGTAACCATGTAGTAGTGCAAGTTAGCTAGGTTATACGAGTAGGTAATAGGAAATTTCTCATTAAAAGAAGTTTTAAACTTATAGTTAGTCTTACATCTTTGCTGTGAATACGAATATATTTGTTATATAATTATCGAACATTGTGCCGATTAGAAGCATATTAATTACTATGTAGCGAAATAGTTCATTAACACAAATTATTGACTCAATCGTTGAAATATACCTTCTTGGGGTAGTGTCAAAACATCAGTAGGGTCGGAGGCAGGCCCTTCTCCGACGGTGTTCACGGCGGACACCCTGAACTGATACGACGTAGCCGCCTTCAAACTGGTCAATAGAATCCAGCGTTGGGACGCAGACACATTTACGGGTTCCGTTACCCAATTCAATAACGGATCCGGCGTAGGACCTAGTTACAATGAAAAGAGCTCGTGATAATATTTTTCATTTTAAAGTTTTAGCAGAGAATTATTTTTATTATACTGACCAAATTCGGGTACAACACGTTTCTGGACTATGAATTTCTGAATAGGTGAATTTCCGTCGAAGCCTGGTGTCCAGGAGACGTTGACAGCTCTTTGGGAAGCTTCCTCGAGCTTAGAAGCGCGGACATTGGTGGGTGCAAAAGGCAACTCGATGACGGACAGTGTGGCGTGGCGCGTGTGGTTACCGCCCGGTGACGTCACCACACAAGTGTACTCGCCCGCGTCGCTGGCACGTACAGCCTGCACTTGCAGCGCGCCGTCCGCTGCGACCCACACCCGGGTTCCGACAGTCATAGGCCTACAATATCAATTAAATTTGTTGTGGAGAAATCATTATATATACATATAAACGGAAAATATTTTTTATGGATTTTGTAATGGCAAAGATGATATGGACGCAGCCCGTCCATATCATGGACAGCAGTAACCGTCATCTATACGTAAATATAAACAACATTACGGATATCACAATAATATACTATAACTACCTTTATTTAATGTACTATCTTTATTTAAAAATTACTAAATTCTTTGTGATACTAATAGTAGGTATTAAAAAATCACACGAATGGTATAAACACATGCACGATATACACCGAAGTTTTAGTGCAGCAAATGTTACGGATCAAATCAAAATTTGAGCTTAATTTTTAGTAACAAAGTTTATTTATTATTACTACTCGTATCAATTTGCAGACTCGCTATAAAACTATAGTAAGTCTTCAAATTGATATGAACCAGTAGCAATTTTGGTAGTTTTAAAATACATAATTTGAACATTACAACCGATTTCATAATTTACATGTTATTGACTTACATGTGATTTAAGTAAAAATAGTTTACTATAAATGTACACATGCGTACTTATCGTCAATAAATCGAAATCGACATGAACGAATTAAATAATAATTGCAAAAGCACTTTCTTTTAGAATTCGATTAAAGAAAGTGAAACTCGGATACTAAAGTTCAGTACTTAGTTATTTTAATAATATTTAACTACGTCGTAAATAATAAAATTTTATTTTCGGTTACAAACCAACTTAAAAGATAAAAAGAACAAGAAAAGTTTTGCGGGCATAATTTCGTTTTCATGTAATATATGTATTAAGACAGCGAAAGTTTTAGAGTCGCACATATTAAGGACAGATAAACATCGCATACCATAGTTATTTCAACCGCTATAATTACAACACTTTTCATGTTAATTTATTATAACGGCATATTAAAAAAATATGATAACAATACACGCACGATTCTATAATATATTCTTACAAATGTTCAGAACTGTAAAATACTCACTGTTTATTGTGAAACCAATCGATATTATATTTCACATTGGGATCATTGGAAACCTTGCATTGTAAGGTAGCGGTATGACCAAGTAGAACCCGCGTGTCCACCGGCGGAGCTATTATTTGCGTTCTTACTGTAATATATAAATGAAAATAAATTTATGTAATTTTTAATTGTCATTCATACATTTGTGTTTATTATACGAATTAAATTGCGGACACAAATAAGAAGGCGGGTCGAGTGAGTTGAGTAATACAATTTTTCTAAATTAAATAATATGACAATTATTAAACTTACAATAACTTACCTAGTACAGTGAGATAAGCTTCTCCAGAAACGTTGCCAGCGTCATTTGACCGGAGGCACGTGTATTTTCCAGTGTCCGCGGTAGTAGTTCCAGTAATTAATAGATCACCTTCTTCTAATGCTTGCAATCTTCCCGATAAGTTTATAATAAGGGAATCTGTAGATATATATTTTTTAGACATTAAAGTAATATATATATATATATATATATATATATATATATATATATATATATATATATATATATATATATATATATATATATATATATATATATATATATATATATATATATATATGTGTGTGTGTGTAATTTATATCTATTAAAATATTGAGTATAAACGTATATATACTATATATTATAATCATAACTGGCTCTGTCTGCAATTTTATATTTTATACTAAAATTTGTACATTACTAGCTTTCTGCCCGAAACTTCTTGCGCATTTAGATAAGTTAAACCTTCAGGAACACAAATCTAAAAACCGCACTCAATTTGGTGCAACAGTATTCGCATGATGTCAAAACAAATATACAGACAGACACAAAATTTCTAAAAAACATTGTTTAATTTCTATTGCCATTACTAAAATCTATCATATAAATTTTTCTTAAATGGTTTCCATGTCATCTAATTAGAATTTTATTATATTAGTAAGAGCTTATTTATAAAAAAATTTAAGATGTATATTTCGTACAGATGTATATTTTTAAACACTAATTCGAGTTAGAAATTAAATTTGTTTTTATGAAGCTGAAATTTTGAAAACACACACATGATAGCAGCAAACATTCGTAGGCTATGGTTTATACATCGGTGGGATCGTATGTATGATTACCACTCTGTTGTGGGTATATAAAATAATTGTGGTGATTTATATTGGAAGAAAAATATGTAGAAGTTAGAGCACTGCTTCATGGCCTTATGTGTTACTTTTGATTACATCCACCATAAAACGATGAAATAAATCGATTGGCGATCATATTTTTTTACGAAGTAGAAAGGTAAAACTCTTTTTAAACCATGTTATATAATAAAAAACATTTTGTAATAATCTGTTGATTGCCATATCTTAGATAAGGGATAAGTATATAAAAGTTATACTCCATAGATTATAGTATACTCGTATGTATTGATTGAAATAATCAGTATAGACGCCACCACACAACCTGGCAGTTAAAGACCATTGATTTATTATTATTGCGTGACTAGAATATATGAAGTTAACTGTCAACCGTACAGCACTAAAGCATATTACATTTCTTATTGCTTTTCCAACGTGTTTCAAAACTAATATGAAACAATCATATTACTAATATTACGATTGATACAAAATAACAGGTAATAAATTTATACTTATTCGTATATCTACCTATTTTAATTGGCTATACACTTTATTAAATTACTATAATGTAAATATTAGACAGTAGGCATTTAAAAATAACACATTGCCGATATTAGGAATTGTTAAAATGTTGTCTATGATACTGACGATTTCATGGACGTCACAATTATACTGTGCCGTCCGAAGCAGTTCTTTCAGGTTAGATTATAAATCTCTAGAGTCATAGACAAGCGTAACAAATCTTACAAGTTATTTCAACTTTAGCTAGAAATATTACAAGGTACGCATTGCTCATTTACTTGTAGTAGACCATATAAAACTACCATAAGTAATATTAATGTCAGATATTTACTCAGAGCTCTGATTTTATTAATCATAATGTTGTATAGCGATAAAAAAATGGATGAAATGAAAAAAAAAAGTTATATGATTTGGTACAGAATCAATAGAGCCGATCGCTCAGCACCGAGCCATTCGGTTTTTCAGATAAATTCCCTTGACTAACTTATTGATACGTCTTTGTAGTGATACGGATCGGCTCTACCGATCATCTGGCATGTCGTACTGTTCATAGGGAATTTTATAAAGTGCAGGGGAGTGTTTACTCACCATTGAAATACCAGGTGACGTTGGGAGTCGGGGCACCGACGGCTCTACAAGCAATTGTGGCGTCTTTCCCATCAAGTACAGTCAGGTTGGCTGGAGGGCTCTGCATTACTGGCGGGGACGCTACAGTCACACACTATGGTTAGTAGACGATCTACTCTAGCCACACAAATCATAGGTACAATATTAGTATACACACATTGTAGAAAAATCATGCACGTTAAATTATAATTATATTAAATTGTTTCAAACTAAGAATGTGACGTGTTTTAGGGTTCCGTAGTTATATGGCTATAACTGAATTTATTCATATACTCTTATTATTTTGTTCATATCTGTCTGTAAAAGACAGCATCAGAAAGAAAAAATAAGACTGACGAGTATTACAAATAAATATAAAAAAAAAAATCGATTAAGTTAAAATTTCTTTAACTCTCATCAAATAAACTTGTAAAGATTTTTTTTATGAGAACTTAAAGTTTTGTTTAATATTACAATTATACACATTATATGAACAAACAAGTTAAAAACCACAGAAACTCTACAGAACTCTTACAATGCGTGTACGACGACTTGTCCTAAGTCGGTTTATTTTTAATTAATTTATTACTCAAACAAATTTATTATAATAATCAATATAAATAAATAATAACATAAATAAACGTTACTATTAACTACGAAGCGAAGATAAACTAGTTTTAGTTGAGTTTTAGTTGATAAGTGCATACGAGTTTATTCGTGTTCAATGTTTTGATTGTTACATCGTCACAATTAAAGATCAGAATGAGTGTGAATAAAAATTTGTAGTGATCAAACTCGAAGCCTAAAGATGTCAAATGATTAAAATATTTATAGGCTAGGTTATACCTACATACTTGGACTAAGTTGTAAATAATAAAAAGGATTGGAATGAATTCCAAATTAGAGTAATACAAGTGTTAGTGATGTCATACTTTATAATAATAATGTCTTATGGTTATCCTTGGATTTTAAGTAACTTCTATATAAATTTTCGTTCCTATCTGTTACGTACTCATAGTATAGTTGTAAACGTGACAAACGAATACATACACTTTCAAATGAAAACTATTAACTGTAAGGATATTAATTTTTTCGGGAATTAAATTCTAGGTAAGCCATTTTAGGGATCGGTACGATAAGAAAATGACAAGATATTAATGTTAATAACTTGGTAACATTTTAGGTGAACTCTATATCTTGATAGAATTAGGGATGAAAATAGCACGACAAAATATTTGAGCTTTAGAAGAAAGCGTCAGGCATCGTTCTAAGCTTAGCAATATCCGTAGATTTCTCATTAACTCGTTATAATATGCAAAGGAGCCTTTGAACTTTGTAGATCTGATCTCATTCTTACTTTTACGAATTATTTAAGTGCCGTTTACATTTATTACTAGTTGTAATTGTATGAACTATTTATTATTACTTATAGAAATTTTCTGTTTATCTGCATAAATTCGTACAAAATTTATCCTATTTATTTACTATAACTATAGACCATCCTTATACCGAATTTTATTAATATTCGTCAGTAACAAACATTAGTAAAGATAAGGATTAGTAAGACTAGCGAATACCCGGATTTCGACCTCTGTGCACTCGGACCCTAAAGAATATCACGTGAATGACCCTCGTATTTCTTGTCTGTAATCTGGGACCGGTTCATCTGTGTACTAAACTTTAGCTGTGCCACAAACATTTAAGAATATACACAAACTTTAGCATTTAATAATAATATTTTGCAAGATTGTACATGTTGCACAGAATAAATAAATTATAATCAGTATGTTTAAAATAACGGATAATATAATATTAAAAAATTTGATTTGATAGTGTGCGATATAATTACATAAATTTTCATAGTTAAATATAATAAGCGTTTTCTGGTTTTCCTAAGTGAGGCTGGTGTATAGTGTATTTTTATCAAAAACAAGTCACGTTACATGATAAGTCTTCTTTGTTTGCTGAAGGTGATAAGACTTGTTTGCTGGTTAGGCATACTTTATGTTACAAACTATGGAGATAGCGTATTCTACTTAGCAAATGAATGAGTCTTAATTATCATTAAACCATTTAACATTAAAAATACAATTTCCTAATTTATATGTTAAAGATATCTTAGAAAACAGAAAGTATTTTTATTTGCCATAATTCCTATAATAACTACATCATGCAATATCAATAAATTGGTTTTAACGCTAAACAACAGGTAATAACGATCTGTACAAGTTAATATTAAAAGAAATTACTTACGTCTACGTCTAACATGTAAATTACCAATAAATGGATTGAATAATAAACAAAATAAAAGAAAAAAACAATTGGACCTGTATCGTGAAAAAGAAAAATTTTTGAGAAGCAATCATTTGCAATCACTCTGTGCTATAAAAACATAATCGCTAAAATGTGCAAAAACGATATCAATTTGCTTACTGCCGGTATCAAATTTGAACGTTTTTGCCTTTTTATCTGTCGTCCTCATTCGTATTAACTTCATGTGACTGCGTGGAAGTCGCCTAGTTTCCTTTGCTGCACGATAGTTGCGAGTGTTAGTTATAGATTATTTATTTCTCATTTACATTGTTCACCAAGGGGAGTTAAGGACAGATTACTAACGGGTATATATTTAGAGCCCTACTAGGGCTGTAAAATACAGGAGTAATCTGTACTTACTCTCTGCTCGTATATGATGTTTTTACTATATCATCAATAAAAATGAAGAGATATTTTAAAAGTCTGCCTTTTATTAAAACTTACTTTATTATAGTTTTCAAAAGTTCTCTAAATATTATGTTCGAAGTTCCCCGACAAATTTATAATACTAAATATATAAATTATTTTAGAGAAATTTTTTGAAATTTTATTTTGAAATGCATTTTGCATTGTCATCATAAATAATAGTAATTGAAATTTAAAAATCGAAATGAGAAGCTCGTTGCTTAAGAAATCGGAAAATATGTACCTATTCTTAAACATCTAAGAGACCTATAGTTTTTATCTTTCTTACTATGTTTAAACTGCTTATATAACGATTTACTTACTTTTAATTTTTAACCAAGTGTAAATAGATGATTCTCCCGCCTCGTTGTTGGCGATGCACTGGTATATTCCCATGTCTTCCATTCTTAGGTCTCTGATAACAAGAGAACGATCCAGCTCCACCCTGTATCTGCCGCCGTTGTCGTCTACATCGCTATTGTCACTATTGGCTGCCTCGACACCCACACTAGCTATCTTTTTAGCATCCTTATACCAAGTTATGCTAGGTATAGGAATGCCTTGAACATTGCATTCTAATACTATAATACTTCCAAATTCGCCGAAAGTTTCTGATTTTAAATTAGTTAAGAAAACAGGTTTCTCGTAAACTGTAACAGTTGCTGAGGCCGACACTGTGGCAAATCCTCCCGATTTAAGCCGCGCTTGACACATGTACTGGCCCGTGTGCGTCAGATTAGCAGATATAAGACTAAGAGTTCTGTTCCACTGGTCATTTAAGTCAAATGTGATTCCGGCTAAATCAATCATAATTCCATCTTTGAACCACAAAGTTTCTAGCTCGTGAAGGGGTCTAGCATTAGCTACGCAATATAAGTTTGTATATTCTTGACCTTTGGTTATTTTAGTGTCCTGTGGTTTAATAATGATTTCAGGTGGAATTTCCTTACTATCGTCTCCAAATACGTTTAACGTTATATAGGGACTATTTTCTTCCTTGCCAAGTTGAGTATTAATAGCTCTAACTCTGAAAAATTTTGTGTGGATATTTAGAATTGAATTCACTATTAAAATGTAAAAAAAAAAATGCTTTAAATAGCTTGATATTTACCTATAAGCTCGTTCATCTTCTTGTGAAGCGCATAGTATAACTAACTGGTGTTTATTAGTAATTGCATATTTTTGATCATAGCGTAAAGCTCCATTTTCATCTTGCCAGATCACTGACGGTGAAGGTTCCGACTCTATATGTGGAAAATCTAATATAACGGCTCTTCCCGATTCCGCAGTCACTATTTGCTCAGAAACATTTTCGAATACGCCCATATCTGTATATCATTACATTTATAAATATTATTGTAAGTAGTAATGAACATTGTATGTTATAATAGAAAAACTTAAAGAAAGATATTTGTAATTTTATATTGACTATAAATATGGAAAAAAAAAACCTATATACATATTAATAATATGTACATATGCTTAAAACATTATTGTAAATTTATAATGTGCATACCTATTTTGGGAGTTATTAAACATTTAGCTGTCACCGACAGGAGTATGGACAAATTGGGATCGGGTCAATAGTCAAAATTAGAATCAGGGATAAGTTAATAATAATAAATCGATGTGATTTAGGGTTCGAGGTAAAACGAAAGACAATGTAATGTAGCGCAGCACAATGAATATTTTAATAATACTATAAAAAAAAAACAATATAAAGAAAAATGTACCTAATTTAATTTGCAGAGGAATGTAAGTACCAAACTATAACTTGAGTATTAAGTTTACATGAACTATAACTATAGCATAGCGAATGTTGGTATACGAAAATCGTAAAAGCTCCGCTGCTTGAAATATTTCTATGAACTAAGATTAAATAGTCTAGACTCTGATTGAAAGCTACACAACGCTCATAATAATTTAACAATATAAACTAAATAATAAGTAATACATACCTATATCATTTAAAATAAGGAAATATATTTAAATAAAGATCTTATGTTAAAAGATGTTAGTGCAGAAAATTATTTTTAGCACAAAATTGCCGTAATGAAAGTAAGTCGTTCAAAGAGCACTTTACTTACAAGCGACAACAATGTTATTCTTTTCGCTGAAAATTGCACCGACATCGTTCTTGGCGATACACTGGTAAGCTCCAGCGTCTTGTCGTTGTGTATTGTGTATCTTATAAAATATTTCGGAAGAGTAATCGCCAAGCGGCACGCCATTTTTTAACCACCGATACATAGGTTGAGGTATTCCTATAGGAACAACATATGAGAACACATATATATGTTTGTATTTTTTTAATTTTTTTTTTAATAAATGAATAAATGATAGAGCTTATTCTTACCTATTGCTGAGCATTGTAAAATTTTTGTTGTGCCTTCTCTCACTATACTATTTGATGATGATGGCTGCATGCTGAACCGTGGTGGCTGCATTTGTACTGTAAATAAAATTAGATAATTAGAAAAAAATATAATTAGTGTTGGCAATACATACAATATTAAGTTTTAGATACACGAGTCAACAGAATTAACTTGTAATGGCGGGCATATCTATTTCAAATATTATTCACGAAATGTTAAACAATATATATGAAGCTACTTTTTAACCGCGATTTCATCCACGTGACAGGATATATCGTTTGGCTGGGGCAGAGACTGTATTTTAATATCTTAAATAAATTACTATACTGGAACAAAAGTGTTGTGTGCAGTCATAAAATTGGATGCAATCCAGATAGCGCCACAAATCTCAAAAATCTGCAAGCCCTGGAAGTGAATTTTATTTATTAATTCTAATGAAGAGCATTATTATATAATAACTGTTATGTATTATTGTCGTGTTTGGGTTTTAGCGATCAATTTACAGTAGTAAACTATATTTATCCGGGATAAAAACTAGCTATGTCTTACTTCATCCCTAATACTACTATGTGAATACCACTCCCATACACTCGTTATGGGGCCGTGAGGTAATAAACAAACATATGATCATATTTATAATATTAGTGGCGCGTAATATTTAGGTTTCAGTTTTTTTGATTGAATATTCTATACGTGGCATTATGAATTTATACACTAAATTTAATATTTCAATATTTCAAAGAGAATGATACTCAACGTGAACGTTTCCGAATATGTTTTTACGATTTGTATTAACTACTATATCGGGTGAAGCTGAACGGATATAAATGAAATTTTGCACACATAATGCACGCTAACAGGAATATTTTGTCATACTCGTATATATTTTGTTAGGGTTCTTAAAATGTTTTAGCTTGATTAAAATAATTTATCAGCGAAATATTAAAACAGAATATTATTATTGATAAATATTAACAGATGAAAAACTGACTTCTAAAGTTGATGCAAATCACGCTTAAATATAGATACAGAAGTATTTTTTATTCAATTAAACTTAATAAAAAATTAAAAAATATTGGACTATTTTTGTTTTTGGAATGAGATCTTCAACCTCAATCTTTAATCAAAAAATTATGCCGAAATCCGAAACTAAAATATTGTGAGTGACTAACAACCAACCAATCTAGGTAGGTACTGCCTATCCATTGTCTAAAATCTTTGAAAAGGAATAATACGTTAGTCTTATAAGTAGCAATGCACAAGGTCATTATTATTGGTGTCACTTGCATCAGGTAGGCCGTCAGTTTAGCCGTCTGTTTGTAATTCTGGGTAAAAAAGTTTATTACTGGTAAAGTCTATCGTTATTAGGAAACAAATATTAAAAAAAAGTATCTTGATATTAAATATTTTTAGTAAGATAACAACAAATAAGCCAGTTCTTTTTAACCATTTTTTCCAAGATTAGATATATGTTACATGTTAATTTAATAAATGTTATTTAACTTTAATATATTTTAATTTTTGCCGTGTGATCCTGACATAGAATGAGCCACTTCTTCCTTTCCCGTGGGTGTTATAAAAGGCGACTAAGAGAACCTAAGAAGTATGGGCAGCAGCGTCTCTTAAAACATCATTAAAGCCTAACTGCGGCTGCTAACCCGCCTGCTAAGCATGGCAATTACTGGCAAAGCCTTCGATAGATGGAGGTCTAGGTTCAGCAGTGGAGAGTTAAAGATTGCCATGATGATGATGATGATATTACAATTTATTACAAGACTTACAGTCTGTAATATAAAGTATCAAAATGCTTTGATCAGCAAATAACAAAAAAAAAAAAGCAAAAAGGATTATATCTTTAAAATGCTCTACGACGCTTTTGGGAATTGAAAGGTTAAACTGAACGTTAACTCATAAATGAATGAATGAGTATACTTTATTTGCATTAAACAATATGGGAAATAAGCAAGACAATTAACAAATATGTATAACGACACAATTATATAAGTGCAGTAAGTAAGTATATATAATTCTGCAAAATGTATTTTGGAAAAATCCTTTTTAATTGTGTTGATTATTAGGTATTTACCGCAGTATCGCCTGCGTGGAACCCGTTATTCCCTCTCTCACGAGACTCCTAAGAAACCCCTTCATAGTAAATAGCTATGTAAAAAAAGAACCCTGCAACAGAAATTTTAGGCGAGCGATTTAGGTTGTTCGTATCAACGAATTACGAACAACGAACAAAATCTATCAAGATTTAGTAAGGATCTGACTTCTTATAATTAGTGTGGACAGATTATTCGTATTTAATCTGGAATGACTCACAGTAAATACCAATGTAAAAAAACTGTATCAATTAGGAGATACGTCATTCTATTGGGACCAGTTTCAGCAACATTAAGGAGTGCTCATTGATCGAATTTATCTTCGTATCGGAATGGCGGTTGTGGTCGTTCAGAAGTCGTTGCGATAGAAATCATTAATCAGTTACGCAAACATTTTGTTAACATTAACATAGCACTAAGATAGACAAGGGTCATTTTGATCGAGTAATACTCGTAAGTATAAATTAGAAAGTGCTTAATATTAATTCAAACAATGGTCTTAGCAAAAGAAGATTTTTTTTGTACTGAAGACTTTTTCTCATATATTTTTTTATTTGTATAAATATTTCTAAGACATTAATTAAGGATTATATAGTTGTTCCAATAAAATAATAACTAGCAATAAATAATTTTAATTGGAGCGCTTTATGGCAGGCTGTTTCCAGCTTTAATGGAATTCTAACTCTAAAATGGAATGGCAGTCAGCAAATTACTTAAACGGTGTTAGTAATGGTTTATCCTATTTTACGAAACTTTTTTCGAATCCCTTTACTTGAGAAAACTTTGGTATAATCATATCGTTACTAAGTAGATACTATGTGCGCAGATTCGTTCACAATTGCCTACCTAGATTACCTATTTGGAATTCGCATGAACTGAAATTTCGATCTGTCTTCTGGACGGGGTAGTGAACTACAGTATTAATTCTATTACATGATAGTAGATCATTAAAATTATCCACAACTGTTTTTGCATGAGTGTAGAATAGTCGTTCTCGCAATTACCAGAGACCATGATCTTCCTTGGCTTTACATCCTGTGTTCAAATACTCATGCAAGCGTAACTAAATCTTATATAATATCAATGTCATGATGATAGGCTTGATCATCATTAAATGAATTTCAATCCCTGTATGTAGTAGAAATTATTCATTAATTATTAATGATTATACGTACAGCGGAGAATTGTAAGTGTACCTATTAAAATTACTATACAAAATGGGGAACGTCACTTCGCCTATAAGTCCATCAACATATTGATCGTGCTTCAAAAGGCTTCCATTCAACAATCAACACAATGACCTAAAAATGTAATTATTTCTTATTTAACGTACTGAAACTAATCGAAGTTGAAAATTAGCATTAGATTCAACATTATGTCTGTTTAAGTCTAAGAAGAAAAACTTTATGTAATTTGTATTAAATTTGGAAAATTTCAATCATCAACGTGAAATAGCTTTATAAGTAAAAGGCTTACTAGACTTTTTCAGATAGACAGACAGTAACCTCATTTTGCCAATTTAAGGCTTAAATAACACATAATTCTGAAACACCTATTAATTTATTTGCTTTGCAGAATATTTAGGTAATGAGGTTATTTACATAAAATTGTATGGAACGTTTAATGAATTTATAACTTTAAAACCACTTTCGCCTCTTGAAACTTCTCGTCATAAGGTAGTCAAATTTGCGTTTATAGACAAGTCAAATGAAAAGTAGGTACTATCTCTTCATATGAGTCAAAATAGATAAAATGTAACAATGAAGATCACTAATAACCGAGGTTACGAATGTAGAGAAAGCTAAAGAGGCAAGTGGCGGTCTGTGGCTTATCAAACATGTAATTGTGTCTAAAAAAGATGTGAGTTTATAATGAGCTAGCAACTCGTCCCGATATTGTAAGGGTAGATAGTTGCAGTAAATTTAGGGATCTCTATTTGTTTTTTTGTAAATAACACAGCTCATGTTACTCATTGATAATATAGCTTTCTATAGGTTAAAGAATTTTGAAAATAAGTATATTTCGACCATTAGGAACAAAAAAATAATTTTTCACGTTTTATAATATTAGTTTAGAGAATATTTTACCTGCAACTATATCCGCGTGACATGTTCACCATGAATAATTCATCATTTCAGGCCAAATTTTTGCTATGCATTAATTTGTGAGTCAATGTGTGAGTCAGTCAAAATTTTTCTATAACTTAAGAAGAGTACCTAAATGACAAATCGACGAATGCTATACTGAACTAGAGGAGTAAAAGAAATGGATAACTTCCCTATTATATATAATCCTGATTATCCTGATTTATAGCACTTTCTTGTATAATGCTGCACAACTAAATATTTCACGTTCTTTGAACTGTTCGCTAATTGTAACATATGAAGGTTTTCGATGAAGACGGTCAATTCAACCCTTTTTTATTATCACCCAAAGGGATCGTTAAGCTTTGGCAAAACTAAATCGAGATGTATTATATCTTTCAGTATTTACAGCATAAAAAGCAATCTCGGTAATTTTTGTAGTTGCAAATTTTTTTCTACAACTACATCGACTTATTTGTCTATTCGCCCGTACAATCTATGAAATCTGAAGTATATTTTTAGGTCTCACAAATATATTATACTTTTAGTAGTTTGAAATGATGTGATTCTATAGCAGTTATCAATAATAACTTACTACTAAATAATTAGCGAGATATAGTCAATCAAATATGAGCTCAAAAACTGTTTTGTTTGAAAAAAATTATCAAAACCACTTTGTAAGCAAGACCTTTGCTTAACGAGCCATGCCTATTGTAGGAACACTAAGCATGGCTCAATGCTCTTTACCGGGTCTCCTTTTTAGATACAGGGAATTTTCAAAGTTCATCGCACTTTTGGTTTTGTCCTAAATTAGGGTACATTGTACTTATTACAAACAAATTTTTAACATTATTTTGTATAATGTTTTCCTGTTATTATTTTTTAGAC